AAGACAATAGTCGATTAGGACAAGAAACCTATGTTTAAAGAACGTCAATCACAAGGTCAACTAGTGTATAATCAGCAATTTTAGAAGCTCATTTTTCAATTGACATACGTTCGCCATTTTTATTTTTCGTTTGGTTACAACACACATACGAAAAACCTTGAAAGACGAGACAGAATGCAACAAAATCTATTTGTATGAATATACATCTATGGGTCCTTTTGATGTCTTTTGGATTAATCGAACACGTAATTTAAAACAATGTTTAAGAGGAAAAACGATTCGAATCACAACGAGAAATAAATATGCAAATAAATCTTCGATTAGTCTTTTTCTTTCTGATTACTTTCAACGAACAAATTTTAATTATTCTCAATGAGAGAAACTTTTGTTTTTCTTCGATTGAATAACCCATATGGTTTCTATCTTTAAATCATCGTTCTCCTTCCGACAAAACAAGATCATATCATTCATTAATGAAGAGTTTTGTTTCTTTTATTCTTCATTGTAGGTTGGTCAACATTAAAACTTATTTTAGTTGGTTTAGCCATTCTATGTATTATCGCATTGATTCTTGGCATTTTGTTCTTTCTTTTCGGTAAGAAATTTAAGAAAAATAAAAGACCAACAGCGACTGGTACGAGTACTACAACAAAAACTGTAGTAAACAAAGACGTTTCACCAAACCCGAAATATCAACCAGTGCCAAATGTTTGAAAAATTTTTGTCATTTGCTCCTTATTTTTCTCTTAAGTCTATCTTTTCTTCTCTTCTTGAATTTCTCGCTTTGTCTCTTTCTTTCTTTTCTCGAAATCAGAGTGCGTTTTTCGTATGTGTGTGTGCGTAGCGTTGTTTTCTTTGAATTTCTTGTGCAAGATGATGAACGATGATTACACTTTCTATATTTTTTCTTTTTAATATACACACACACATATATTTCTGTGTATTTTACCTTATTGGCTAAATCCAGCGAAGCACGGTTGACATCATTGGAATCTTTAATCATTTCAACTTGAGATTTACCAAATTTATCAATATAGAATGACTAAAGAAGATGAATAAAGAACAAGAAATGCAACTTCTTATTGATTTACTTCAAGTCGAGAAGCTATCTCGGCTAATTTTGTTATTCCTGGTTCTTTATAAATAAATTCTTGACCATCAAGTTCATCGAATTTTGTTCCATAGAATCCCACACGAAAATAAGTACCAAATAGACGCTTATTTCCCTAAAAACACATATTCTTCTCACGTATTGTTTTTCCTATTAGTTTTCTTTACTTGAATTAATATTCGATTGAAATATTCGTGTAATTTGCTATGAACTTGTGAAAGTTTTTTGAAATCTCGATTGGCTTCATAGATCGGTGTGAGAACATGATAAATATCATTAACTGCTTCGTACATATGTGCCTGAAGGTAAACAAACGATACAGAAAAAAGATAAATAGAATAAGTATACAAACATGAGTAAGAAATACAGCTGCTTGTTCCATTAAACCAATAAAACCATTTTCCGTAAAATATTTTCCGGTACAAATACCCTCATCGCCTGGTGAAACAACATCATCACTAACTGCACTTTCTTCTAATAGATTCATCGAGATTTTCTGAAGAAAAACATATTCATTCGATTGAAGAATATGCGAGAACGGTTAAACGAACTTGTAAAGTGACACAACCATTCGGCATATAAGGTTTCGATTCAAGCATTCGAAGGTATTCAGCGACAAGACTTGCCGCATGTGCCAAACACATTCCGGCTTCGGCATAATGATTCATCTAGGATAGATTTCAAGAAAATTCTTTTTTAATTTCAATTATCATTCAAGATATTCTTTGATACAGTTATGCTAAATTAGAACTAAGTTAGCAGACAAATTTGTTCACGGTTACTGAAGTCCTTTGCTGGTTCAAGATGCACCGTGACTGTTCCACTTATAGAAATCAATCGACAGAGAGAGAGTCTTGACAAGTCGTATTTTTTGCTGAACCTTGTGCATCTCATAGTCAACTAAAACTACCATGAATAATGAACTAATATCAACGATTTTCCTTGAGTTTTGTCGAAATTCTCCACTTCATATTGTTTTTTGCTATTCTATTAATCAAAGTAACTAAATTTTCTTTATTGAGTAAATATCGAGTACTTTTTCTGATAGATTATTAGTCGATCCACATATGGAAAAACATTTCTGCTTTCAGCGGAGGAGATTTTTTTCATCAACTGATAACGCGAGACGAGTAGGCAGAAGCAGTCAAGATAATAATCTCATGATATCCTTTTCGACTACCATTTCCTACCCAATCAATCCATCAATATACAAGACAATTACTTTTTGAAAATGTCATCAATGACTGAAAGGTTAACAATTAAACTATTCAATCTGTTCGTCGATTTTCTTACCGCTAAATGTTTTTGAGCCATGTTTTGTAGCCAAGTAAGACGAAGATCTGGACTATTTTGATAACAATTCGCAATACGATGAAGAAGATCAATTTCCATATCTGGATTGTCCTAGATACCAAAATAGATCTTTGTTTGTTTAATGAATCACAACAACAATTTACTTTAGCTTCACGTAATTTTGCCGTATCGCAAAGAATCATGTAGAGATTTGTGGCTAAATCCTTCACTTGACTTGGAAATGCACTTTCTTGTAAATCTGTATCGCCATCCGCATATGTTAAGATCGTTCGTAAAGATTTTCTTAAGAAGATTTCGTTGAATTGTGATGTGGATTGACCGACTAGCCATGATAAAGACATTGTCGCTTGCATTTTCACTCGCGAGAAATTCTTCGAAGAAAAAAAATATTCAAATTGTAAATGTTTTCAATCGATTTCTTACATTTCCAATTTCGAAATTTTGTCTCATTAGTAAATAAAGTGATGCCGACGCATGAGAACGAATCGTACTTAAACATGATGAACAATGTTTTAATAAACGTAAACATAAATCAGCACAATGTTCCGTATCTTCTTCGAAGAGAAGTTCAGGAAACTAAACAAAACAAAACAAAATGAAGTTTTTGAAAGGAAAAGAAATGAAATGTTACTTTGTACACAATTGAACGTTGATGTGAAAAGAGATTTTGCAATGTCCAAGTGCTTTGATTCAATGCGAACGTGTGTAAAAGTATTTTGAGTAGACCAGGTAAAAGTATTTGATGACAATCAGATGTTTGAACAACCTAAATCTCTTCGTCATGTTTTTCTCAATAAAATCAATGAAAACAAACCTGAATTATCGTTTCGATCGTATCTAAAACAATCATTGTACATTCCGATGCGAGAATACTTTCCAGATGCGCATCAACAGCAATATCTTCTTCACTTCTAAAACATTGAAAAGTCAAGATAAGTATCGAACATTGCTAATCAACATATTTGTTTCGTCAATCTGATAAATATTTCGAAATCTTCGATTATCTCGTTTGATTATTTATCGGAAAAAGATCTTGTTCAATCACCTTTCGGCATTGGCCTGTCGCCAATGTGTTTGATCTTTTCTCCATCGAAGATTATTTCCGGTTTTGGTTGGTTCTGAAAAACAAAATCAAATAAAATGAGATTTGACTGATAAAAAAAAATATGTTTTCGTGACCATGAATCGATGGAAGAGGATTTTTTTGTTTATTTCTATTTAACATTTCCGTTCGTGCGTTTTCCGTTCCAATAATTGATTTTTCTAATTGATTTTTAACTGATATCATCGATGTCTTCTTCGTTGACGCGCACGAAGAGATCGCAGTAAGAACTGATGCATGTCCACCAGCTCCAATACGATGATGGCGTTTCATTTGTTTTTTTCCTTTATATTCAAAACTTGCAATTGACAAATCGAGCAATTGAATAAGATGTTGAAGTTGATCACGTGACATATGAGTCCACCAATGACGAAGAACAGATGCATCGCTATTTTTCAAAACCCATAGTAAACAAACCAATAAATCGCGAGAAGTTTCTTCACTGAATGTTGTCATGGATGATATACGTTTCTGTGAAAAAGTGAAAATTAGCGAGAGAATGGTGATCAAATTGTTAGTTACAAGTGTTCCATCGTTTTCTATAGCAAGTTCGTCACCATTTGCAGCAAATAGATCATCGGAAGGTGTTATACTTGGACGATTTAATTGACCTAGAGAAAGTTCAGATAAAAATAAAGATTTAATACGTTCTTCATTACCGTATGAGGCGTTTCCTGGGTCAAAGAGTTTGTTTAGATTATTGGAAATGATATGAAGTAATGGTAGATAAAGTCTCGCCACGCGATTTCGATTCGTTTTTTCATCATTAATTAATAAACGTTGATCGAAATCATGATACGATAAAACATTGCGTAGAATATTTATTGCACGACTGTGAAGCCATGGAGTACTAAAAGAATCAAAATTTGACAAGTATTCAGACACTGATAACAATGAAACTTACTTATTTGCTAAGACATTTTGTAAATCATGTAAAATAATTCCGACAAGATAATGTTCTTGTCGATATTCATAAGTTAAATCAGTTTGTTGGATAGAAATTGTTCGTTGATAATTTCCATTGGTATTTGTATTTATATTGTTATTATTCGATGAGAATGACTGCATACTTCCAATACTTGGTGATGGTGAAGGTGGTACACATGGTAATAAGGGAAGATTCAGTGCCACATAATGTTCATGAGAACAAATTATGCGAATGAAGTCCAGTTTTAGAGAAACGTAATACGATGTGTCATTAGGTTGACCATGAGCGATTTCCAAATCGAACTTAAAGTTAGAGAATAGAGAAAAAGTTAAGGAAAGTTGAGTGAACATACCTCTTTGCAGTAGATTTTGATGAGACTAAATACAAATCCTCGATCCATTAGTGATAAACAGTCGTTGATAAAAAATGCCAATGAACTATTTAATTGTGTGCAATGGAGTTTTCCGTCAATTCCATTTCGTTGAGTATGATGTTGGCGATCGAGTAATTCACGAATAATCAAACGTAATAATGTGGTGATATCGTCACAGAATTGATACGAAAATCGATGACGACGTTCAATCGAAAATCGATTTGTTGTATGTAAGAAATGTCCCATTGTTTTAATCTATGCATTACAAAGATTTGTTTTTGATTAAGACGAAGAAATTAACTTATTGTACTTACTAATAATTCGAAGAAGAACCAACTATTTCCAAAGGCGAAATCTCGTGTTGCACCCGATGAAACAACCCATTGGAATAATAATTCTTCATGTAAAGGCTAAAAATGAAATCTATGATAAGGAACGTTCTTCCCCCAAGCAGCAATCAAAGCGTTAGTTCAAAATGCAACAATCCCCTTATGCTCCACTATCCCAAGAATCGATACAAGATACTCTGACTTACATGGAAATCGATCTCTATGTACGAAAAGAAGATTCATAGAAAAGACAAATTCCGTATTGGACTTACTTTTCGTTGTTGGGCAGCTTTGCTTGAATAAGCCGAATCTTTAATAATTCCTTGACCAGATTCAACCGATTGTTTTCCGGATGAAACATTGGAAGAAATCAAACCTCCATTTGCAGCTGCAAGTGCCATTTCATCTTCAGGAGATAATGATGGGCTGGGTAAATCAGGATTCGAGGTACTTCGTGGAACACGACGGTTGAAATACAATGAACTTGGACGAAGACTCGCTGATTTCGATGAGATTGCACTCACATCTAAACAAAAACTCGTCGTAGATGTAGATTGCGAAAGAAGAACTTCACCTGTTTCATTCGGTGTATGTAATGTACACTCATAATGAATATAGGTTAATAACAAACGATTCCGTCCATGCGTATCATTCAGATCAGCGAGAAGATCGCGTTGAATACGTTGAATAATCTTTGTTAACGTTTCAAAACATGTTTGATTGATATTCACTAAACAAAAAACAACTCTTTTCCATTCGCGTTCAAAAATTCATCAAAACAAAATACATACAAACATGTCCGTTGAGTACTGGTGCTCGAACCAATAGAGAAAGAAGCGTATCGAGAAGGATGTACAGAAACTGAATGAGTTTCTCTGCTTGAGCCCAAACAGTATCCATAATTGCTTGTTTAAAATCTTTATCTGTTATTTGATAATGTGAATGATGGTGATGATGATGATTGGCATAAGCTTGTTTGCGTAACTGATTATACATATGGAAAAAGTTTTCTAATCGTTCGTCCTTTTGGAAGAAAAAGAAAGTTAATCAATGAGAAATGTAGATGAGAAAACAAACCAATGAGTGAATTGTTGAGCATGGACGAATTGATAAAGAAAACAATGGTTTATGACTATCAGCCCATTTGACATTGTTCACATCGTGATTCTACATTTCGTAAACTCAATGATTAACTGAGAATTCATGAAAAAATCCTTACAGTTGGTGGTACAAGTGAATAATTATGCGGTGGTCTATCATAAGTAACAGGAAGATTAAAATCTCCATGAATAAGTTGGTTATTATTCAATAATGGAAGCCACTAAAATCATGAAATTTATATGATCAATTGACCTTCCAAGAAACATTTACCGTATAACTAATCGGAGTTTCGACCGGTGCGTTTTCTTTCGGCTGACAACTAATGTGTGAAAAAGTAAAGAATAGATGATGATTTTCATCGAGAACAGCTGGAAGACGAAGTTTCACTTCATCATAAAACGATGGAGATTTCGAATGATATAAAACTGGTGAATAAATTTCTTTGACCATTTCTTGTCCAGATGATTTGCCGAAGATTAATGGTAAAGCGAAGATTTCTTCTTCTCCTCCCATTAATTGAATTTTCACGGCGATATTTCTCGCTGATGTCGAACCACGTGTTGTTAAATTTGATAAATTGACTGACAATGGATAAATATAAAGAAGATTTCGATAAGATGTATGAGGTAAATAGATTTCACGTGGAGGAAATTCAAGTAATTCTTTGATTGGACGTTTTGTATCGTCTGTATAAGGTTTTAGACGATTTAATTGAGCATCAAGACAACAATCAACAGTATCGCCAGGATGAATTTGGTTGAATTCGAAACGAATGAATGCTGAAAGAAAAGACAAGTGACAAAGAAGGAATTTTAATAGAATTTTACCTGGAATTGTCTTCGGTTTCTTTGCTAATGTTGGTGGTTTGCGAAAATCAGTGAGAAATTTGAAAATATCTTCATCACTCAGGCGTTCACTTTCCTAGGAAAAATGAAGTTGCTTTTAAATTGTCATGAAGAGTTTCGTTTTACTTGTTTGTAAACTCCTTTCAATGTGAGGAGAATTGGTCGATCGAAATTGGCTAAAATATGAAAGAATTCATCAGTTGTTGATAAAAGAGTTGCGTTGGTCGACGTGGTAGTTGGAGATGTTGGAGGAATTTGTCGATCGTCACTTCGTTTTGAGCTGTTTCGTGTTAAACTTTCATCACGCGAACGCCGAAAACTCTCATAAGCATTTCGAAGGCCTCCCGCTCCTAAACTTTTACGTTCTAAACAAAACATTCACATTCAGAACACTTTCAAAACTTTTATTTTCGTGTTTTACCAAGACTCGAAGCTTTTGCAGTAGAATTGATCAATTCCGAGTTGGGAGGTAAAGTACTCGAATGACTGGAAATCATTGTTTCTTGTTCGATCTCTTTGAGAATATCACGTAAACTAATCGCTGTCCAAGCAAATGGCATTCGAAAACGACCAAGACGTTGACAAAATTGAATTGCTTGTTCGTGATATCGTTGTTGATTCTATCAGAACGACTAATCATACATCGATAGATCAATATACAAAACGATTTACCTTCAAATCTTGTTTCATATAAGGTTCAGCACAATCGGATAGGTCACCTTGTTGTAAAACTTTTTCGATCTAAAGATGAAAACTAGAAGATTTATGGAAATTCAATTGATGAAGTTACTCGAATGATTAGATAGATGTCTGGTGATGGAAATGAAATTGGAAATATTGCAGAGAGACTTAATGTTGAACCATCAACGGCTGGTCGAAGATGAATCATTTGTTTTAATGCATCAGAATTTAAATCAAAATGAAAATTTTCCGAAATCTAAATCAATAAAGTAAATCACAAATCTACATAAACTATTTCAAACAAACTTTTTTTCGCTCTTTCAAATCGTATAAGGACAACGTGATAAACATTGGTTCGATTTCTGGTTCAAATCTAATAATGAGAAAAGATGAAATTATCTATGAAAAATATTCGATATTCACTTGAAATCTAAACATTTGACTTGCAATTTGAATGTTGTATAAGGTTGAAGTGGTTCCGATGGTGGTCGATATTCAATACAATCGCTCTATCAAATCAATTCCTACGATTGATTTATTGGAAATAAAAGAAACTTACATCTGCTTGGGGTGGATATGAACTGAACAACTTCGAATAACGATTTTTTCCTCGTAGCAATTCATTTTCTTTATCAACACTTTCAATTGGAATTCTTTCAACTACAAAACGAAGACGAATGTTTTGAAAACATTACCGGAAGATCTTCTTACTCAAATGAGGCATAATCGTATCTGGTTCCGTTTTATCCAAATCATCTTTCGCCATAGCCCAACTACTTTTCATCGGATTCATCGCCGAATCGCTAATCGGCAATTTCCTCGGACTATCCTAAAACCTTTTCACATAACAAAATCCAACAATTCCTAAAGAATTCTTTACTCTTTCTTGATCGATCAATGTTTGTCGATTGTCATCGATGATATCAACTTCATAATCTTGTTTCGGAATCTGTTTCAACGCTTGCATTTGCTCTTGACGAACATTTAACAAGGTTATTGCACTACCATAATGATTATAACTTGGAAAAGAAAAGATGAAGATTATGTGAGGAGAGTTTTAAAAGGAAAATTTTACTTTCGACGAAGATAAAAATGTTCACCATTGAAACTTTGTAAACAATCGCGAATATGTGGATCGGTTAATGCTCTGGAGAATTGAAAAAAAGAAGAGTTTTATTGTTGATTACAATATTTATCTTCGTACTCTTTTTCCGGAATAACGGGAATTATCGTTCGATATTGCCGTTCAATTCGAACAAAATCAATATCATCATTGGGATATTCTAATAAATGTCTTAATGGATCGTTTTCGATCTTTTGTCGATGTTCATCGATATACTCTTCATAATCGATCGGATCGATGATATCAATCACATTCGTCGTCATTTTAGTTGGATAAGTCTATTGAAAAACAAAACGAAATTCCAGACGAATTCTTTCGAAAAAAAGTTCGTTTTTACTAAATCTGATTCGATTTCTTCTTTATTTTCATTCAATGGCAACGAGGCATTTTTCGGTTCATTCGACAGAAGAGAAATCACTTCTTGTAAATGTTCTCTATACAAACAAATTCACGAAAATCTCGGAAAGAAAAAACGTTTCAACAAACCGAAGACGAAGAGTTCCAGCCATTTATACTTCCATCGACTGTTTAGATGAAATGAAACGAGAAAAAAAAAGTCATCAATCAATCATTGATTAGACATGAACGAACGAGTCAGAATTGATTCAGAAGAAAACAAACAAATGGACATGTGCGCCATCTAACTCATGTTTTATTTCCCTCTCATAAAGAATTTACAACCAAAGTCGAAATGTTTTGGCACTATAGTCCGTGAGAAATGAATCATCCGCAGGTAAATTTGAATTATCTAATAACCATTGACGAAGTCCTTTGGATAAAATCGTAGCATTCAATTGAATATTGGCGATACCAAAGGAAATTAAACGTTTCCATTGGAATAAATTTGTACAAATTGTTAAAATTAACGATTCAACTGGAAGAGTATCATCTTTAAAATGGAAATAGAGATGTCGTAATGATGGAAAGGCACTTGCAAGACGTGTCACCAAAGTATTTAGCGATTCAGAATCAATATTTGTTGTAATACCAATCAATAAATCAGTCAGACGTTGTCCCAACAGATCACAAAGATTTTTAATGTTGAGAAATGGACGAATGACTTCATAATTTAGTGCGAAATGGTATAAATTTGGAGAAGATTCAAGTAATTTCATGAAATCATCTGTATTTATCGGATATCGTTGAAGACAAACAAAGAATGTTAACGAAGGCATTTTCCGAAGTGAAATTTCTTTTAAAGATTCTAAAAATGAACATGATTCCACCTGTTTTTTTCGATTATGTTTAACTTACTCGGAACATCCGTTCGAGTTACTTGCAAAACTAAGGATTGCATTCGACGACATTGGACAATGATTGGAAAAACTTCGACTATTCGCGAGGAAACTTCATACAAAGTTAAACATTTGACATTCGTTCCAAAATGTGAAACGAAAATGGGATTTTTCGCAACAGAGCATCGAAGAATCAGATAAGGACAAGAGAAAGGTAAAGAATAGATCATTAGACTTTCTTCATCTTCACTTTGAATACAAAAAAAGTCTTGAGGAAATTGGTTTTTCCATGTCGAGACGATTTTTGTCGTATTTGCTAAATAAACATCAACAATTTGAAGAAAATACGAGAAGTTTTTCAAGGAAAAGTTCGAAAGATAAGTGGAAAGTTCTTTTCCGTGAATAAGATTAACATCATTATTCGTACCAATTTGAATCTTCAATTGTTCGACGTTCGGAATGCGTTTGAAGATTGAAATCAACTCATCGAATGTCCAAGAATAAAGTAACGAACGTAAACAAAAGTATTTCAAAGTAAAAACTGAATTTAATGAAAGATTCTCATCAAGTTCAGTTCCTTCGTTATTGATTTCCACGTCAAGATCTTCAAGTTGAGATAAACAAGATAAAAGTTTATGTAAATCATTGAGGTTTGCCAGTTGAATGACTAATTTTGTCAGATTTGGATAAATTAAATCAACAAGATGATTTTCATAAGTAAAATCTAAACAATCATCATCGAATGTAATCGATTTCAAACGACAATTATTCGTATCGAAAATCGTTCGTAATAAAACATCTCGGGATGTAGAACCCACACTGATTTCATATAAACTTGATATTTTCAATTGAGAAAAACTTAGTAAATCACGAAGAGAAGGTAAAAATGTCATGAGAGAATCGATGACAAATGTTGTTAACACAATTCGTTCGACATTCGGAAATGTAACTGACATTCGATCAGAAAAATATTGAAGAAACACATTGGAAAGAACACCTTTCCAATCATTACTGATGACCAATACACGAATATGTGAACCAATTTCAGGTAAAATTGATCTACAGATAAAATTGAAACGTTGAAATGGAACTTGTCCTAATACAACACGACGATAATAATCACTGATTGTTTGAGTTAATCGATAGTTTAAATTATTCAATGAATAAATTATTTCAGTTGAGGATAAATATCGACAAATAAGTAAAAGAATTTCATCAGGAAAACTTTCAAATTGCCTTTGGGAGAAAGTCGTGATTGACATCTGAAATTCGGGAAAGAAAACAATCTAAACACTATTTATTAATACAACAAAGAACGAACGCCACGTGCCAAATTTTTACGTCCTTCTTATTATCTACGCAGTAATATATCTCTATACGAACGAACGAAGGACATTAACATTGTTTCTTTTATTACAATCTATACAAGAAAGGAAAGAGAAATTACCTTTTTGAAAGACAAATATAAAAAACCAACTAAAAGTCGTTTGGAAAACTTTTTCTAAAACTCTAACCAATTTAAATGAAATTCAGGATTGTCATGAATATAAAAAATTCGTCATATTCAAATTCCTTGTCACTCTTGAAAAGAAAATCACAGCCTGGTTTTATCAAAATTTCGTCTAATTCTTCGTTGATATCGATCAAAATTAGTTCTATGGAATAGATCATCGATTGTATATGTAAAGCATCACAATTGGCACGTTGACGAACGAAGACAAACAATAAATTTCGAAGGATCTTTGAATATAAAGATCAAATCGATTTAAAACCACAATCGAATTGTTTCGTCTGTATAATTTGCACAGAATAGTTTTGATTTTTCTAAATTTGAATTCTCTCGAAACAAGTTGCGTAGTGTTCATCGTGTAACACTAAGAGAAAAACAAATCAATCATTATGAGTTTTCTGCTGGTGCTTATATGGATTTAGTTATAGATTGAGACAAAGTATGATATCAAATGTTATACCTTCTGATGTTATGGATAGAAGAGAGACGTGTTTTCGTTTTGTCAGTTAGGTATGGCTAACTTTCTTTTATCCTTATCACAACATATATAGATACAACAGAGAGAGAAAACCAATACGACAGAATTAACCATGATATGGATGTCATAATGAAACTGGTCATAACAGCCAGTTGTAACCAATTCTAGGATTGGAACCGAACCGAATTGGAACTGTTGAATGCCTATATTAAAGGCATTTATTTTTCACTAAAAACTGAATAAAGATAAGAATATTAATGAAAATTATTTAATACAATTTCAATTCAAGAATAGTCGCTTGTAGTATCTTCGAAGTTCATAATTATATAAGAATAAATCCATTATATTGATAAGTATACTCAATGCGGGCAATGTTTGTAATAAGATAAACAACCAACGGATTGAGTATGGATCTACTATAACCATTAGATAAGTGTAAATAGGTGCCCATCCCATAATAAACACAACAAACATAAAAAGTATATGCTTTAGTAAACGAATATCTCGAGCCGTTTGTCGCGTGAGTTTTGTAGAGCCAGTAAAAGCCAATACAGCTGTATGAACACGATGAGATGATGAACATACTTTGAAATATATGATTGAATAAAAACTAAGCATGATAATAGATGGGAAAATGACAATCATAATTATATTAAATAAACTAATCCAAGAGGGAGCCTGTTTTAAATAAATACATTTCTAGAAAATTTCCAAAAGAAGTTAAAAGACATCGATGAGAATACGAATAGAAATTTACCTGAAAAGCAGCAATGAGACGAGGTAGAGGTAAGATGAAAACTAATATCCAATGTATACCGACAAAAATAAATGACCATGGTTTTTCTTTGAATAAGCCTTTATTTTGATAAATAATCACAAGACATCGATTGATACTAATTATAGCTAAGGCATAAACTGTAAGAAAATTAGCCGATGCCGGTAAATATGTATATAAAAAACATGCAATAGTATATTGTTTCAAAATAGATGAATAAAAACCAGTTATAATATTATAAACAACATAGAAGCCAGTATTGATTGAAAGAGCCAAACAAACATTACCTGTTAAAATATTAGATGTATTATGAAAACCTCGTACGAAGAAAATGGGAAGAAGATACATTATTCCTAATATAACACTAATTATTAAGATAATAGTATCCATAATTAAGATAATATAGGCTGCATCAGTCATTTCTGTTTATTCTAAAACACTTGTTTATTATATGAAATCACTGTTAAAAAAGAAGAAAATAAGATGATTACAAGTGTCTATTTAAGTGCAATTAAGAAAGTGGAAGTGCAAATTTATTCTATCTAATCTTTTCCAATGTCGTTTCTCTTTTCAACCTTCTAAATAAAAGAGAATTATTTTCTCTCATGTACGCTGTAATTTGCTCACTTAATTGTGTAGCGGTAAATCCAGACGCAGAATAAAGAATATGCCATGAAATATGAACTTCACGTTTGAAAATGACTGAATACTTCGTAACAGGAAAAAACAAGTGAGAAAAAATTTTTTTTTGAATATAATATCTTGAAAAAACCAATGAGTTTTATTGGATAATGCTACATTACCTCTTTTTTTCATTAATAGAGTAAAATATTAGAAAAAAGGAACTGATGAAGATAGATAATTGTTACGGTCCATATTATTTTTGGAAATGTGACTTTTTTGAACAATAAACGTTATTTTGAATAAAATAGATTTATGTTTGTAGTAGCGACTTTCTATGAATTATTCAAGTTCTTTTAGTTCTTTTAAACCATATTCTTGTTTATCTCATCAAAAGATAACCTTGGTTAAATATATTATTTTCTATGATCTTCCACCTGATAAAATTAAGTCACATTAATTATTTTTATATAAAATAGTGTGCAGCACATCAAAAAATTATTCGCTTTTATCAATTTAGCATAATTGTCATTCTCAAGGGGGAAAGTGTGCATCAGGTGCTTGTAAGCTGGGGAACATGATGTTGCGGCAAAATAGTTTTGAAAAAAATAGCTAATTTTTGACAAAACCAAATATATATATGAATTATATAGCATAGCGGTCTTAGGTGTACTATTAGTGGAGTAATGTCATAGCGCTCGCAATATGCTGATGTTCATGGTACCGATCTTTTATACAAAAGTTCCGTATTGTAAATGAAACACGCTGATATGCAAACTAGTAGAAATAGGTGTTGACTTCTTGTTATTACCTGGTTCGTAACCTCCACAATGCTTTGAATAAGAATATTTATTTCACTCAAATCACAATACTTCATCTGTTTCACTTTTAAAACCTCCATGAGTAGTCTAATTACAGATCGGTGTGAAGCTAGCCCGAATAAACAATGTGTTAGGCAAAAACTTTTCTATTAAGTCCCGTCCATGAAAACTACACTATTCGACTCAGAATTTGATTTTGCATCGAATGGCGATTTTTTTTATTCATGGGACAAACTTTTGAAAAAATTTTTACCTACATCTTAATTGTGTTCTTATATATGACACAAAACTCTGCAAAGCATTTTTCAAAAATTTGTCTCGTGAATAAAAGTACCACCATTCGATGCAGAATTAAATTCTGCGTCGAACAGAGTAGGTTTTATCGACGGGAATTCGTTTTCAGAAAATCCTTAGTTTCGTGGTGCTGGCTTCACACCGATATCAACTATCACTATCGAAAGAACAATTCATAGGTATTCACAAATTCCATGCGTAAAGTCTTGATATTTGTCGAGTCATATAATTATGATTGATCTCGAATACAAAATCAATTTGGACAAGATTTCTTGGGTTATGATTTGATCAAAATAAAAATTTTCCCATCGAACTATTTCTGGCTTCTTATACTACCGTGGATGGGACATAGCATATGTGTAAGTATGTTTCAAAAGTGACCAATTACATATTCTTATGCATATGACCCTTTCATATCACATTCAATTGTAAAAGAAAAAATTTCAAAGCTATTTCATAATAAAACTCGTACATTTTTCCGCTTAATATAGTGTATAATCTTGTATCACGATTATCTCAGCCATTTCGACTTTGAATAGGAAACCAAAATACAGTTTTGTAGAGTCAAGTCTGTTCCACAAGATGCGGTGGGGCTGATCTTTCCAGAATGTAGTCATTTTTCACAGCACTAGTAAACTTTTTTACTAGTAAACTAGTAGCCTAATAGTAAAATGGAGGTCGAAAATTTTTACCATAGTCTATCTTGTAGAGCTGATCATTTTGATAACAACGTTTTTGAAAATCGACCCATTGTAGACGGTGCTAGCGCGAAAACACTAAAAAACCAAGTTTGGAAAATTGCGAAGATTTTTGAAAGGGTTTGACGGTAATTTGGCTATAAAATAGGTAAAAATTGACCGATAAGGAAAATTTTTTTAACCAAAATGATCACCCTTAAAAGCTCTACAAAGCCATATATGAAAAAAAAATTTGAAACTCTTATGTTTTTGTGGTTGACCTCCCATGGAACGACCCTATTTTTTCGTTCTTGTTTTCTTTGACATGTGAAATGAAGGTTAGATTTTGTTGATAAAACAAAGATGTATAAATTTACAAATTCGTTGTTTTTTCAATTCTTCGAATTCACAAAATCACGATTCTACGTATAAATTTCATCTCTAATCGTGTTTAAGAGTATTTGTTTCTCAATCTAAAATATTTCTTAGATGTAAAAGCAAAACTTTATATTACACTTGAGTGTGTAATTTGATTTGAAGTTTATTTTCTATAAAGAATGTCAGAAGAGATATAAACAATTTTATTCAGGGTAGAACGTTATAAACGCTGTAGATTTCCGTCTACATCAACACTTTCGAGAAAAAATATGTTCTCGATAGTTTTCTTCGTGAAAAATTATCTATTAATATCTACAGTTTTTCGGTTCGATTGTGATTGGATAACGACAAGTACGGATGTGAGGTAATATAGAAACAGTAAATTGTTTTCAAGGAAGTCATAAAGATTGAAACAGCTACAATAGACAGTCTTTTCCTTGAACATAACTGATAGGGCCACTTACAAATGCGAACTGTTCTAGATGTTTGATCGTTTCCCATTTCATTACTCGTACTATTTTCTATTGACAAGTTGCAGACATGATCAGATGATTGTTGTGATAGAAACTGGTTTTGACCGTTAAAATTTGCAACAGTCTCGATATTCTCTTGTTCGGTATTCGAAGATAACTCGTCTTTCGTTGATATCGATGTTTTTGGATTGTAGTGAGAAATACATCTGAAAATCATGTCCACAAGTTCTTCATTCATATTTTGATCAGAATAACAGATTAAATTCAAAATATTTGAACATTCTTCTTCGAAGAATTCACATATATCTTCGAACTCTTTCTCTGGATCTTTCGAATGATCCCAATGTGAAAACATCACGATGACTTTAGCACTATGTTTTTCTATCTGTTCTTCATTTGTGAAATAACTGGTCAACATACGTTCGAATCGAGTGTCGTACTTTATAACAAGGAAGACGACGGAAATTTCTGTAGATTCCCAAATTTGTTCGACGTTTTCTTCTTCTGATCCATCAATTAATACAACTGAATTCATTTGTTGACATATTGGGTAGTAGTTATCTTTCTTTTCTATTGTATTTAACACTCGACGATCAACTGGGTGAAGTTTATATAGTCCGGAGACTAGTGTTGTTTTTCCGGCGCCTTTTTCGCCGATAACGAGAGCATACAATGTTTCAGTTAAAACATTCGGTTCAATCATATGCCTCATGCGAGCTGAAATTCCATTAACCATTGTGATAAATCTAGAATGACGAATGAAATGTAGTTCTTCGAAATCGAATTAAACAAAAAGCGGAGTTTCCGTGATGAACAGCGAGACAGAATAAATATTTACCTTTTAAAAACTGCTTAAATTTCCATTTTCGTTCATCAGTATAGGATCCACACTAGATTTTCGTCGATCAGACTAATTCCGTTTGAAATGTTTTGCAGCGTAAAGATAAGAGAATTTATGCTGAAGAAACTTTTTTAATAACAAAATTTTTACCCAGTTTGCTTTTAATACTCAGTGAGTCATAGACACTATAGAACGAAACCATTAAAAAACACTGAGAAATAAAAACAGAAAATAAATGGCCTCATGCTCCGAATATGAGTGAGAACGACGAGCAAACAATTGGTGTCTTTGTTTGTATGACAATGATGGAACGAAATATTTGCTTTTCATGTTTTTCTTCTATTTCCCGCAAAGGGAAAAATACCTCCAAGAGTTTTTTTTAGCATTCCCTATATAAAATCCAATCAAATTCATCATTTTGAGCCACTTTCCGTTTTTATATCATTTGGTAAAAACCATTTCTCCAAAATACGTTCTTGGTGTATGTATAGTAGCTCTGTTGCTTGAATATTTTTCACTTCAACAAGTTTACATTCTTCTCTTTTTTAAAGTTTCAAAAGCAATACTATGGCAACTACCAATTCGTCTCCAGTCATTAGTTCAAATCCAGTCGGTGTGATCATAGGAAATACGGGAGCAGGAAAAACCACGTTATCCAACATGTTATGTGGAACAAATCATGAATCAGGTTCAGGAAGGCAGAGCAAGACTAGACAACTTTTCGAAAATCCTGTAAACTGTGGTTCTTATCCATTCAAAGTTGTTGACACGCCCGGTGTTGATAGTCAGGTTGATACATTCAAGCATGCTGTTCTATTAAAAGAAGCATTGACAGGCACACCAATCAATACGATCTTCTTTGTCATCAAATACGACAGTCGTTTTGATAATATACTATTGGATTATCTTAAACTGTTGACGCCTGTAGAGAAATATTCGCATAAGATTGTTGTCATGATTTCTCATATAGATTTATCGAAAAGTTCAAATAGCGATAAAAAGGAAATTAACGACGTATTCAAGGAAGAATATCCTGATAAATCTTTCAATTTTATATTTTATTCAGAAAAAGATGATCGATCCGAAATAGCTGATATAATGCATTCATACTTATTCAAAATGCCAGCAGAAACGCTGCAAATAAGCGACGAAGAATTTAATCTCAATTTCAATATTTACGAAATGAAAGCCAAAATCAAAGCAGCATATGATAAATTTCTACGAGAAACAAAGCAGATCGAAGATGATTACACAAATTTAATTAAAGATCTTAATAAATCCGATATTAACACACAAGAGAAAGATGAAATCCTTCACATGAGCATTGTAAGCTTCAAGAATGAACTGGAAGCATTAACGGAACAGTTTATTGGTACACATGGCGCTAATATGCAAGAACTGGAAAGTTATGGATTTGCTGTAATGATGCAAAAAGAAAAAATCAAACTTTGTACTGAATTCACTACAAATGTATCTGCTATGATGTCATACAGTCTACTGGACACCACTGACCCTCGAAATATGATCAAAAGATGTCCTCATTGTCAGGAAGTTTGGTTCAAAGTAACTGGTTGCGATGGGTCGACTTCATGTGGAAAGCGACCGATGAACAGAGCTTATGATATCTCGGGAAAGACATTCTGGAGATTTACATTCGTACGCGTGGAGAGACGTATACAATGGCAGAAAATTGAAGAGACTAATGCTCGCAATAATTCACAATTACAAACAAACAATCCGCAAAGAAGTGAAGTCATACGCATTGTTTCCGAGCTTCAGCGTACACTTAGACAAATGGAGCAATTACTCGGGGACATAAGAGCTCACAGTGTGTCACAGTCTCAAACAAGTAGAGAAGAAACAAGGGGTTATCCTGAACGTGCTGTTTTGGAATTTCGTCATGTATATGAACAAATCGGAACATTATACGAATACATAAAAACTTTGGGCGTGTTTCAGAGGCGAAGAATTAACCGAGAAAGACGTTATGCCGAAGATTTCGCTTCCAGATTTCATCATATGTATATGGAACTCGAACAATTACTTGCATCCATAAAAAATTCCGGCATATTACAATTACGAGCAGATATGGAAGAACGAAGAAGAGAGCACATCCAACACATTGCTTTCAGACTTCATCATACACTTCGGAGACTCGACGAATTACTGGAATACACACTAACTGACAACATGTCACAGTCTGCATCAGACACCAAAGGAGTAGGTTGTGGCAAGAGTTTTGTTTGGAAAGATCAGCCTGCAGTCGAAGAAGAGAAGATTAAAGAATTATTTCAAGTGAAAACAATTGAAGAAATAAAAGAAATTATTCGAAGAAATGATTATCGACAAATGCGAGCTGAATATGAAAGAAATATCGACAGTCGTCGTTTCACGTGATCCCAAACTGGACACACAAATAAGAAAAAACGTGTTTTTAGCATTTATGCAAGATTTTTTGTTTCAGAAGAATATTATTTTAAATAAAATTTCAGAATTTTTTATCAATTTTCTTCAGTCTTCTATAAAAGAACCTTCAGTCAAAAGCATTCTTATTAACACGATAGAAGAACGTCAAAAAAGTATCTCGATATAAAGAATAATTTTACAATCATAATCACAACCTCTCTTCGAAATAATTAACCATAAATGAATCTTTGTCTCATAAACAAGAGTTTTCTACTGCCTATTCTCAAACCCCTTTTGTTAAAACTATAGATTGAAAGACAATCCATACAATTACAAACATAATCAAACACTTCCACACAGAGAAATGATTAGTTTGATGTTTCAAAATATCCTAAATACTTTCATTATTCAATAATAGATCGAATAGTTCATCTTCGATAGTTAAACTATTCAGATTTGCTACTCATCAATTCCTTACTATCATCATTGCCAAACAGCAGTAATTCACAAAGCTGATTTTCTTTCAATGATTCTGTAAAAACAATATTCCAACAGAATCTCTTTACCTGGTGGAAGATTTCTACTTAATTATTTGCCTATAAAGCATTCAACTCTTACACTTTTCCAGATGATTTCGCTCTGGCCGCGCAATGTCAAAAAGATGTTTGACATGTATCCGTTCTGCATATAATCATTTAAATAGAATGAAAATAACTTTGGAAGACTAAAACATTGAAATGAGATGATTATCGTTTGTGTAAACAATTCTTTTTATTAATAAAAAAATATATTAAAACAGTTTTATAACCATAATCGAAATCTCTCTTCGAAATAATCAACAACAAATGAATCATTGTCATGTAAATACGAGTTTTCCACTGTCCATTCTCGAATTCCTTTGGCTAAAATTTCAGGTTGAAGAATAATTCCCACAGTTACAAATGCAATCAAAGATTTCCACATCGATAAATGTTTGAAAACAGACAAAATTAACGATTCCGATGTTTGACATTCTTTTTCAAACCAAAAATAAAGATATTTCAGTGAAGAAAATGTCGATGCTAATAAAGATATTGATGAAGTAATAAATTGAAAAATATCCGAAGAATGTACAATAATACATAAATGAGTAATTTTAGATTTCAAACTTTCATCAATGAATTGATTCATCATTAATAATTGTAATAATTCATCTTCAATATTCATCGTATTGAGATTAGGTAATTGTTCAACTAATTTACAAAAACTATTTAGATCGATCGATGATCCATTCATAATTGTTATTGTTGTCAAATGAGATAGGTGACAAAGTTGATTTTGTTGTTGTGAAGATTCTAAATTCGATGAAAATCATAACGAATAAGAGAAAAAGTTAAGCAAATGATTTACTTTTCATGTGATTTTGACCGAATTGTAAACACAGACGATGTAAACGTGAACATTTGGAAATAATTGAGAATATTTCATCGATATCTTTCGGTACAGAATATAAATGTAAAAGTTTGACTTGATTTGAATAATTTTCATTGAAGATTTTTGTTTTTGCCAATGAACATTGAAGAACTAAATCTTCGAAATGAAAAGGTAATGAATAAAGAATTAAACTATGATCATTATCTGTTTGAACACAGACGAATTGTTGATTGAATTGTTGCCAAGTAGAGAGAACATTTTTTTGATCGAGAAACGATGAATCGTGCAGTCGAAGTAAATAATGAAAGTTTTTCAATGGAAATTTTGAAAGAAGAGAAAAGAGTTTTTCTCCATCGGTGAGATTCACATCTGAATAACCATCAATGTTAATCGCCAGATGTTCAACATTTGACAAACGTTTTAGAATCGATTCTAATTCCGAAAATATCCACCAATGACGAACCGATTGAAGATGAAAGAATTTCAATTTGGAAACCAGACGATTTCCATTGGTCTTGTCGATTTCAAATGATTCATCGTGAATTCTTGTATGAAGATATTCTAAATTTGGTAAAATTGTTAATAGTCGATGGAGATCAACAATAGTTTTCAATTCAATACGTAATTTTGTAATATTGTCGAATTTCATTTCGGCATTTGTTGAATTCACATGAAAAGCAGTGGAAAAATTATCAAATAGAATTGAATTTAAACGATGATTATTCGCCGAAAAGATTCGATACAAAAATGATTCGGATTGAATCGCATTTTCAAATTCAGCGAATAGACCATGAATGTTTATTTCCAACAAATGATGAAAATCTTCAAGACAATCGAGAATTAATCCTAACGATTGACTAATAAATGCAATCAAAGTTAAATGTTGTAAATTTGGAAATATCGAAGACATTCTTTGACCAAAATCAGTGAGAAATACTTTGGATAAAACACCGGTCCATTCATTACTGATTGTTAATGAATAAACTTCAGAAGAAATTGAAGGTAAAATCGAAGTAGATATGTGATGATATTGTTTAAATGGAAGTTGACAGAGAACAATATGTTGACAATAACCATTGATTGTTTGAGATAAGCGAGAATTTAATCCATAGAATGAAAATAGAATATCCATAGAGGATAAATAACGAAAAATCAATAGAAGAATTTCATCAGGAAATTGTTCGAATGTGCCTTTAGGGAGCATAGTAGACGAAATTTAACGAAAAGTTTATCTACAAACATACAATTTTATGATCAAACAATATTGAAATTTCAATATGTTTTATTGTTTGGGAAGGTAAGTGTAGAGTAGATACATAATAATAATAATGCGTACGTATAACTACCATTGGTTATGTTTCTGCTTGTTCATTCATTTATATTAAGTCAAGTAAGATGTCTCTAGTGATTGGATGTTGATACGGAAAAGAATTGACTGAATATTTATATGTAATTTTTTTTCATGAGATTGACACGGGAGAAATCAATTGAATGTTATATCAACTCGAAGAGATTAGATATCATTTCGAATTCATCACAAATCACATCGCGAGCATTTTTATTTGTTTTTCTCGCTTATGGAATTTAGATAGACAATCTAACAGTTTGTCCATATACCATTTTTCGAATCAATTACATAAGACTGTGCAAAAAACATGGTGAAACCATATTTATATTGTGAATAATCATGTTAAAATAGTCACAAAAGAAAGGTCAGGTTGGCGTATCTTCAACGTTTCTCTTTTATAATATTCGATTGTATCATTGGTAGAACAGCGCGAATGTGAGATCACAAATTATAATTGAATTCTTAGGTGGTAGACAATGAGAAAGAGGTTCGTTATGTGTCAAACCTTTTAAATTGATGATTTCTCTGCAAAAACTTCTTCGAGAAGCAAATCTATCCATCGATAAACAAACTAAAATTAATTTGAAACTCATTTCAGCGGAAAAAAGAAAGTTGTACATTCTTCATTATTGTGAAGTTATGTTACTTACAATAAAGAATACACAAATAGTGTAGTGTACTTACCCATTTTCCCACATCGTCGTATTTTCCCACATCAAGGTCTTATTCCAAGTCGAGTTATTTATAGCAATGGCGAACTGGACAGATAACGTAATCTAATTCTAGTGTATTGCGTAGGAGAATTTCTGCAAATTTTTTTCCCACCATAACTTAATATTTCATCAAATAACGAATGTTTTTTAGTTCATCTTGTATTCTCAGCATATAAAGTGAGATAATTACTGATAAAAATATGGGAAATCCCATACTAAATATCAAATTTAGGACTGTTGAAATATGGGGAATCGATTGTTTTCTAAATGTGGCTTCGGACACACATATATATATATACATGGGAATACATTTTGTGTGTATTTACATTGAAATTGTTGCAACGTAATAATCAAAGGTAAGTGACAATGTTTTTGTGTCTAGTATGATTCTCATTTTCTTGTCTGCTCACTGTATATTCATCCCTGGAGTGATTGACAATCGTGGAAATATAAAAAGTACCTCTTCATATCCAGGACCCTGCAAAGTTCCATCGAATCCTGATAAGCTATGGCTTCTGTTGAGTTTTCCAGTAGAGAAAAAGACATTAGACATGTATGACATTCTCTGATCCGTCATATTTGTGCGCTCGAACTTCCTTACACCAAAAGTGAATAACTTCTATCTTAGAATTCGTTCCGATCAGTATAAAAATAAAACAAAAGCAACTGTCTGCTGACAAAATTCGCGCTAAGCCATAATTGTAGCCGAGAATAATAAACGGTCGTGCAAAAACGCATTCATCCCAATGCAACTAATAGATCTACACATATATGACATTCAATAACTGTATCCACAGCGGTGGCGCCCTTTTCGAAAAGGACGGACGCGTTCGATTAGGAACTACTTCCGATATGAACTTTGAGCGTCATTATTAAAGGAGATTATAACATGATGAGTTGATATTGAACTACCCAGAATCATATGCATGCCGTCGTTTAATTTGAAATATAGTTACTAATTTCATGTTTATCTTCATTTTCCAGTAATTTTGACGAACAAACAGACAAAGCCGATGGTTGATAAAGTGTTGATTCTTGTACCATTAGTCTTCCTAATTATATGTTGTGAAACTGGCTCTGCCGATGAAGATTTAATAGATAGAGATTGGTACCGAAACATTATCAAATCAAGTGTTGTGCCACCTTACATTGAAGCTTACAAAATCTTCAAAGAAAAGATTATCGAAAAATTAGTTAATTTTAATCAGAATGAAACATTGATTTCATCAGAATCAGAAGATAATGAAACCAGAATTCATCAGTTTGCTCAAAATTTACACTGTAATATTCGGCGAATGAATGAACAACTCAACGAAACTGTGGATGTTAGTTATCGAACAATGAAACATGTCGAAGCAAAAATCATTCCAGTTCAGAAGAAAATTGAAAAACAAAAACGTCGTATTCGCGATATGACAACGAAAAAAGCCAAGATTGACATTGCAATAAAAAATGTTAAAAATCAGATGGATATTATGGAAAATTTGATTCAAGACAAACAAAAAGATTTAGATAGAGCTGAAGGCGATGTTAAAGAAGCTGAACGAAAATTAGAAAGGGCAAAATTATGTCGTAGCAAACGTTTTTGGGGATGGAATCCAATTTCTGAAATAAAAAAGATCAGCGATAATATAGCAACAGGTGTAAGTAATGCCGCTGAGACAATCGTAGACGGAACAAAGCATGTCGTTTCAAAAACTGAAGAGGCAGTCAAAGATGTTGGAGATAATGTGGCTGTGGGTTTTCAAAATGCTGGAGAAACATTGAAAGACGTTGGAAATGAGGCGGCTCACGATATGCAAAACATCGGACAAGCAGTTGCAGATCAAGTATCTGAACATTATGAAACAGTAGAAGATGGAGTGAAAGAGTATGTTATTAAACCAGTATGTAGCGTTTTCAATCATGAAGGTATCAACAATGCTCGATATATTCGTAATGAAGCATTAAATAGTTTGCAGAATGCTCGTGATCAATTACAAAAACATCGAAGTCAATTATCAAACTATCAGAACAACAAACAACGCTTGGAACTCGATTTAACACGAGCGAACGATTTGATCAATGAATTAAACATTGAAATCGGAAAATTATACACAAATTTAAATTTAACAAGTACGATTAATTATGAATTGAAAATAGCCGTTCATCATGTATCAATTTTATCCAGTCGATCACATGTTTTGAAAGAAGAAATCAAATATTTAATTGATTTTAATTTATTAATTCAACCATTAAATAATATTTATAATGAATTGAAAAACAACAATCTACTTTCACAAGCAATTGACGATCAACACGTTCTCATCACAGAAGAAGAAATAGAATCAATTCAAAATAGTTTGAATGAATTAATGAATATTTTACCAAATGTTCCGATGAATACAAGTGAAAACGAACTTCTAAACGATGATGACGCCAATTGTGATGAAGGAAGAGGCTAAGGAGAGAGAAACTTTTACTGTCAATTAAATACGTTTCTCATCGCTTTTTGTTCGTGTTTATTATTTGTTCTTCAATTAACCTTGACATGTAGTTTTTCATTTCATCTTTTAGATCTTTGAATTTCTCTTTACGACAGCAAGTAAATCGATGATTATGCGAACATTCGTACTATTGAGTAAGTTTTGAAATTGTAATTCTCACGCATTTCTTAACTTTATCTTTTAGAAATCGGAATCTTTTTCTTAACTCTAAGTGGAACTACAGATGGCAATTCAGAATCGAATTCTCTTGTCATTAGTGTCTTTCCACCGAAAAGTACATATTCGAATCCATATTATGATCCTGTAACTGAAGAATTATTATCAATGGATACAAATTATACAACTGAAGACAAATATTGGAATACAAGAAAATTGATTTTTAAACGATCTGTAACATCAAAACCAACGAAAAAGAAAAGTGAGAGAAGAAACTCTTTTTGTTGCTTTTAATACCAGTTTTTTTCTTTTAGCTCAACCGAAAAGTGATTTATATGGAGAAGAAAAGCTCGATCAGATGAAAAATCAAATTGTTATCGATTCTCAATGGGAAGAATTAATATCAGCTGGTCCTGTTACGATAAATTTACTTGGACAATTGGTTATTTTATCTTCGGAACGCGATTTTGACTTACAAGAATCAGTACCAAACTTTAAATTTCTCCATATGAAACATCCACAATCGTTTTCTGGTACATTAATACAAATAGCAAACGATGGTTGGACGGCATTTCATATCGCACATAAGAATATGGATTCGATAACGAGTTATATGAAACAAATTCCAGGATATATTCAAACAGCTTTAAAATTATTCATTCAAGGATCACCAAGGATAATTAATCGATCATTACCAAAAACTTTGGGAAATATTGAACGTATTGGAAACAAATGTATCGATTTAGCAACTGAAACTGATAAAAAATTTGACGAGTAAATAAACTAAATCGATTTTCTTTTTCTCAACGGAATATTCTCTTCTTTGTGTAGTGTTATTCAATTGATATCCGAAGTTATTCAGGTGACAACTGTCAGTCGTGGAATACATATTCAACGTGTTAAAAATATAACTAGAAAAATTGAAATCACAAAAACTGCTATCAATGGAACTGCAGGAATAGCTACTGAATTACAGAAAAAATATGAAAAAGACAATGCATTTTTAAAACAAACACAAGAAGATTTTCGGGATGCATTAAAACGTATTCCAACTGGTTTTCAAGCGATTTTACAAGATTTCACGCGAATGATTGTTGATGTTGCTCAAACTACCGCAAATCAATTCCTTTCATTTGGTGGTTTAACTAAAATACTCAGTTTTATCGGTCAAAAAGGTACAGGAGTAGCTGGTACAACAGGAAATGATGGAGCTGTAACAAACACAATTCCAGATATTTCTCCAGAAACAGCTGGGATTTTGACAATGATAAAAACGACTTCAGAGCAAATCAATAAAATTATTCAACAACTCAATGGAAATATCAACGATCCAGTTCACCTAGAACAAGAATTAGACGCATATAAAATAGCTTTTGAAAGTGTCATGAAAGCAGTTCAACGAGGTTTTGATCATAATAAGATCAAATCACAAGCATTAAGTTTAATGGAAACTTGTATTAATCTAATTGACAACACAATTGAATACATAAAACACATGAAAAGTGGAATGCAAATTTCAACAGAAATCAAAGCGGATTGGAACAATTTACAAAGACTTACTAAACCAATACTAGCTGCAAATAGTTTTGTAAATGGTCCAACTACTCCAAATGTTGGAAAAGGAAACAATCCAACACATGATGCAAATGATAAATATCGCAATGAAAGATTCAAAGCTCAACAATTGAAAGAAGTTCTGAAAGATACCCAAGCAGCAACGGATCAATCTTTCAATAATTGGATGGAATATCAAAAAAAATTAAATGATTTAAGCATCGAATTAGCTTCTTTAGACCCGGCAAAAATCAATTATCAAAAAATTGTTGAGTTGTTAAGTAAGTGAACATACATAAGAGAAATAAAGACATCCATTGCTTGAAGAATGTCTTTGTATCTTATCTCACATTGTAAAAAAAAACACTTCTAATGCAATTCAGTTCGTGTTTTAGATGATGCATTAACATTGCTGGGCAATCTGAAGGAAGAATGGTCAAAATTGGTCAGGTTTTTCAATATAATTACCAAACACGCAAGTATTGAACTAAACGAACCTATCAAACAATTTCTCAATGAAACACGTGATGCTTTGGCATATGAAAAGTTGTCGAAAAACGATCGAGATTACTATAGAGATAATCTAAAAGGTTATGCAAAATCAATTCATCGACAAGCATTTATTTTACATGTCATGGCCAAAACCTATGTGGATATGTCAAACGAACATATTATCACTCAATTAGCTGGTCTAGCCAAATTAATCAATGCTGGAACGGTAGAAGAAAAGAAACGAATGTCACATATGCTGAAAGATAAAATCATTGAGATTCAAAAAAAGGTTTTAGTTATGGTGAAACAAAGACGGGAAAAATATAACAAAGAAGTCAATGAACAAATTGGAAAATTAGATAAAACAATTGAAAATATGGGTGGTAATGATCCTGATGACCAAGAGAATATCAAAAAAGGAAAAGATTTATTATTAAATAATGATACAATAGAAAAGGTATCTGAAGAGCAGGAAGATGAACTGGAAGAAGAAGATCAAGACGACGAACAAGAATTACCATCTTTCAACAAATAAAAAAAAATGCCTTTGACCTCAATGGGTTTTTATTATAAACATTTTCAACATTGAGTCGTTTTTAGGTTGTTTCTAGTTTGCATGCTCACCCTTCTGCTGATACCTAAAAATTTCCATCAGAAGCTACGTTTAAGTGGTACGAGAGAAATGTTCACTGAATTTTACAATAATTTATAATTGAATTCAACGAGTGCCACGAAAATACTTTTTTTTTATTTCTTCCTTGCTTCGCTGTATTTGATCCTACGACATATGATTTTGCTTTGTTTTTGTATAACTGACAAGACATATCAAACATTGCGTTTGTTACTAAGACTTTAAATAAAACGTAACTCAATACGTTGGTGAAGTTAGCACCATATTCGTTTAGGAATGCGTTCCAAGTAGAACTCAACGAGTTCTATCTAGTGGTATACCCAGTTGCGACCTAGTCCCAACTTTAGTTTTTTGGATCAGTACTGCCGTTATTTGAAGCCTAAAAAACAAAACTCGAGTTATAGGGAAACTGGGCATACCACTAGATAGAGCTCGCCGAGTTCTACTTGGAACATCGATTGGAACGGTTGGAACGCATTCCTAAACGAATATGGTGCTAACTTCACCAACGTGTGGTATACAAGCGAAACCTAAAAATTATTGTCATCACATCGTCGCGTCAAGTCATAGAATTACTCATGGGATAAGATCATCAGAATCTGAATATCCGATTTTGAATAGGTTTTGAATTTGACTAACGACTATTTTTGTTGGTTTTTATTCAGATTTCTGTTTGCAAGTCGAATGAAAATTAAATTTTATTTGTACAAATGAACAAGAAAAATATCTGAGTTAGTCATCTGAATCTTAGTCAAAATTGATCTGTTTGGTTTTAGTTGACTAAGATTTATCTGTTGTTGACGTTTGTGGAAGGATAAACGCATCGAGAATTTCTTCATCAACCATTTCATAATCATTCGGTGTGGCGCGAGGATCAAGTGTATCACCATCAAATTCAAATCGAACATTTGTTGCTTTCGTATCAGATTTATAAGCATTGAAGATGACTTCAAAACGATCTGTATCCATCATTGTATATTCCCGTTTCGATGGTAAAGACGAACGACGATTCGAAGATGTTTGAATCGAAATTTTCAATTTTCGAATTAATGGATATGATTCAAGAAACTGATCAGCATCTGTTGAGAAATCCAATTGTTTCAGAGTCATTGAATGATTTTTTTCATCTAACTTCAATGTTCGATCATTATAAACCAAATAAATTGAGGATAAATGCAAATGTTCAGCAACTTGTTGACAGAGTGATTTCAATGTTGTTGATAATGGTAAAGTTAATGTCAATTGTCGTCCATCGCAATGATCGATGTTAAGGGTAACTTTATTAAATGAAAGACTTTTCACCGGCATGATCATCTCCAATCCATGTGAATCATCTAAACGATTACAACGCAAAGTCAGATTTTCGAAAGAAAGAAAAAGTTAACCATCAGACATAAGTACCGTTTGTATAGACTCAGCATGTACGTCTTAGAGAGGGCAAGTTGAATGTTCATCAGTTGGTTAACATAGATTGTAAAGACACTCATACCGCCCGTTCGTATGTTTTCTCATTTCTTATTATCGATTTCCATTGAAAAGAAAACCAATATCGAAATTAGAACATTAATCATCGTGTCTTTCTTTTTCGTTTCTCTAAGAAAGACTCGAACCAGGGTCGTGACATATCTTATCGCTATAGACCGTTGAACTACACAAGTCAAAACAAGAAATAACAAAATTTAACCTCTTTCACTCGGTTCATCACCATCTTCATTATTATCATCGTCTGTTGATGTCATTTGTTTTTCCACTAAAGGCTTCGTTACACGTAAAACTGCATCCAATCGATTATAAGCAGCTGTTTCACGCGTTACTTTTTCATCATCTTCTTCTAATTGGCTAATATTCATCGCATTTCTTGCTGATCTAAAAACTCGAATTCGAAGAGCGTTTTCCGAATGTTCAACTGACCTGCTCATCTGACTATGGCGACCACGATGAGAAGTGTGAGCGAGATATTCATCTTCGTTTTCATATTCTTGATCGTCTGCAGCCGTTCGTTTGCCTAATTTGATTTTTCTTTTCTTTTCTTTGTTCGTTGTAAAACACGATGTGACAATGGCATCGATTTCATTTCGAATGGAATCTTTGGTTTTTTCCGGTTCGGCAGATTGAACGACTACAGATTGAATGGAAGATTTAACTATTGGTTTCGTTGTTGCTTTGGTTTTCTTCGAAGGAATTAGATCGGTTTCGTCGTCAGATTCGGAATCAGTTGAACTAGAGATTTGTTTGAGATTTACTGGACTAAAAATAGAAAAGAATTTCGCGTAAAATTGGAAATTAATGAGAAATTACGTTTGGAGAAATTGTTTTAATTGTGCTCGTTTATTATTTAACGATTTTGCAGCTTGATAAGCGAAGAAATCATCTTCATCGTCTTCCATTGCATTCAAATTTCGAATTCTAAGAATGAACAATATATTTCGCATTGATTACTCATTGGACAACGGACAATAGTCTTTGTTCGTATTCTCACATTTTCTTATTTTTCCCAATAAAATTTTTCTTATTTCTTCTCAAAAATTTCTTCTGAAGAAATAAATTTCATCGAAGGAAATTTCAAAGGTTCAGGTAACCATGACAACAACATGAAGAATGGTGGCGACACTCAAACAAAATTTTGACGAAGAATATTGTTGAAATCAGAGCAGACAACAATGTCTTTGACACCACCTGACGCACCACCGTTTCCGATCTCACCCGATGACGAACATCAAGATGAAGAAGCATCGGTCGCTGCTTATGCAGAAATTTTGGTTTGTTAAACAGAGAGATTTTCATCTATTGATTAGGCTTTATTCTTTAGACTTTCCAATGGTGTTTTGGTTTTAATAAAGATTTACCAGTTTTGAATTTATCGATTAATAAAACCAAGAAAATCTTCTTCGTTGCTGCACAAATCGGAGTTTTATACGATTTCGCTAATAATCGACAACAATTATTAATTGGACATGTAAATTTTCGATAAAAACACTTTTCTTTCCAACATTTGCTTTCGTTCCTTTAGAGAAACAACATCACATGTTGTTGTATCAGTAACGATAAACGTTGGTTATGTACGGCTGATACTGGTCGTGATTGTACCATCATCATTTGGGATACAATCACTGGGTATGGGTGTTAAATTAGTATTTCTATTCGATATTCGTTTTTCTTTGTCGATTAGATTGCCGAATCAAACGTATTTCTATGTAATAAACGGTACAGGAACAGTCGCGTTTAGTTCTGATGCGAAATATTTGGCCACGTTGAGTGAACAAAGTCCACAAGTAAATTTTGAATATTCTGTTTTTGAAAAAATGTTGAGAAAATTATTGAGTAGATCGTCTCGATATGGGACTGGACATCGGAAAGTGATAAACCACTTTGTGCATTAGAACTAAAAAGTGAATATTCGAATCAACATTATTTACAATTCAATCCACGTCAACCAACACAATTGCTATCGAATTCATCAACACAAGTCCTTTTCTTCGAATGGTCACGTGAAAATGGATTAACTTGTTACGATCCCAATCTCTCCGAAAGAGTAAAAAAATCGAAATGTATATGAAATTATTCAAAACTTGTGATTCTCTTTAGACGTTCGATACTTCTCGCGAAAAACTGGGTTATATCACTCAATCGGTGTTCCTTGCTCATCCAACACAGGTCGTTTCGGGAACAACAACGGGAAAATTAGTTCTGTGGGATTGCAAATCATATCGAGAAAAATTAGAAATGAATAGAAAACAACAGTTAAAACAATTGGATTATTCACGTCAACAAACGAAAATCGGCGAAAGTAAAGATTTAACACGTAATCGAACAAAATCACCCGCGAATAGAGAATTAACACGTGATACATTGAAATCATCGGGTTCGACACGTAGTGGAACATTATCATCCAGAAAATCCTCTGCGAAAACAAGCCAGCAGGATGATGACGATAATAATCAACAACAAATGTCCTTCAGTGAACAATTATTAGAAAACGGTTAGTTTCTCTCTCTTCTTTTTTTTTCTTCAATTTAAAAACAAATTTCCTTAGAACAAAGTTCCAACGATCTCTTCGGTCTTTCTCCAATGAACAAACAGCCATTAAAATTATGCGAACCACAGAAGAAGCCAATCACTGTTTTAATCACAACAGGAGAGTAAGACAACACATCGAACTAATATCGAATTTTCTCTTTTTCGATTTCCAGTCTGATCGTTACAGGTGATACTGAAGGTGTTGTTCGGTTTTTCGATCAAGAACTGAAACTACGTATGTGGTTCGAACATATTCGCATCGGTCCAGTTCAATCTCTTTCATTTACATACACAACATCTGATTTTACTCCTTCACCTTTGTCAACAACATTGAATTTCAAACAGAATGAATCAACGTTACAACAACCTCCATTTTCCACACTTGATTTCACTGTTTCGTCAACCAACGCTGTCATTGCTCATGTAACACATTCAGGTCAACAGATCACAATTGTGAAACGAGATTCACCAACAGCGATTTACGCATTGGATACACATCCATTTCAACATAAACTATGTTTTGCCAATGCATCAGGTCGCTTACAATTATGGGATTACGAGAAAAAACAAGTCATTACAACTGTTCAACACACTCCTGATAATGCTGTAACGCAACTACATTATAATCATAATGCAAATTACATTGCCGTTGGATATGCAGATGGGAAATTAACAATTTGTGATGCATTGTCATTGGAAAGTATTTTGAAAGAACCATTTCATTATGCGAAAGCAGCAATTCTTCTTATTGAATTTTCCGAATCATCGGATTATTTAGCCACAGCAGTAAGAAATTTCTTGAGAAATGTCGATTCGAATGAGAATTTCTCATTTGTAGGAAGAAGATTACACGATTTCGGTTTATCGACAAAACTTTCATACTGAAGATATTTACACTTTTCTCGGTCGATATCGCGCACATTATAAACCTATTCGAGCTTTATTTTTTGGTTTTACCATTGACGATAATCAACCAATTCTAACAACAATCGGTAAGACACATATTTTAAGTTTTTAAAAGAGATTTGATCGAAATAAAAATAGGTACTGATCGTGTCTTGGCTGAATATGATTTAAATGAAAGTGAAGTTGATCGATTAGTTCTAAAACCATCAACAAGAATTGAACAAATAGCTGAACCAATGTCCGCAGGTTATTATCCAGCATCGTTAACTAAAGAAGCGTTTCTGATCACCGTTAACAATGAATATAAATATAAATTATACAATGCAGATACGAAAATGTGTCGAAAAACAGTTTTGGGACCGACTTTTGGTTCACCTATCCGAAAAATCGGTATTTTACCGAAAATCGATGAAAATTCACCTGAAGAATATATTTATTTTATGACAACCGACAAAATCGGTCTTCAACGTTTACCATTAACTGGAAATCCTTATGATCAAATGGCAATCATTGCACATCCAAATCGTGTCAGCGATGTTCGAGCGAGTTACGATGGTCGATATTTGTTTACAAGCGGAGGTTTAGATAATGTTGTGCACATGTTAAGTGTTAATCCACAAGTTTTACAAGCACAAGCACAATTAGGTGGAAAAGACTTGATTCCATTTTATAAATTATTAGAAGGAGGAAGAGAAGGCGAAATATTTCGAGAAATGCAAGAATTATTTTATTATAGTCAATTGAGATAGTAAGAAGAAAGAATTTGATTGAATGAAATGACTTTGTTTGTTACTTTTAGTCAAGATATCAATCGATTCGATCGTCGAGAGATCAAAGCGACGATTCCATTAAGTGAAATTCCATTCGTTATGCGAGCATTGGGTTATTATCCAACTGAACAAGAGGTTTTAAAAAAAAAGTCTTTTTATCCGAAATCAAAGAAAAATTTGTTTCTTCACAGGTTGAAGAAATGATCAATGAAGTGAAATTTAGTACTTATATCGATACGAAAACTTACGTCGATGAGATCGATTTGAATGATTTCATCAAATGTAAACTTCGATATTTTTTTTATCACGAAAATCTTTTAATAATCTTTTTTCTACTTTAGTATATATCAATCATCGACCAGCATTTGGTTTGAATCCAGCTGATTTGTCACACGCATTCAATGTTCTTTCTGATGAGATTAGTTCTGATGATGGTCAACCAGAAATCAATCGAGAAAATCTTCTGTGCCTTTTACAACGATATGGTGAACATATCAACGATTATGAAATGGCCGAGTGTTTAGCTAATTTATTAAATTTAAATAACGAAACTACAGAAATGTTTGATACAATGAATGCAGATGACGCTTGTAAAAACTGATCGTCTTTTATCTGATTATGAAATACTTTTCTATTTGTTTTTTAGGTCAATTTATCGAAAATCAATTACCTGAACAAGTGACGATTCAAACATTTATGGAAGATTTATTAAAAATGCCATCTCAATACATTAATCAAGTATTAAATTCAGTCAAAGTACACCAACGACGTCGATCCTCCCTAATCGATCGAAAGAGACAATCATCGATCGATAAACGATATCATTCATCAATGACAGCAACGTCACAACGTACAGGATCAATTCTAAATGATTCTCAAAACTGAAAATCAAACTTTTACGAAAGAAATATTTCGAATAAAACTTTTTTATTATTTCAAATCTTTATACTTTCAAAGAAACATTCAATGCCTTCCAAGACTCCATAATTATTTTCTCATCTCCTGCAGTGTCGTTTTCATTGTACTAAAAAACAAGTGTGAAAATCATTTCATTCATATCTTCTTTTTGATTTGGATCAACCGATTATTGTCGAACACTGATCGAGCATTGATGAGTAAACTGACACCAGTTAATACGATAAAAAAAACAAAAACGATATATCGAGGTTACGTTATTGTATCGTTCTCTAATCCTCAATCATCGTTTTCATGACTCATCCAGTATGATTTGATAATGTTTCTCCTTCGTAGTTAACTTTTTCAAGGTCATATGTATATTTTAAACAGTCGCATATTGTCTTTTCTTCAAGTCACATAAAAATTATTTGAAACGCGCTGTGGTATGTTAAATTGGAATTGATAAAATACTTCCGAATTCCATGGCCTGATACACGCGAAAGAGAAAGACGTGTGAATTATACTAAGAATACTCTGACGGATTGTATTTTTGTTTGTCATCGATGGTGAGGAGAGAACAAATATAATTTATCGTTTCTTTCTACTTGATAACGAAATGTAATCAAGTATTTTGTTTGAGTTCGACAAAAAATTAGTTCGATTGTTTGATGAGTTTTTTTCCGGTTTCATTTCTTTTTTTTTCATTCGAAAAAATCGAATTACAATCGATTGTATGGTTTTTTCATGCCGTCATTGTTCTTTTCTTGCCGAGAGAAAATTAGCAGATTGTCTGTTTGTCGTGACGAATCAGATCGTTTCACAAACAAACCAGATCAGCTCAACTCACTTGAAATATTCTAGGCTTTCTTTCAAGACATTGACTGAAATTCAATGGAGAGAAAGGATCGAAAGAGAACAGTGTGTATTTCTATCAACTTTTTCATATAAGAAAAAATAAATCTTATTTTTTCAATCGATCGTACCTTTTTTTTGTAATACTTTTAGTTGTCGAATTAAAAAATGCCTCAAGCGTGTGTTTCTGATGGATGTAAATACACATCACGTGTTTTATGTCATTGTTGTAACCAAAATTTATGTCTGGAACATTTAAAACAACATAATGAAGCGAATAATGCTCAATTAAATCCATTAGCTGATGAAATTAATACTCTCAGTGCGGATTTAATCTCGTTAAACTGTGATAAATTGACTCAAAAGTCTCGCGAAAAACTCGACCAATGGCGTGAGAATTGTTTCGCAAAAATCAATGAATTCTACGAGAAGAAATGTGAAGAATTAACTCGACATTGTCACAAACAGATTGACGTGTTACAACATGATCTCGAACAGATTCGTTCGAAGATTTGCAAATCGATCGACGATCAAGAAATTACGAAAGAAGATTTGGAAATTTTACAAATAAATCTCGCAGATCTGAAATACAAATTGTTTCAATTTCAACAAAAACCTTTACAAATCACAACACGACATTTAATTCTCAATGAGAAACTCATTTCATTTGATGAAGTGAAAATCTATGAATTAAATTTAACAAAACTACCAGATCCATATCGAACGATTCCTTGTACCGAACAAAGTTGGCCAGCGATGGCAACGAACGATCGTTTTCTTCTAGTTGATCAATATCCAAACATTATTTTGTTGAATCATGATTTGAAAATTATCAAACAGATTTCTTGGCCACACGCATTTATCAGAAGTATTTGTTGGTCGTCAACAGCGAATAAATTCGTTATTATTAATAAAGAAAAAGAAGTCTTTTTCTTGGATGAAAATTGTTTATCAATCGAACGTATTCAAACTATTGAAGAGCAATATTGGTGGTCGTGTGTGTGCTCTGATACGTCTTTGTTTCTGACGAATACAACAATGGGAACAAGTATTTATCAATTTAATCTTTTATCTTCATGTCAATTGACTCAACGATGGAAACCACCGTATTCGTGTAAACAACATGAATATATTGATGATATTTCATATCAAAATGGAACATTAGCCTTAGTTATTAAGGTTTCATCGAATAACACTGTACATTTAGATCTTCGTTCATCGCAAACGCTCGAACGACTTTGGTCAACTCAGTTGAATATCAAGAAAAGTTGGTTTCAACAAACTATTCGTTGTTGTTCGTTGAAATATGGTGAATGGCTTGTGGTCGAAGGAAACACTTCACATTTATTTCATATATTAAAAAATGGAAAAATGAAAATTACAGAAGAATATAAACCATCACCGATGAATGCGCTTCTTTTCGGCTCAAATATTTTCATTGTGCGAACAAAAGACAATGTCATTTTTCATCGACTATGATTCGATTATAGTTGTATGTAAATAAACATATCGAGTTCATTTGAGAGTTTGTTTATCGACGAGATATGTCTGAAGGAAGAAAAAATAGAAATATGAAAGAGAAAATGAATTCATAATCAGATTTACACAGTCGAACTGCCATCACTCCGACAGCTTGATGAGCTATTGTAACGAAAGCTTGTTCTTCATTAAGTTGAGTATATGCCAATTGGGTTAGTGGACTCAGAGATCGAGTTTCTGACACATAACCAAGATCAACACGAGAAATCAGACGATGAATGTTAACATCAATTAATAACAATAAAGCTTTTCGAGAAGCGCTGACAACGACGATGATTAGACGATGATTCTGAATCAGAGTCATTCGTGATAATTGTCCAATGATATCTTCTTGAACAAGTTCTTTTAAGGAAATCGATGAAATATGTTGTGTTGAAACATTAACCAGAAGAATATTGTACATGAATGAATCGACTACGAATAACATTGAGTCAGTATCAGAAAAGGCCATGTCATTCGCACAAAAGTTCGATAGATTAACAAGATATTCAGTATGTGCTGAATCATCATCATCGGAAATCACAAGAATTCCTGTGGTGTTAGAAACAAAGAGCCATTTACGATCGATAGAAAGTAAAGGTCCTTCGGTTCGATTACAAAAACTGGATTGTTTTCCGAATTCGTATAGCCAAGCGATACGCAATCGTTCTACGATGCTACCAGTTGTTTCAGCTGCAATAATCACTTGTGATAACGTTGTATTATGTTGAGCAATTAAATACCATCGATCAATATTCATGTTCAGACTCATTGATCTTGACAGACGATTGTAACCTGGAGGTAATGCTTGAATACCCAGTGGAATACCTGAATCTTCGATTCCAACAAACTAAAATCGAATGGAGATCAATTATTGTTTGTCGATGAAAGAGAAATCTTCTCATAACTTACGGAGATCTGATCGGCGACAATGATTTGACCATTACTCGTCACAAATGGTCCAGCTAATGGAGGAATTAATTTTGGAATATAATCAAAAATGCCAACGACTTCACCTTGTGGATCAATCAATATACATCGTGTACCATTGGCAATGATCAAATAACCTCGATAATTAACTACAGGTAACGATTCTGCTATGAATCGTCCTTCAACATTAAGAGCAATTGTCCAGAGTAATTGACCATTGGTAACATTGATTGATACATGTCCAATGTCGACAGTACATATAAGTGAAGATTGTCCATTGGAAATACAACCGCGAGAAGGATTAATAAGAAGATCCAAACGTTGCCATTCAATACGGTCATTAAATCTCTCAACAGCAAGATCAACATAACCACTAAGTGTATTTTCACATCCATCCATTGGACATCCAGTGAAATAACCACCAGTAATTGGGATTATCATTAGAATAAGAAATAATACTTTCATATTTTCTAACACAAAATAGAATTCGATTTTTATTGAAGTACAGATAATTCACTGAATGACATTCACATACTTTTAGAAACTGAAAGAATAGAAAAGAAAGAAAAATGAAGAATCATACACATGATAACAAAAGACACACAATGACAACTGGCCTTGTCATTCCGTATAAGCATGACAAGAAACTTTAATATTTTATCTTATCTAAATAGAAATTTTTCGTCTTTTCGAATCGATCAATTTGAAAGATCACAATTGTTTATAATTTCGATTTGGAAAATAAATTTTAATTTAGCCATTTTTCCCTGTAAAATTCAACATACACAAATGAACGTTTTTCCTTAAACAGGAAAGTCACATATAGCATTATTAAAGCTAGAAAAGTGTCCGAAAAGCATCAAAGATAAAGTTTTTCCATGATATCATATACATCAATCACCATATACACTTTTATTTAGGAGAACAAAAAAAGAAAAATGAATAGTTATATGAAACTGCAAATCTTCATTTCATTTTATTGAACATCTGGATGAATTTGTCTATTTCGACATTTATATATTTCCAGAATAAAAATTGTTATCCAATGAGATAGAATCATTAATCCTCCATACAATCCAATAAGAAAAGTAATACTATCGATAACATTTTGATAACCAATATAAGAATAAGTACACGACAAAGGTGAACATTGATTAAAATATTTTTCATACGATAAATCAAATGAATAATTTTCAACCATTAATTCTTGAAGAATCGATTCTATTGTTAAATTAGTCGAAAATTGATTTGTTAAAAAAGATGAATTTAATGTTGATTGAAGAAAAGTTTCTAATGGAAAACATCCATTCCATAATTTTGTACATTTTGATGATAAACCACAATCACATTCATCATAAATAATCGATAATGTATGAAAATTATCATTCTTCTCATCAAATTCATAAATCCAATTGGTTGAATATCCACTGATTAGTTGATTATTCTCAGTAACTTGACGGAGAAGATTAAATGTTGTGAAAAATGTTTTAGAAATTCTCAAATGAAATTCTTTGATTAAAATTTCGATTTGATTCTTTAAAATATTTGAAGATATTAAATCTGAACCAACAAAATTCGTTAATAACAATTGTGATAATGATTGATCGATTGTCTGTTGAGATATTTTACAAAATGATGATAAAAATTGCAAATTTCGATATTGAACTGGATTTTCTTCATGAAGAAATTCCATCAATTGATCAGAAATAGAATAATTTGAACAAATAAGATGAAATGACGGTTGAATTGAAAGAAATGTTTCATATTGAAAAGATATTTCCTTACATAAACATCGTAATGTCGGTTGTTTTACCGATAAATCTTTATAAATCGAGATTGTTGGTAAATCAATCTGAACAGTTGTTAATTTTGGTCTAAGAAATATAATTAAATAAAAGAATAGAATCAAAATTATTAGAAATAAACATTGCAAACGAGATTGAAATTGTTTTTGTTCTTGACAAATAATCGATTTGAGTAGATTTTTCTTCTGATGAATTTTTCCGATAAATTTTATGAAAATAACGAGAAAAATCTTCAAACCTGTTGATAAACCTCCTAAAATTCCAAGAACGATGACTAAAATCATCGCCACAGATCGACGAGAGATTTGTTCAACTACACAATAACTCGGAGAACATTTTTGATAATACGATGAAAATGACATATTCGTTTTCAATGAAACGATCATCACACGATTAACAATTGATTCAATTTTTTCATTGAATTGATTATTATTGTTAATCAACAATGAAATATTAGTTAAATAATTAGATGAATTTCCAATTTCTTTGATAATTTCATTGACACACGTTCGATTATAATAACATTCTAATGTTCCTTGTAATAAACTTTCAAATGATGAACAACCGACGTAGAATGAAGAAAACATTTTCTTACTACAACTTTGTGATAAATCACAAGAACAATTCGAATAATTTTGTGGAATAAAATTCACTGTGTGATTATTGATTTTGAATTTAAAATTATAAAAATTATTGAGATATTGATTTCCTTGATTGGTGATTCGAACAAGATCAATAACACGTTGACATCCACTAATCATATTGATTTGCCATTGTTTAATTAAATCAGGAAATTGTAAATGAAATTCATTTAATGAAATCACTTGTGCACTAATAAACTTTGTTTGAGAAAATACTTGAAGATTTTCATTGACCATGTCTTTTGAATAATTACACAATGTTCGCAAAATGTTCATTTGTGTTCCCAGATTTGTACGAATTTTACTGGAATTGATCAATGTATAATTATCATTGAGTTCATTTTTCATCAAATAATCGATCCATTTCGATGAAACAAAATCACTCGAACAGATTTCATCATGAATTGCTTCAATGGAAAGAAATTCATCATAGAATATCGAAAGTGACGAACATGGACAATTCAAATTGGTCGAATATTTTTCATAAAGTTGATAATACTCAGATTCTGTTGGATTGGGAAAGATTTCTCGAATGATTTCTTCCATAATAGATGAATAAATTGTGAGACTGGTTAATGAAATTAAAAGAAGAAATAGATAAAATCGTGTTCCAAATTTTTCATACGAAATCAATTGAGGATTATTTTTGTCTTCAAAGAGATTTAAATCAATTGCACGTCTTTTCAGATTTACCTTTATTTCATTAATATGTTGAGAAACTAAAATTTAAAGAATTTCAATAATATTCAATTAAACGATATTCATTCGATGTCCATTTTAAACAAAGTAAAACAGAAATAGATCGTGTAAGTTTTAGAAATTCCAACAATTTTCATTCTTTCTCTTCTACTTTATATTTTCACAAGAAACAGAATTCAATAAACACGACAGTTTCTGTTCATTCTCTTAGAAATAATAAAGAAACTTACGTGGAATCTTTGATTTCGGTTGTTTTTGTTGTGTATTTGGTTTTCTTCTTAAAAATCGAACTAAATTCGGAATAAGATTTTCTAAGATTAGTTTTAATCCACTAAGTAAACTGATCATTTGAGTTAGAACAAATAAAAAATCATTTTTTCTATTAATTGTATAACTACAAGAAATCGGTGCGCATTGAAGAAAATAATTTTCATAGGAAATATTCGAAATCAATTTCTCAATCATTAATTGATTAATAATAGATTGAATTGTCATTTGAGGAGAGAAAATACTTTGTTCAGATTGATTTAATGATTGAAATGTTTGATTTGTAGGAAAATACGAAAGAATTTTCTCAATACATTTTCGATCATAAAAACATTCTAATGTTGATTGAAGAAGAGAATTTATTGGTAAACAACCACTACGAAATCCAGGAATTTCCATTGATAAACTCATTCGTTCATCTTCTGATTGATTGTAAAATCCCGATGGAATAACAATGTTGTAATCATTAAGACAACGATTGGATGATGAAGATGAATTTGGATAAATCAAATAATTTATGAAGAAATCCGATGTTTCATTGACATATTTGACATTGAGAATCGTTTTTAATCCCGATAAAAGTTGATTACCAAAGATTAAATTGTTGAGAAGATTCAATTGGGATGTAAAAGTGACTGGTAAATTCATCTTCAGTTGTTCGATAGATGATTGAATTGTTATTTTTAGTAAATCTTCGAAAAGAAGTTCGGAGTTTATCAAGGAAAGATCGTAAAATGTATTCAAATTATCTTCAATTGTTGTTTGTGAAAGAAAACAAAAACTTGCAAGTGATTGAAATTGTGAACTGCCAATTCCACGAAAATCTCCTGGAGGAAAGAATGTCGAATTTTTTCCGGAATAAATCACATTGATCCATCGATTAGAAATCAAATCACTTGAACATATTTGATGAAAACGAGCTGTTATTGTTAAAAATGTTCCATATCGAATTGATAAACGTGAGCAAATACATTGAGCATCATGTGGAAATGTTTTTGTTTGTTCAAATGTTGGTGAATTGATTGTTATCTTGGTCATTTGAGGAATCAATGCAAAACTAAAGGTTATACTAACCAAAATTAATAACATCGATATGAGATAAATTCGTGTGGATATTAATCCATTTTCATATTCATGTTCATCTTTATCATTTGTTTTGAATATATTCAACTTACGTAGATAAGAGAATAGTTGAGACATTGTTGAAATGATATGAAGAGCAAATGAATACGAATAATTCAGAAAAATTGATAAAAATATTACATATTTCCTGTCCATTTTTTCTTGAAGAAAAGTTGACGATATATTTAGGAAATTGTTTCTGATTGGAAAAATATTCTTCCTGAAAAGAAGCAAAGTTTTTTCTTATTATAAATATGAACTTTACCTCTTGTGAGAAATAAAAAATGAACTGAAGAAATTAGGACAGATTTTTTTAAAACATGTTCATTAACGTAATGCAAAATATCGACGTTATAAGAAATGAATATCTGACGCATTTAAAGTAATAAAACATTAGGAAATGACGTCTTTTTTTACTTTGGTAATGATAAAAGTAACGGGCTAAAAACTATTCATATAAGTAAAAAATTATACTTATGATTCATTGTACGTGTGCTATTTTTGTAGTTATGATAACTGGAAGTTTATTTCGATAGCAAAGATATTATGAGGATACGTCAAGATCAATCACTGAATAGTTGAACGTCTGATTACAATTCTCGAATATGAGATTATTGTATAAGCAATAGTTTATGATTGACAATACCATTATATCGCTAAAACAAATAAACAAAGGATCCGGGGTCATCAAGAACACGAAACAGTTCATCTTGAGATTAAGGGTGTATGTGTTTTTCACTCAGACCACCCATCTGCTATTTATAGATCTTTATTATAGATACCGTAACTAAAGTTTGCGTGGAGATTACGACAATGAGTGTGATCCGATGGACTTGGGTGAAACTCACCCGAATCCTCTTTGTATGCGTTAACGTTAACAAAATTTTTGTTAAAATCTCTACTTCGCTTGAAGAGAGTTAAAGTGTCAACATTATGTTACTAGGAATAGATTTCAAACATCTCAGTATTATAGTATATGAACGTAAGAAAGTGAACGGATTACTCAAACTAATTAGTGTACTTTCTACCGTTGATTTACATGCTAACTTCTAAAAGGCTAAATTGATGGTGATAAAGTTCTCTGTTGCATCAGAATTTTACTGACGTTCGAAGATGAGACAAATTGGGAGATCGACTCCTCAGTTACTGAAAGAACTATTGATATTTTTCTATGACTTCTTGTGTCGTATATATGATACACTTTTTGCAGCACATCTAACTTTTGGATAAAATCCGAAGTTTTGGCATTCATTATGATAAAATTCCAAACTTTGCACTATTTACAATGCACTTCTATCGAACGATGTTTAACATATTCCCACGCACATTTTTCGATTGTATTGTTATCATTTCATAAATTTTATATTTGTATATTTATTACGGACTCATTTTTTTCTTCTTTCTTGTTTGTCTTCTTCAAGTTGGAAATAGAAAGTACAATTTCGAAGTGCATACCATGATCCCGCAAAGTTGTACATTGTACACAACAGTTTCATTTCCGAAGCCTCCATTCAGTAAAATGTTTATCTAATTTCGAAATCATAATCGCGCTCGGGTCACATCCTTCAAAATGAGGAGATATCACCAGAAAATCATCCGAGATGATTAATGTTTCGTTTATAAATTTTACAAAAGGTCGGCGATCACCCAGTAAATTTAAAATATATGAATGAAAAGGACATTGTTGTTTGCTTTANGTACACAACAGTTTCATTTCCGAAGCCTCCATTCAGTAAAATGTTTATCTAATTTCGAAATCATAATCGCGCTCGGGTCACATCCTTCAAAATGAGGAGATATCACCAGAAACTCATCCGAGATGATTAATGTTTCGTTTATAAATTTTACAAAAGGTCGGCGATCACCCAGTAAATTTAAAATATATGAATGAAAAGGACATTGTTGTTTGCTTTACGTCGGATCCGATATTATGTTTAGTTTTATTTCGCTACGGCAATGTGTATTTCAATCAGAAACATAAAACAATCATTCGTACATAATCAATTTTGTCTGGCGCAACGAAGACAAACAGTCACTGTCTGAAAATATATAAGCGTTTGTCTATATTCTTTTCCGCTCAACTAAAATTGATTTTTCCTGAATCAGCAAACATATTAATTATGTGGTACTCATGTCATCTCGTTTTTTCGTTAATCCTTTCGTTCATTGGCAATCCAGTTGTAGGTAAGTATATTCCCAATAGAAATATGAAAAGCGCTAGTCTATTATTTTTCAGGTTCATTCTTCAACCAGTTGACGTTTTGTCCAAATGCAACGTGGAACCCAAATGGTATTACATTCGCCAACAATATCAACGACTTATTTGGTCTATTTGTTGACATCAACAATATTATCTATGCCACTTCACAACGTTCCAATACAATCTACATATGGTCTGGAAATAGCAGTAATCTTATTCACACGTTATCTGGCAATTTAAATAGTCCAGGCGCTGTATTTGTCGCAAACAATGGTGATATATATGTTGACAATGGTAAGAACAGTCAACTTCTGAAATGGACGTCAAACGGATCACAGAGTGAACTCGTCACAAATATCAGTGCGCAAACTCTTGGAATTTTCATTGATCTCAATGACACTTTATATATATCCTATGATGATCTGCATGAAGTAGTGAAAATGTCATTAAGCAATGGATCGAGCCCATTGGAAACTGTTGCTGGAAATAGTACTGCTGGCTCGGACGCGTATTCGCTTAGTCATCCAAACGGAATTTTCGTTGATTCCGAATTTTCGCTGTATGTGGCCGATGCTTTCAATAATAGAATTCAAAAATTTGCAGTCGGACAAAGAAATGGAACAACCGTAGCTGGGAATGGAACATCTGGAAGTTTCCAGCTTACTATGCCAACAGGAGTCTTTATCGATGGGGGTGGTTATTTATTTATTGTAGATACATCGAATAATCGTATTATTGGTTCGGGACTTTATGGTTTTCGATGTATTGTTGGATGTTCTACTCCGGTGGCAGGTTCGCTGTCCAATCAACTGAATGCACCACGAACGCTTGGTTTTGATAGTTATGGAAATATTTTCGTTTCTGATCGCTCTAATCAACAGATTCAAAAATTTATCTTAATGACTAATTCTTGTGGTGAGTTTTTTTCCTCATAGTTCCTAACTATCTATGTTTTCCGTTTTTTTTCTGCAGCCATAGAAACCACTACAACACAAGGTAACATGATTTTGTACTTATCTATATCCTGTATCGTATCTGATTAATTTTTGGAATTATATGTTTTCAGGAGTACCTGTTAAACAAACTACAATCACAACTGGATTACTTCAATCTTCACCGTTATCATCAATATCATACAATCTAAGTACAGTTTCATTATCAGTCATTAATCAGAGTAACTCCGGTTGTTTTCCACCTATCGTGACATTGATTCCAAATGTTTCAACATTGCTATCGCCATTACAGTTTCAATACAGCAAAGATATTTATATCAGTTCGAATATCCAACCCAGTTGTAATCAATCTTTAGCCATACAAACACAATGGACTGTGTTCAATTGTTCCCGTAACTGTTCATCTTTAGTTCAAATCAATCCAACCATTGTCACAACTCACAGTGATCTCTTTATTCCTGCTAAAAGTTTACCCAACGAAATTTATGAATTTAAGTTGACTGTCACTCTAGTTTCTTCATCCAGTTTAATTGGATTGAGTTCTGCTTATATTCAAATCATTCCAACAGGCATCACAGTTAATCTTTTTCAATTTGGAACGTCATCGATTACATTCGGTTATGCTACAGATCTACTCCTGGATCCCGGAGCAAATTCAATCGATCCTGATGAAAACATATTCAATGCTTCCGTGAGATCTTTTTTCGAATACATTTCTTCTTCTAAATAGATTTCTTTATATATATAGAACTGGATGTATGAATACTATTGTCGCACACTGGATTCTGAAAGTTTCCCAAGTATAAATGGTTCATTACTGACAATCGATGATCCTCGAAGTCTTGTATTCAATTCATCGTGTTTCTTCAATAGATCAAGTATTTTTTAATCTGTTTGGATTGCAACGCTTTATCTGTTTTTTTTTCCAGATATTGGAGTTGTTTCATTTCCTTCATCATCGCTACGAATTCTCTCAAGATCGCTTCGTCCTAATCAAACATATCAATTCATGGTGAAAATGCTATCCATTTACAATACTTCTTCATCAGCCATTGGTTATTTACTTGTTCAAACTGTTGATTACAACACTCAAATCGTCGCTGTTGGGTATGCTTCCCAATATTTCGTTTCTGTTATTTACATCCTTCACAATTTATTTAGCTGTGTAATATCAACAATGTGCGCGTCAAACCTGGAATTTCAACTAATCAATCCTACAACACAAGTGGCTTTGTTTTCTCTTTGCATTGACAATTGTCAAACAAGTGTTAATATCACATGGAATATCTATTATAGTCTGACTAATAGATCATCGAATCTTATTTCATGGATTAGATGGAATCAGACGAATGCCTATGAAAATATTTGGCTGTTTGGTAAGCTACCGTCGTCAACTATTGATTCGACATATGATTGACTATTGTAGGTATGAATACAAGTAATTTCACTGTGGCAAAAGAAATCTTTTTCGTCAATCCTCAAATTATTTATTGGAGATTTGAAGTTATTTATTCATCGTTGAATGGAATAGGTGTGAGTGCTTTGAATTTTCTCATCAACGCACCACCTCGAAATGGATCTTGTTCTATTAATCCTCTTAATGGTACAACAATGACTCTATTTACAATAACATGTTCCAACTGGCTCGATGAGAATAGCATCAACGATTATTCGCTCTATAGTAAGTTATAAACATGATCTATATTCTATTTTGTATATGCCAAAACCATATGAAACTCTTTTAGGTTACAACCAAAATGAATCCAACGCCAATCTTGTCGCTTTCAGTTCTGTACCTATGTTTCAAGTTCGATTACCAGCCGGAAGCAACACTACATCGAGATTGAATCTGTTTGTGAAGATTCAAGACACATTGAACAGTTATACTGATTTCAATCTCACATCAGTTCTCATCGTTCAAGATACGACAATCTTGAGTGATCTCATAGATAGTTTTCGAAATAGGACAAACATATCCACAAATCATCTCTTCTCTCAGCTACTTTCGACCGGAGATCAGAATACTGTCGAACAAATTATCACTATACTTTCACAAGAATTAAACCAAATCAATAACGAACAACTGCAGAATGCTGTTACTAGTACGTATCTTCTTTGAATTAATCTTATGACTTTCTTTTAATCTTTTTCTTGTAGAAGATATACCTGTTGCCAGTGTTTTTGTTTCGCCACTCGGAGAATCCAGTTTTTCGAGCAATTATGTGTTACCGAATGCATCAACAATGCTCTATTTCAATAAACAAATGAACACATATGCTACCATTCGAGAATATCTCATGACTACTCTCACAAATCTTCCGATTATACCTACTACAAAGGGAATTACATTGCAAGCATCAACCATAGCTCAACTAACTCAATCAACTAATCAGCTTACACGACTGCTTTCGGTACTTGTTCGAATAGCTTTATTTTATTTTGTAAATTGTTCATTTTCATATGTGACTATGTAGACAAACGCCTCAGCAAAATGTCATCAACTAGCACAGAAACTGTACTTAATAATGAACAAGATCTCCTACGAAGACACTCAAGCAGCAGTTCAATCAATTGCTACATGTGTTTCTAATGTTATGACTGTAGGATCTTTGACTATGTTTGATGTCATCCGATTATGAAATGTCTTTTTAGGCGATTAATGGACCATTGCAACAACGAATAACGACTCTTGATTTAGATTTCTCTCGTGCGAATGAATTTCCTTACGATTATGATACAGATGTTGAATTTAAATGGTCTGATCTGAGTAGGACTTTTTGCTGTTTGATGATGAATACTCTTATTTCATTTTCTAAAGAATTCTTTGCTGACGGAAATGATTATTCGTGGCAAACAATACAGAATGGCCGAAATTTCTACTATCAAAAACAAACGGCTAATCAAATCGACGCTCAGTCAACGGAAACTCTCTCATTACTCACAAAAATCTTACAAACTCACATAAACATCGGTCAAAATTGTACAATAAACACTTCAGCATTATTTCTCTCACTGGAAACCATATCAGTTGCTTCGCTCTCGAATAAACTCGTTCAATTAACAGAAAACGCACAAGTTCACCTTCCATCATCACTTGCCAATATCAATTCTACAACAATTTCTATTCGAGTCTGACGATTAACTTTTTCCGAAAGATCACGTTGAATTCTATTTGTTTATTTCTAGTCATTAATACAACCATTAGCCATTGCTGATCAATCAAATACAAATCTTTCTCGATCTCTTTCCTTTTCAATATTTGATCGGAATGGAAATGAATTGACAATTCAAACCAATCAATCTATTAAATTAATCATTCCTCGAGATAAAAACTTTGTTCTTCCACCGATGAGTTTACAAAATGTTACAGCAATCAATTCTACTGCTCGACATCTTCTATTTAACTGGCACTACATTAATCTAAATCAATTTAAACCAAATCTGTCTGTATCACTTCATCTTGAAATGGAACCTTTAAATACAAGTCTAGCTTATTTCTTGGCCTACAAATTTGATAGTTCGAGCAATACAATTGCAGGTTGGACACTCTTTTGTCCATACAGTAAGTGCAACCATCGAAACTAGTGTAATTCATCGACTGAATACTTCTGCTTACTTTAGATCTGACAAATGATAGTTATTACATTTATTTTCTTGACAATCAACAGACAGCTAACCATCAATCAGTGATATTTGGTTTACGAGAAATGAATTCTTTCGAACTAATTACATTTTGTTCGAATCGATCAAACAACACTCTGCCCGTACCAACAGATCCATTTGTATTCTCTTCCAACTATAATCTTCGTACTTATGTTTCTGGTTGTTATTATCTTGATTCCAAAAATAACTGGCAATCAGATGGATTGATAGTATAGAATATTTTCGATAGAGAAACTTTTCTGTACGTGATTTTTTTAGGTGGGATCACGAACAAATCATAATGAAACTGAATGTTATTCGAATCATCTCACAACATTTGCAGGTGGTTTTCTTGTTTTACCTGCGCCAATCAATTGGGATTATAGCTTTTCCAATACGGATTTTCTTCGAAATAAAACTGTCTATGTTGCAATTGTTTATGTCTTCACTATTTATATCATATTGCTGATCTATGTACGTTATGAAGACAACAAAGATATGCAAAAAGTATCAATGACACAATTGTAAATAGATGAAATATGAAGGTATTTCTGCTTTAGCTACCATTGATGATGGTGATTGATAATCAGAAAGATACAATATTAAAATTGAAAGTAAAAGATTGAATTAAAATTGATAACGATGGAAACGCTGCATATGTTAGGTACAATTTATGATGTTGGGAAAGAAGAATGAGACAGAAATTCGTTCATTTATTCAATCACATCCCAAAATCTTCGAACATTCTGGTGTTGATTCATTTCTGATCGTTGTTTCCAGGTGAACATATTCCTTTTTATATTAATGATTGAAAGAAATATTTTCCAAACTCATAGATCATTTTGTTCATTGAACTGTATTTATATCTGGCATGACAATAGTGAAATAGGTCATTTAACATCCTGGTTTTTTGAATACATTATTTTTCGTGATTTAAAAACGATAGAAACATTCAATTTCATTTTTGAACAATGGATAGCTGTTGCAGAAGACAATGAACGAGTAATTGATACTTCAGAATACGATTTTAATAGAAAGTTATTGTATTATAGATCAAACAGATTTCGAAAGTGGCAAATGAAGACCAAGCACAACAGTTTTCTCACCTTCGAACTATACAAAAGCATCACTATTTGGCTGAAGGATATCCTCGATTTTCGATTATTTTGCATTCGCCGTCGAAGGAATTCACACGAGTTCAACGTTGTAGTTTTTGCTTAACTTTACGTTTCGTGTTGGCGTCATTGAATGCTCTCTACCATGATCAAATGGAACAGATAAACACAAAAAAGAAGACGGACAGTCTCGGTACACTCTGCGATTCTCTCGATATTAGTTCAGAACAGGTTTGTACGAAATCATTTTTCTTGTATTTATCAAAAGAACCAAATAATTAAATCGATTAATTCAGATTAGTATCCATGTCATGATTCAGTTGATGTTGTTCTTTCGGCGCGTGCGAACATCGCGAAATACAAATGAATCATTGATTGCTGAATTCTTTTCATCGATATTTCTCATTTAATCACTCGAAGAAAGTTTATTAACACAACAAAACTGCAATTTTATAAATTGAATTTATTTAGTTTGTTTTCTTTATATTTTACATTAGAAGTTCTGACTATGATGGAAAAGTAACAGCGTATTTTGATGATTATCATTTGGACAATGATGAGACAATGACGTGCTTAAATCCACATATATTGACTCGAAAGTAAAGATTATAATAAACAAGAAAGAAACGAAATGTTTTCCGTAAACGTTGAATCGTGAAAAGAAACGGCTATTCTCATGATGTTTTTGTCATCCTTCGGAACTGTCATGATTCATTAGAAATTTCACTTCATCCATCAAACTTCTGATGTTCGACCATATGAACATATTTCTTGTAAGCATGAACTATTCATAATAATATCATTCAGATTTATCTGTCAGAAAGAATGGCAGAATATCTGCACTTATCGTACTTTGACGATCTCTTATAGTCAGGAATAGTTTCTCTATCGGGCGAAAGTATGAATATTCTTTACTATAATGATCTTTCAGAGGCAACACTCTTGAATAAATTGTAATACAAAACAAACAATATGATAGCATTTAAAATAAAGTGTTCTTTCGGTTTCCTGCTACTGGATCCATTGGTATATTGTCCACTACTGTCTTGATAGTTGTTATTGATTCGATTGGATATGTTTTCGATTGAAAATGACAAAGTTCGTTAACAAAAAACGTGCGAATACATTTTCGATGTATACATATCCATCGTATCCAGATAAAGATCATTACCGCACTACTTATACATAACACACTAAATAAAATATATTTCAATGTTTGAAGATCAATCGGTTGTGGAGGAGGAAACGTCGCAAGGGTAGTGGCAACGAATAACCAAATGAATATAGCAGTAAAGAATATTAAACCGATGAATTTTCGTGTTGCTAATTTGAACTCAAAATTTCTCATAACAGTCTCAAGTAACCAAAACATAATAAGGATAAGAATAAGGACAACTATCATTACGAATAGAAGGACAAATAAATTAGTTTCCAAGTAGTAAAGTGTTTCTGAAACATTTTCTTTTATGCGTGTTTCCAATGTTGAGATAAGTTCAAGAGAAAGATTTTGAAATTTCTCAAGAGTTGGATTGATTTCCTCGATAACACGAGTTAATGATCGATCAACGAGTTCATCCAAACCTTCAACATTAACATCGATGTTTGTCATTGTTAGTTGAATAGATGTTTGACTTATGTTGTCAGGTAAATGAGTAAAATGATGAAGGTGCGTATTGTTATAGGAAACTTGATAATCTTCGATGTAGATAACGTTTATGACACTATCAGTTACCATTATGAATATTTCATGAAAAAAAAGCACTACATTGATATAGATATCTGCGTCTATTTCACTATTTTCATTCTAAATCGTACATGCAGAAAAACAAAATGAATTTCAATAGATCCATAACCATCATTTATATAAGCGATATCGGTTAAATCATCTTTTCCTATATATTATTAACTGGATAGAAATGATTGTTTCTTTCCGAGAGAGTCTAATTATGTATTTGTGTGTCGAAGCTTTAATCATTGCTATTTATTCTCTAAGTTCATATGTTTATCCTTCAATATCTGAATTATCTTTTCTCATTTCCTTAATTTGGCAAAGATTATGTTAACAGCAATGAACGAAACAATATGTAAATGAAGACAAAATTATTTTCTTGATTGTACGAAGAAATCAACATGAATTTATTCACTTTTTTGTCGCAAAAGAAAACTTTCCATACAAAATGTCGATAAAGCAAAAAATCTGAATGTTTTAACAGTTATACTTCATTTTTATGTTCACACTCCATTTGTTCTTTCTATTGAATCATCGTTGTCGATTTCATAATTTTGTTCAATAACCGCAAACTTTTCATAGAAAATATCCAATTTCTTTCTTTGAATTTCACAAATAGTCGAATATTTCCGTTCCGTTAACATTAATCGTTGTTCCAACAAACGAATTTGTCCTTCGATACAATCAAATCGATCATGTTTATCTTCTCGTCGAAAGACACTTTCACATTTTGTACATTGAAATTTCACATAACGACACATTAAAAAGTGATTTTCTTCATCAAAAACGTCTTTCCGAATAAATTTTTTACACCCCGAACATTGAATAACTTGATAAGGACAACATTCTTCTTGATGTTTTTCCAATTGTTCATAAGAAAGAATTTCTCGGCAGCCGTTGATTTTGTTTCGACATTCAATGTTCAATTTCGATAAAATTATTCGTAATAGCGACGGACAATTTCGTTGAATATAAGGCGAACAATTGAATGGACATCGAGTTAATGATAAAGATTTCGTTGAATAATCCAGATGAGTTTCATTATCAAGATTTGGAATAATTTCTTTTTGTTGTTCGAACAACCATTTATCAATACAAAAAGAACAAAAAGAATTTTCACATGAACTACATGTGACAGGTTTCCAGAGAACATCACCACAAATTGGACAAAGAACTAAATCGATTTGATCTTTTAAATTTGTTAGACGATCAGATGAAATGGCATTCTTCGTAGAAATCATCTTTTATCAATGAACTCAACTCTAAATCGTTCCTTTTTTTTATATGAGAAGAAGTGAATAAGAGAATACAATGATTTTCTCATATTTTCTCGTAAATTCTAATCTCCAACATGAATGATTTCATATGAAACCAATTTCTAATGTTTTTTTTTGTCTACGACTCATGACTTTGTCTGATTTTAGAAAACATTATTTAGAAATACAATTCTGATCAGATACTTTTTATTAATCATGTCAATATATGAATGACGACACCACCGACTTCACGTCATGGAAAAGCGTCACATCGGTGATAACAAAATTCTGTTTGACGTCAAGTCAAGAAAATCTACAAATATTGATTCACAGTTTGATAGAGAACAACTGATCACCAGACACCGAGCTCCAATTGGAGGATCCGATTCTCATTTAATGAATGTCGCTGCCAATGCAAAGTGTATAAAAAGAATTGTCGACGATGTCGAATTTATTATACAAACAATGAGATACTTAAAAAACAGCTAACTGTTGTTTTTTTTTCATTGAAAATTTTCTCTAAATGACATGTTAAGAACACGTTTGAGATATTAAAAAAGGAACATAATCGAATCTTCTGTTACTAAGTTTGTCTCATCAAACAGCAGAAAGAAAAATAATGAACAAAACAAATGAAAAGAAGAAAAACACAATAGAAAAAAGCGAAATCATACAGCGTAGAATTGCAATACGTTGAGAGACTTGCATCTATTGATTGTACATTTAATTTTGCTCCAAAGACCCAAACACAACCCTAATTAACCAAAAAAGAAAACATTTTCTGTTTAATCTAAGTAAAAAATCTTACGACAATAAGCCAGGCAGTCATAAACAAACAAATAATTCCAATACTAATTCCCAAAACACGCCGTTTTCTCTTTGCTAAAGCGACAACATCCACAGGATCTGCTCGCATTAAAGTGAACATCTAAATGATTCATCTCGATTTTATAAATCTCCTTATCTCTCTTCTTTGACTTACCAAAACCAACAAAAGTGTATAATATATCGTAAAGATAAAACCTGCGACAATGAGATATACAGAAATGTTTTGCTCAATTGAACATTGTCCTCGAAAAACGAAACCGATTATCAATGCGATAAGAGAGAGAATGTTGATCATTAGGAGAAAGAAGAAGAAACAATAGCGTAGACAACAGTCGGTGCGAATTTTTCCCATCCAATGCTTTGGATATTCAGCCATTGCAGGATTTTCTGTTCGAGACGAAAAAAGGTCATCTTTATTTTCAGCTGAACATGGAGATCTTACTTCGTCTATTTGAAATAAACGCGATGATTAAGAAGATCGTAAAACAGTTTGTTTTTGTGTTTTAAAAACATTTTCTTTCCTCTATCGATCTCGCCTTTTTTCTATGAGTTAAAACATTCAAACTTTTGGATTCAGATAAAATGAATTTCAAACGAATTTTTACTTTTTTGCGTTCTTCTATAGAGAATTGAGAAAGAAAAAAATTTAATTCCCTTTCATGTATGTCATGATTTGATCTAATTTATAAATATGGAGAAAATATTTTCATTGAATATCTATTTGAATATAGCGATAAGAGTTGATAATTTCGCGAGCATAGATGCGATTCTTCGTAGTTGACCATTTTATGCAAATATACGCAACCTAATCATCAAGCTAAATGGTAATGTATGGGAATCAATATCGGTACTTTTATGAATTATCGCCAATGGCTATGTCAAATCTAAAAATACCTTTTCACGCATATTGTTTTGACAATGATTCCCAACAATTATCATTAGTGCTGTTTTCATTGATAATTATGCTGGAGAATGAGCTCATCAAAGTGCAAATGATACGGTATTTCTTATTTAGTCAGAGGAATATGTATATTTCAGAGAAAGCTATTAACACACACAGCAGAACTCTTCAATAAAAATATCGGATTACGTTATGTATACCTTCTCAATCATCTTGAGACAGTTATTCCCGCCTCCACTTCTATAATACACTAGAACTACTGAACTCTTAGAAAACAGAAATAAAACGATACGTTTTGTCCGTACATTCTAGCGATCTGTCCAGTCAACACAATGACAAAACATCAGGCTAAGAAAATGTTTTGTTTCGTTCATAATTCTGTTCAACCTTGTTAACAAAGTATTACTCTCAACAATCATGAAAATGTAACACCTGCAATTGATGTAGTTCCACAACAACCGTAGTTTGTGAGATAAAAATTAATTATATAAATATTCCCAGGAACAGTCACAAACGATTGTTGTATCACATCACATCCACTGCTACACCGATCATAGTAGTAATAAGTTCCACCATGCGCATGATTCGATGAGGGCCACGAGTCAGAATAAGCTTGTCCTTTATTTAATAGACAAGCACTACCACTCGTGCGATAAACCCAACCATTTAAATTACCAGTTTCAAATCCACCGTTGACAGCCAACTGTGTACTTCCAATATACACTGACACATCATCCAACATCCAGCCACCAGGATCGTTCCGAAAGAAAAATCCAATGGTTGTATTTGTCGTAGTTGCCGTTCGATTAAAAGAGTACTGCACGTAACTAGGATATCCCCAAATGTTTGTCGATGGATTGGTAACAAAATAAAGAACAGAGCTACTCGTGAAATAGTCTGCACAAATCTGAATTGAACTTTCTATGAAAACAGATAAACCAAATAGAACCCTTGTAATCTTTATTCCAACACTATAATGATCACTTACGCGTCGTTGTTGTGCTAGCAGTAGTACTAGTTGTTGTTGTTATTGTTGCTACTGCTGTCGTAGAAGTGCTTGTAGTAGTAGTTATTATTGTTGTCGTTGTACTGGTAGTAGATGTTGTTGTTGTCGTAGAAGTTGTTGACGTTGTTGTTGTTAATGTTGTCGTAGTAGTACTTGTAGTAGTACTTATTGTTGTTGTCGTTGTACTGGTAGTAGTAGTTGATGTTGTTGTCGTTAATGTTGTCGTAGTAGTACTAGTGGTTGTTGCTGCTGCTGTCGTAGAAGTACTTGTAGTAGTCGTTATTATTGTTGTCGTAGATGCCGTTGTCGTTGTTGTTGCTAAGGTTGTCATTGTACTAATAGTAGGTGTTGTTGTTGTCGTAGAACTTGTTGACGTTGGTAATGTTGGCGTTGTAGGAGTAGTTATTGTTGTAGTCGTTAAGGTTGTGGTTGTGCTAGTAGTAGCAGTAGTTATTGCTGTTGCTGCTGTTGTCGTAGAACCTGTAGTAGTAGTTGTTGTTGTTGTTGTTGAGGTCGTAGTAGTCGGTGTCATAAATACAATTGTAGTGGTTGTAAACTGAGTTGTTGGTGTCGTGAACACCATTGTAGTGGCTGTAGTCTCAGTTGTTGGTGTGGTAATTGTTGGCGTGGTAATAGTGGATGTCGTAATTGTTGGTATGGTAATTGTGGATGTCGTGAACACCATTGTAGTGGCTGTAGTCTCAGTTGTTGGTGTGGTAATTGTGGATGTCGTAAATACCATGGCGGTGGCTGTAGTCTCAGTTGTTGGTGTCGTAATTGTTGGTGTGGTAATTGTTGGCGTGGTAATAGTGGATGTCGTAATTGTTGGTATGGTAATTGTGGATGTCGTGAACACCATTGTAGTGGCTGTAGTCTCAGTTGTTGGTGTCGTAATAGTGGATGTCGTAAACACAATTGTAGTGGCTGTAGTCTCAGTTGTTGGTGTCGTTATTGTTGGTGTTGTAATAGTGGATGTCGTGAACACCATGTTAGTGGCTGTAGACTGAGTTGTTGGTGTCGTTATTGTTGGTGTTGTAATAGTGGATGTCGTGAACACCATGTTAGTGGCTGTAGACTGAGTTGTTGGTGTCGTAATTGTTGGTATGGTAATAGTGGATGTCGTGAACACCATGTTAGTGACTGTAGTCTCAGTTGTTGGTGTCGTAATTGTTGGTATGGTGATAGTGGATGTCGTGAACACCATTGTAGTGGCTGTAGTCTCAGTTGTTGGTGTCATTATTGTTGGTGTCGTTATTGTTGGTGTTGTAATAGTGGATGTCGTGAACACCATGTTAGTGGCTGCAGTCTCCGTTGTTGGTGTCGTAATTGTTGGCATGGTAATAGTGAATGTCGTGAACACCATTGTAATGGCTGTAGTCTCCGTTGTTGGTGTCGTAATTGTTGGTATGGTAATTGTGAATGTCGTGAACACCATTGTAGTGGCTGTAGTCTCCGTTGTTGGTGTCGTAATTGTTGGTATGGTAATTGTGAATGTCGTGAACACCATTGCAGTAGCTGTAGTCTCAGTTGTTGGTGTCGTGAACACCATTGTAGTAGCTGTAGTCTCAGTTGTTGGTGTCGTAATTGTTGGTATGGTAATTGTGAATGTCGTGAACACCATTGCAGTAGCTGTAGTCTCAGTTGTTGGTGTCGTGAACACCATTGCAGTAGCTGTAGTCTCAGTTGTTGGTGTCGTAATTGTTGGTATGGTAATTGTGAATGTCGTGAACACCATTGTAGTGGCTGTAGTCTCAGTTGTTGGTGTCGTAATTGTTGGTATGGTAATTGTGGATGTCGTAAACACCATGGCAGTGGCTGTAGACTGAGTTGTTGGTGTCGTTATTGTTGGTGTTGTAATAGTGGATGTCGTAAATACCATGGCGGTGGCTGTAGACTGAGTTGTTGGTGTGTTAGCTATTGTTGTGGATTGAATGGGTCCTAGGGTAATAGTAAATTGAACTGTGGTTTCCGTTTTAGTAGACGTTGCTATTGCTGTTGTTGTAATCGTTGCGGCTTGTTTGGGTGTAGTTGTTGTGGGAGACGCAATTGAAGTGGTACTTGTAGTTGTTGTTGTTGACTCTGTCGTAGAGGTAGATTGTGTTGTCGTGGTTGTGGAGGTTATTTGCGCGAACGCTTTAAATGTAGCAGCAATCATCATTTGGGTGCCGGTACTGAGTGTTACTATAAATGAAGTGACTGGATCAGTTCTCTGCACTGTATTTCGAATACGACCAATGTACAAATCATTGCACATTGTTATGCCACCGCAAGAATATGGGTAATCGGCCTCTAGTCCGACGGTAAACAAGTTTCCAGTTTCCATATTACTACTCTGTTTGCTTGACACTGCACTACACATAAATCATGAGATAAGATCAAATGCCTTCTTAACAATATCATAGGTAAGTTAGTACTTCAAGTGAAACTATACTTCGGTTTTCATTCATATGTGTAAAGTCTATCTCAGCGTGACTATAGTCAAGTAGCTTGAAGTACAGCTCAGTTAATAATGTTTGTTCTTTGCTTATTATCTCATAAATCGTCATATTGTCACCTACTACATCTGAAATCATCATATATTATAATGTCTTTATCCTTCCTCAGTTCTTCTGGCCTATTTAGAGTAGAATTTCGACAGGTGAGAGTCACTTTTTTTTATTCATTCTGCATATTTACCAAGTCATTTATGAATGAACACATCTTTACCTCTTTCGTTTTCGTCTTGTCAATATGAGACTTCGAATAAATCGTGCAGAAAACACGCGTATCATGTTGCGAGATATACTATAGGATTTGGCGATCTATAAGAGATGAGTTTTGTTAGAAACGTTTTTATAAACATTGCTATCTCTCTTACTTGATCGGCAAGTTCGGATAAATCTGTAACTACCAATGATCCATTAGTGGTGATATTTGTGTCATAGGTAAGTGTGAGCATAGCTGACTCTGAACCAACATAATCAGAGTTAGAATCAGTCAATAGAACAAAAGTACATTTGAAAAATAAGTTTTTGTATATTTTCTCAGTATATTTATCAAGAACTAGAGGGTGAATGTAATATTAACTATTTTTGTATTTTCTGCTGGAAAATTATAAGTACAATGCCAATTTCCTTGAATTTCTGAGAAAGTATTTAAGTACCGATTTTAATATAGTAATTCAGACACAATCGAATCTAGATGCCGAGAAATAAGAAAATCATCAGAATTCTTTCTTGACTTTTAGCGCCTTCTGGCCGGTAGTTTCAGTAGTGTTTTTGTGGTGAATGTGTTGGATGTATACGATGAAGACATCCAGAAAATCGGTGTGAAGCTAGCACGACGAAACGATGTGTTAGAGAAAAGTTTTTTTTTACTAGATAAGTCCCGTTCATATGATCTATTAGGTTGGCCAAATAGTTTTGCAATACTTTCGAGGAAGTTGACTTTCATGCGCATTTTCGTTATTTTTTTGTATATACTGTGTTCCGAACGCATGTTTGTTATCGTTGATGCTGTTCTCTCTGTTTCATTTTGCCTATATGAATGTGTGCTTTGTTAGTAGATGAGTGAGCTTTTCCCTTTTTTGCACGGTCGTGGGTACTAACTTTTCAAGCAAGCTGAGTAACTGTGCCAGTAGTCTTCTATTTGAAGCCGGTATAATGGTACTTTAATCAGATCCAGACGCTCACAGGTTGTTGGCAAAAGTTTATCAAAAACGATATCCGTAGTTTTGAAAAATATTCATTACTCTTTTAAATATGTTTGCGCATACAAATAAAATTTTTTCATAGCTTGTTTCGTAAATAAAAATACCACTATTCGATGCAAAATTAAATTCTCAATCGAATGCACTGATTCGTATGGATGGGACTTGTTCAGTGAAAACGTTTTAAGCTAATACATTGTGTTTGTCGTACTAAGCTTCATATCGATATCCTAAAACTACCAAATATACCAAGTACTATCTAACTCAGACTATAACACGTTTCTTTCATTTGATTTCACATCTCAGGAGCAGTGCTATTTTATTACTGTGTCTGGAGAAGAAACTTTGGTTCGAGTCTTTTTTTCTGTCGTTGATGCTGCACCTTTAGAGCCCTGAACATGTGAACCTAATCGATATTTCTCACGTACTTGCTTCATCAGTAAAACCAGCAATAGCCGTGCTGTTCTTCTCTTCATTCGGCAGAAAGGTGAACACTAGGCCAACAAGAACAGCTACTGTCCATAGTATAAGCAGGCACAAGACGATCTGTTTAGCGAGCCATCGTAGACTAAAAACAAACAAACATATAGTGAGTAATAGTGCAGTAGCCAGATGAGTGTGTATTTACTCGGCCGACATAGGTTTGAATTGCCCACTTGAATTCTACTTCAGTTATTGAATGATCACCTTTTCGCAAAGAAAACAAACCGAAAGTAAACATGATAGTATGCACGTGATTGGAAATAAAAAGTGTACATATAAATTGCTTTCGATAATTAAATACAATATATACTACCAAGTGCATTTTTGTAGATAAAAGTAATGGATGAATGCGTCTATTTGTCGGCGTTACCTGTAAATATTCTGTCCATCAATCGGTAACGAAATAACGAATGCTTGAACTAGTGCACCTAATTACTGACAGTAATTATACTTCAATCTTTCGTTTGATATGAAAATGTATTGCATCTATCAGAGAGATAGTATCTTGGCTTTTGCATTTCGTTTTAAGTCAAACGAGCCAACAATACATTTTTCCACCAAGAAAGCGAACTTACCTTTATAAGTTCGATTACTGTCTACCTGTGCGCATAGCGTAACAAATTTTAAAAGACGAATCAGATTGAAGTGAAATTTTCTAGATGATTCACATTCGTTCGTAATTACATCTACTTCGAAGATACGCCTGACTAGATAAACAATTTATCTAGCTACAGTGGAAACGTTGAGTTTCCCCAGTACAGTGTAGAAAAAAATGGGAGGATGATCTAGCTCTCAAAAGGGTTTATTAGCATTATGTAGTCTTCATCTAGTTTCTAAAAAAACCATTTTAGGCACACTGCACTTCCATATACTGTTTTAGAGTATATAAACAAACGGAGACTTAATGTGCGCAAATATTTTGATTAAAAGTAAAAATATCTATACTTATAGATGATGATACTTCGTATACTTTCAGTCCACTCGATTTATATGACTGTATTTTGACCAAGTGCTGTTAGTTCCTTGCAAACAGGCGGGATATATACATAACCAATCCAGATACATCTCAAAACTTAGCAATACTACAGGTATAAAATTGGCCTGGAGTGATTTCAGATAGCCAAAATTCACTTCTGTTCAATGATCGTCATCTCGTGCGAGTTTTCAATCAACAATATGTGTAGAGAACTCAAAGACAGGTACTCAAACCAAATGTAATATCAAGGAACGCTACGAATATATAATATCTTGGCACACAGACTATAATGTCGAATTACGCACGACCGACTGGTTTGCAGTTTTGTCCTTATTCAAAAGATACCCAGGGCGAAATCACCCCACAGGATCCTGAAGGATCCCTAAACAGTCCGACGTCATCCAACAGTCGGATTTTGTCGGATTCAGCAGAATATGACAACAACAACCATTATATATATGATACTTCCGTTAATTAATGATCTTGACGGATTTTTGGGAACTTTCAAGCTCTAGCAACCTTATCATAAGTAAAAGTGATCAACATTTTAGGGGAAAGTAGTTTTACAATTTTTAATAAGGTCTTCTCTGAAGATCAGGCGACATATATTATTAAAATTCCTTGTTGATGATTGAACTTCTAACGGTCAGTTCGAACGTTATGTACATAAGTACAGTGCTGCAATACTATAACCTCATTCGGAAATTAAGCATAGAACTGTTGTGTTCCTATTTTTTTTCGATTTCAGACTAGAACAAATCGGTACAATTTCATTGAAACAGATTTATCATATTGACTGAATTTTTTTTATTATACAACTGTTCTTTTTTTGTCAAAGTAGGTTCATTTTTCAGCACGTTCTTCTGTTATATTTTAGTATTAATGTATTCGGAAGTTTTTGAACGCTTATGGATTCAAATTTCCTTTATGGTACGTAAATTTTAGTTTGACAACAACTGTAAGTTCTTTTTGACCAATAAAAATGGTGTTGATTGTTAGAATAATCACTTTTTTGTTAGAGTTTTTCATTTTTTTCTGCCGTAAAACAGTACTTTCATGCAGTGAAAGAATTATTTTGAAATAAACGGTAAATAAGATTAATAAAGCAAATTAAAAATGCACTTATGAACCCAAGAGAAGTCCGGTGGTTCCCGCTGGTTCCAGAATTATCCTACTATCGGATCCGACATCCGATGACTTCCGATCGGATTAAGGGTACAATAGCTGCCTATCATTAGATATCAAATCTGCCAGTCCAAATCTCACTGAGAAAATTTGTAGAAATGATCATCCCTCGCATTTTCATACAACCTCAAACTTCTTAGTATTTCAACCTGTGTAGATATTTTCAATGTAAGCAAACCATAAATGAAAAGCCTTGCTATAAGAATACTATACAAACAAGCTCGAGAGTATATTGCAATGCTTTTTCCACAATCAAGTACTGCAAAAAACACTTCCCTGATATTTTCATACGGATCAACACAAAGAGTGAATAAAGCTGATCATAATCCACAAAATAACTAATTCCCAGACTACGCTAATGGTAGGAGATGATTAATCCAACAGAGTGATTTGGGGTGCTATTTTTCAATTATTTCCTCTTCACTTTGCCATTATAGCCACTCTATAACAAATTGTCGCTTTCAAATGCACCATTGAATTCATACATAACGGCTGAATACGACTCTTTCCGAAAATGCACTTCAAACAAATATAAATTTTCATTATCAAGCACTCAATCCATTTAGACTTTGTAATACAACATGAAATTGCTATCTGATAATGAAAAACCGTTGCCATTTAGTGTACCACGCCCTGCTCACTTTGCCGTTAGGAGAACTGACATCTGAAGTGCATACGTGCTGTACTACTTTTGATTCAATTCTGCTATATCTCCAATATAGCCAAGCAGTATACACTAATGTTGTGTTGTCAATCAAACGCTCTCACAAACAAATCCCAAACCAAGAGAACCTCTCATTGATATAGCGAACCATGATAACTCTCTCACCAAACACTGTTCTATCACACCTTCGTAGGTAAAGCATTCACTTTCAGTACTCCGCATATATTTCTCACACAACAAGAAACATTACCATTCAGCTCATCTTCACGTCGAAAAAATGCAATTTCTATTCCTACACTACTTCTCAGTATAACGCAAATCACACACCAAATGATATCTACTAAGTTTTCAATCCAAAAACATTCTGTCTACGAAAAGAGTCACTAGAACCACTATGACTTCTTCATCGATTCCCTTCACCACGATATCTACACCGTCTTCACGTTCTAAGAATTACATAAAACAGAAATTCAAAACTTTTTAGAGCACAGCATCAATCTTACTGTATTCCTTCCCAACACCTCTGCAATCTGTTCAGCTACTTCATCACCGATTCTGTTGTCGTTGAGCATTAGTGTGGTGAGCGTCTGTAGATGCGAGATTGGCTGAGTGCCTCGTTTTTTGTCAAATGAGGTGAATATTACCGTGTTTGTTCGCAAAGCATCCGCAATGTGTTGTGCTCCTTCACGACCGATTCCATTATGCTGGAGGTTTAGTGTGGTGAGTGCCTGTAGATGTGAGACAGGTCAATAGCTTCGTTTTCTTTGAAATGAGGTGAATATTACTGTGTTCGTTCGCAATGCATCCGCAATGTGTTGTGCTCCTTCATCACGGATTTTGTTCCAGCTGAGATCTAGTCTGGCGAGCGTCTACAGGGTGTGAGATAAACTGAGTGTTTCGTTTTCTTTGAAATGCGGTGAATATTACCGTGTTCGTCCGCAAAGCATCCGCAATGTGTTGTACTCCTTCACGACCGATTAGATTACACCCGAGGTTTAGTGTGGTAAGTGCCTGTAGGTGTGAGATAGGTTGACTGCTTCGTTGTCTTTGAAATGAGGTGAATATTACCGTGTTCGTTCGCAATGCATCCGCAATGTGTTGTGCTCCTTCATCACGGATTTTGTCACTGCCGAGCCTTAGTGTGGTGAGCGTCTATAGATGCGAGAGAGACTGACTGCTTCGTTTTCTTTGAAATGAGGTGAATATTACCGTGTTCGTTCGCAATGCATCCGCAATGTGTTGTGCTCCTTCGCCACCGATTTCGTCGCCACTGAGCTGTAGTGTGGTGAGCGTCTGTAGATGCGAGATAGGCTGACTGCTTCGATTTTTGTAAAATGAGGTGAATATTACCGTGTTCGTTCGCAAAGCATCCGCAATGTGTTGTGCTCCTTCACGACCGATTCGATTACTCCCGAGGTATAGTGTGGTGAGCGTCTATAGATGCGAGATAGGCTGACTGCTTCGTTGTCTTTGAAATGAGGTGAATATTACCGTGTTCGTTTGCAAAGCATCCGCAATGTGCTGTGCTCCTTCGTCACCGATTCCGTCGCCGCTGAGATCTAGTGTGGTGAGCGCCTACAGGGTGTGAGATAAACTGAGTGCTTCATTTTCTGTGAAATGAGGTCAGTATTACCGTGTTCGTTCGCAACGCATCGGCAATGTGTTGTGCTCCTTTATCACGGATTTGGTTCTGACTAAAATTTAGTGTGGTGAGTGTCTGTAGGTGTGAGTTAAAGTGAGTGCTGCATCTTCTGTGGAAGCTGATCAATATTACCGTATTTGTTCGCAGCGCATGCCCAATGCGCTGCGCTGTTACAAGACGAATACTGCAGTAATTGAGGTTTAGTGTGGTGAGCGTCTGCATGAAAGTAATACATTAGAAAATTTGGAAGTAACGAAGGGAACCTTTAATTGCAGGATAGGTAGGGTATATGTGAGATGAAATGGTTATGTTTGGGAAGGAATTGTAGGGAACAGTTGTGTCTGTATGTTAGTTTTTGATGTGGTTGATGATGCTTGTTGCTGCTCCGGAAATACTGTGTTCAGAGAAGAGGTGCGCTATTAGGAATCCGGACTGGAAATTACTGACAACTGACGGAATGGAAAGAGTAGGGCATAATTATCAACAAGTAATTGTTGTATTGAGATACCTCTTTGCAAGGGGTGCCCGAATAAAATCCTAGTCATACTGTTGTCAAATATGGGAGTTGGATTTAGTGTACCCTGCTGAGAATGAATATTGTTATAGGTCTAGTAATTGTGCAGTTCACGCTGCTTCATTGGATGAGTATCCTCAAAAGTTATAGCTGATGCACTTGTTTGTAGTGAGTAGCGCAACTAAGGACGACAATGCATAACTATGCGTATTATTCGTTCATCGTCGCGTATCGGCCGAATTGATGCTCAATATACATAAAAGAGAGGTGAGAGAGTGGAGGAATGCTTGATTTCATATGACTTGGTACTGTGATTGTTTCATTCGATCAAATTGTGTGGGTATTATGAAATGACTTTTTCTCTTTCTATGAGGAAATTTACGACATTAAATATCATAAGGCTTATGTGTAGCATAGCCGACAAGACGGTTAAAATGCCAAGTAAAACTTACTCGATATCGCTCATAGGTGCTGAGTATTTGATTGAGCCGTCGACAAATATTTTGCATTGACAAAAATAGCGTCAGCTCATTTTGATGATCCATAATTCGATAAACAAGTTCGACAGGTAATGTAGAAAATGTGTGCATGTTGTATTTCAATCGTTCAGCAGGCCGTGCGGTAGAGATTGGTAGCGACGAAAAATGTGTGATTTTGTTCGTTATGAGTAGTAATTCATGCTGGTGATATAGATATATATGTGTTTTTGACGAAAACAAATGACGTGTAATCATTTCAACAATTACGAATTGTTGGCGTGCGCAGATAGATGGCACTAGAAGATGTATGCTCAGTCAATTCTGTTTTGACATTTACAATGGTATATTTAAGAATTAAAAGCAGGAAATCTTTTATGCCTTGGACTCCTTTGTAAGCCGATTCGATTTTCATCAAAAGGAAATTAACACCTATAAGTTAATTTCTCTAACTAAAAAATATAGTGGAAGATGACAAACTCTACGGCTTACATGAGCGATTCATTTTGATTATGTACGTTGTTTTCGAGAACACGAAATACTATCCAGTCAGTTTAACTGATTGTTTTGCACTATTTCACGTTTTCTAGTGAAAAAACACATGATTGTAATAAGTTTCACGATATAGTTTGCTGGTAGAGCTTCATGCGGCGTTCTCATTGTGACTGTTTCATTTTTTCAAATCTTATTCGATGAATAGATAAAACAAAAACAATAAATGATCGTATCTCAACCTGAAAATCCAGTCACATGATCGTTTATTTCTTTTTAAAGCCAAAAACTGTAAAATTGAGCTACTGTTTACCGCAGGAGTGACGTTAACTTGAAGATTTAAACTCAAGTTAAATTGCTACCCCAAAGATACATATCTGCTATTGTGTTGAAGAGTGAGTTAGAACACTCACCATCTTTCACGTAAATAGAATGCCAGCTCCCTCATCGAGGTGCTCTAACAATCTGTCGTGAATTCTTTTGATGAATTAATCGCCCATAGTATTGTAATAAATAAGAAAACGTGGAAAACATTCGGAAGAACAAATGTTATCAATTCTCTTGCGAAACAAGACGTTTAGCTTATTGGAAGAGTTAAGCCGTTTTTGATATTCCCAAACAGATGACGTAGAAGATAATTAGCAAATCTAAAAGAACGCTGTAATATGTTGCTTTAAAACATTCGTAGTCGTGTTAACGGATAACTGCCGATTAGGTTCTTACAATACAATAACCGGGATACGCATATGCGAACATTTACAACGAAGAACAAAAATAGTACCTGATTTATTATTTGGTTGTGGAGGATAGTATTTTATGTAAAGCGTGCTACATGTTATATCATTTCATAGGGTTTTACTCTATGCTTTCTGCAATAAGTTATGAAACGAATGACGCTACATTGTTCTAGTTCTCCAACATCGGTTTTCGTTTGAAATGATATTTGTATTATGAATATGAACAGAATAACTGTTTTCTTTTTGTTGAAATACATATTGCTCATATGATTTGCCTGAAAATAAATCTATTTCGTTGTTTAATTGATGCGCATTCATAATCTCTCTTACTAAAATTGTTTTTCACGATTTCATTTCGCTGGTAACAATAAGATAAAAATCTACTAATACTCTTCGAACAATTGTGAATGCTAATTAAATACTAAATTCATAGTTTCATCGGTTTACTGTTCTGTAGAAATCATCAGCATCATACGTAGTGGCGTAACCAGAAAAATATGGGTGCCCGGGTGCCGCCCTACACATTTGAGAAACTCTCTGACAATAGTAAAAATATTTTCTATGGCTCACTTAAATCTTCCACTCTCTGCTCCCCTACGATTAGGACAGAGTCAAAACAACATATTTTACTATTCTTTCAAATAAGGGCTAGCAAAGACAAGAAAGAGAAAAACTCAACAGTGACTCTTTCTGCATTATTCAACTGTTTCTATATTATATAGAAAAAGTATCTATAATCTTTTCTCCTAATTAGCACAAACATCTTTTTCGGATGCAGATACTGATAAATCAGTGGCTTTGAGCCTCCTGTCTTGCATACTACTATCCAAAACACTTTGAATTAACTTAATTCTCCTGAAAGTTCGTGCAGTTGTAGTGGACATATGAGAACTGTCATAGCTTTAATAAGAATTAGTATAATAATTAGAAATGCATGTTGTCCTGGAAATATTTCAAGGTACAAATTAATCACTTCTGTGAATTTTGATGGTTACAAGATTGTCCTCAATTCACTACTTATGGTTCAGTATTTACAGATAAATTTCACTTCTTCCTTTTGTTCATGAAAATTCCATTTCTTATATCTTTCAAAACGTCCAGCTAGCAGGTGATAATGATGCAATACAATGAAGATTTTCAATATTTGTTCTTGAAAAGCAACTATTCATCGCAAGTAGAATCTAGTAGATGGGTGTGGGTGAACATTTTTTTATGATTGAAATCGATAGAGCTCGTCGAGTTGTACCCGGAATAAGTGTTGGAATGGTAGCTAGAAGCGAAGAAACGAATCCGTGTGTGTTTTCTGAAATTTTCATGTTTTTTAAGTTTTTTCCCAATTTTCTGCATTATTTATGGGTAAGAAAGGATATTTCCCGGAATATTTTGTTGGAATAGATAGAGCACATCGAGTTCCACCTGGACCAAATGTGACCAGAGTTGAAATACACTCGTGTGCGAATCGGCTCGAGAAAGGTCGAATTCATATCCAAGATATCGTAGATGACAATATCAAAACATCAGATTTCATTTAACAGCGACAATTGTTCACAAAAAGGAACAATTCAACACAGTTCATTCATATTCTCGATTTTAGTTATGAAGAACGCTGATCAACTCGATTATGAATATGTAAACGTCGTTCACGAAAATATTCAAGTGGCTAAGATATCAAACGACTGAATAATAGCCATTTTCAATGATATTTTATTTCGGATATTGGTATAATTTGGGACTTAATTCGAATACAGCGACTTCGTCAGAGGCATTCCATTATGATTATAGCGAGATGAATAGCAAATGAAATTGTAATTAGAAAATGTTTTTTCATTTAGATTCTGTTATTCATTATACATCTTACGCTTTCAGTAAGAATGGCCTATCTACAACTGTACCTGCTACGAAAGAACAAAAGAAATGGTGAACTAATATGGACGAAGTGGAGTCGTCTGCAAGCGACATAAACATTTACAGAATCAAGAAAGCATACGATTGCATACGTTAAGAGGTATACTTCTTGCTAATACAATTATTCTTCTCGTCTAATAATACACTTTATTTGCAAACCATCAGTGAGATCTTCTACTTATGCGCAAAAGAACAATAGAATTAAAAGAGAAATACTCATATTGACTAGTGATAATCAGTACATCTAGTATATCTGTACTTTATCCTAGACGAAACCTATGGTACTACCATTAATAGTTACGATTAAATTTCAAAACATGAAGTGTAAGAATAAGACACACACACACACACATTGAAAAGCAACGTGGCAGATCAATCGTCTCGCTTAACTGAGCTTTACACTTTTCTAAAAAAATGTGCGATTGTCCCATTTGATAGAGCGGGGTTCTATATGCTCGCGAATTCAGTAAGTTTAAATATTGTTGGCATGTAGAAAAACTATAACCGAAGATCAAAAGAAGCTGTGCATGTCTAAGCGTTTTTATTATCGTTTCAAAGCATCAAAGTCAATCATCTTATGCATTTTGATGTGGTTTTGGCGTTGATATCACACCTGGATACGGTGGTGGTGGAACTTCTCCAATCACATAAGGATTTTGATATGAATATGAAACACCGACTGGAATCACAACACGAGGATTTCGATACAATGCCAATGCACGCATTCTTTGTTGACGAACACTAACCGAAACGATGATGATGATCACAATGAAAAATACGATCACACTTGGAATCACAATTGGATATAACACATTTACTGGACTGGATTTCAATTGACAAGTCTTCGTTTTATAATCACAATTACCAGATAAACATGAATAATCATATGTACATGGTGTATCAGAACTCTTTTGAAATTGACATGTCCAACCAGAATTTGGATCACAAAATGCAATACTTCCACATTCTCGAGGATGAACATAATAACCAGAACATCTTTCTCCTATTGATATCGAACTTTGACACACATTATTTTGACAATAATAATTACAAAAACTATCATCTGTACAATAACAACCAGAAATACAACGAGCATCACTCGTCATCGATAAGAGAAGAAGGACGAAGGTGACAAAGAATGGTTTCAACATTGTTGTTGAGAGTAAAGGTGATGTTAGAGAATGAGCTTGAAAATGTGAAGACGACGTGCAATATTTATTAATTATTGATAAGAATATTTACATTTGAGACATAAAATATCAGTAAACATGACGAAATTCGTAGATAAAAAATATTGCACCATGTCATTTTTCCTTTTTCGGCCCCTTTAGGGCGACAGTGTGACTCGTTGTGTTGTGGATAAGGAGCTCATATGTGAATTTTCCAAGAGATTTGATTTGGTAGAGTTTTGAAAAAGAGACATATTCATAAGGTTATGATAAAGTAATGTGTTAGGAAAAGTCTTTGTTTCAGTACTGATACAGTTCAACTTTGTTAACAGAATATTTCGCTCGGCAATCATGAAAATGTGACATCTGGACCCTCTGTAGTTCCACGACAACCTTAGTTCGTGAGATAAAAACTTATCAGTGCATTCGTCAACTGATGCCACTGGTAAACTAACAAAAGACAATTAAAAGATTGCTTTATGAACAAAATTTTGATGTTTTGTTAAGTGCAGAGAACAGTTTGTTATGACAAAACGTGGGAGTATTGATGAAAATTGTTCAAAATATCATGTTCAGATGACAAATCCTTTCCCAATAACAGACGAGAGATTGAACAGAAATTCTAATCAGAGAAGTGTTTTCCCTCGAAATGCGTCTCTATGTTTCATTTGAAATTCTTACACAAATATCTGTATTTAAAATAATCAATTGCTTTATATTTGAGAATAGGACGTGTTTGCAATTGAAAAGGTGTATGGAAACGAAGTTATCGGAAACTATTTATTCTCATGATATGAATGAAGAAAAATAACACAAATTGAAGTTTTAGATGTTCGACAAGCGTAAATGCACTTTTGAAGGGAGACAAAGAAATAGATGAAATATACGGATGTTGTTCTATTAGAAAATTAAATAAAGTACAAAAACGTCTTCAAGTTCTTTTCGAAGTATTCTAACCCTTTTGATACTCTAAACCTATTCGCCATGCATATGTGAGTGTTTCTCTAGAAAAAACGTGTGAATACTCGCATAAAATGGTCAGATATTAATATTCATCCTCAAGATACAAACAAGAATATTACACGTAAAGCATATTCACTCGATTGTCATGTCTGACAAAAATGTATTTATAATAAAAATTGATTATTTGAGATATTTATCGCGAAGAAACTTTTAAATTGTGTCTTAACCAAATTTGTCGTTACTGTGAGAACGAACAAATTAAAAAGATTTTGGTCACACCCCTATTCTTTTGCACTAACAATTTTTCATCAATAAATATCAAATCAATTCAAAGTTCATATCGATTTATTCGAAACAAATAAATTAATTGTTTTTGTCTTGTGAATAGAAGTTTTTCAAATATATTCTATCTAATAAAAATCAGCTGTTCTAAATTATTCATTCAATTTTAAAACCAATTACGATCCTTCCATTGAAATTGTCACTACACTTTCCAAGAACAGATCTTTGACTGTTCGCTTTCACATCTTCTGATTGCACATAAACACATCTTGCTCGAAGTCATCGTATTTCATCAATGGGTAGAATTAATTTCTGTTTATCATCGAAACGAGTAACCGACAATATCAATGATTAGTTATATATTATTCTGAATACATTTCTAATCAGATCAACTTCGAACTTATGCAATAGTTTAAATTTATCGAATCCACTGAAGTGAAATTCTCTCCTACAGAAAACAAAGGAAAATTTACTAAATCATTTGAATTCAAATAAACGGATTCACACTTATTATCTTTTATCAAAATTTGTCTATATTAGACTATAAAAAAAAGAAAACTCAACATTGTAAACTCACCGATTCATCATCTAACTTACTTCGTATTTTCACTACGCAAGTTATTATATTCAAGAAAAGCGTAGTTTATATAAAAAGACATTCACCTTCTTATGTTTACTCGCACAATCACGTGTGTATTCATACAAAAACAACAATTTTTTTCGACAATCATATTTGTCCGATCTATGAAATGACACAATCAACTTTTTCCTCATTGACTCGAAGTACGAATTGTTTTTCATCTCTAATTGCATCTCGAAGTTGTTTTCCATTTTGTTTCGTTAAATTACAAAACGAAAGATCCAATTCTTTCAACGACTGACTTTTCTCGATCATTCGAATAAAATCCTTCACACTTGAACTTGTAATCAATTTATTTTTCTTCAACGATAATTCCCGAAGTGTTTTATTCTGTTGACAAAGAACATTCGTTAAATTGTGAACTCCTTGATCATTGATTCGATTATTATCCAACCATAAAACTTTTAATGTTGTATTTGTTTTCAGAATCTCTGTTAAGAGAAGAACACCGTCGTTCGAGATTTGATTCGCACCGAGATGAAGTTTTTCGAGAACACACTGATTTGTTAATAAAACATGTCGAAATGGTTGAATTCCTTGATCGAAAAGTCGATTTGAATGGAGATTTAATCCGATTAATGTGGAATTTTTGTCTAAAGCTTTCACTAAAATCTTCATTCCTTCGAATGTCATGTAATTCTGATCTAAACGAAGGATTGAACATTGTTTTTTGATAATTGCATGTTGAACAATCACAGAAATATCTTCATCATCGAGTTGTTGATTAATTAAATCAATTGATGAAAACGAAGGATTTTGATCAATACGATTTTGAAGATTCGATGTTCTTTTAATGTATTTCTCAATTGTTTCGACTTTTGATCGAGATTGAACGTTTGTTTCGGAGATTTTTAAAAGAAAATTCGATGAAAGACTTTCTTCTGGATTAATCAATTCAATAGCAGAATTCATTGATGATATTTCTTCGAGATATATTCGTGAAGGACCATGAGATCGAACTTGAAATGCCGTTCCAGACATAAGAAGAATTTGATCTTCATCCGGAAAATATGAATGATTTCGAATATCTTTTCCAGAATAACATTCGATTATAAACTGAGTCGAAGCATCGGATTCGCATTTTTCAGTAGACAATCGACACAATGAAAATGCCCACCAATGAAATATCTGATCTACTGGATATCGATCGATTAAATTTATTTGAACATGTCGATAAACGGTAGTCGATATTGATGATAAACGTGAAAGTGCACGGAGAAATAATCTTAAAAATGGAAACCAATATTTGAATGTCTGTCGATCGTTTGAACGAAGTGTTGAATTAAGTGAATGATAGAGACATTCTTCCATTGGTTGCCAATCCATTGTATAAAGCATTATAGCAGCAGATTCGTCTGATGTTAGATTGTCCTTTGGATTTGAACATTTCTCTTTTGCTATTTTAACGAATGAGAGAAGATTTGGTAAAAAAGAAAGTAACGGCTCAACGGATTCATCTAATGAAATATTTGAATTGTCATTGAGGATATGAGGAAATGAAAGATTTGTCAAAGGTTCTTTAAAAATATCATACGAACGTGTTTCAATTCGTTTGATTGTATCATCATTGATTGAAAGCATTTTTTACGATAACTTTATCATAAAAGAATAAACTATTCGAGAACACGTGCCTCTTACAACAAAGATATTCATTCTTTTTCTTATCAGAAACAATGATCTTGACTCATTTCATGTTTATTTCTATAGATTTTCATCTACATCCTTGAATAAATCCAAAAATACAGCCGAGAAGAGGAGGAAGAATATTTTCAACAAGTGATGTTGCTTTACAAACATCGATCAATTTCGGATGACAATACGTCGATAAAGTTGCATCATCATATTGCATAACACCTTTCCCAGACTCGACAAACGAAGCAATTGTTGCATAGATACAGATAATTATTTGTGTTATATGAATTAAAATACCCAAAATGGTAAAACCTACACAAAGACCCATTGCTTCATACCGAAAACTTAATTGTGCGAATATGACAATAAAAAACAAAATAATTCCCAATGAACCTTGAGTTTGACTTAGCAAAGGTAAACTTGGCCAATACGGACATTGTCCTTTATAAATTGATCCACCTATCAATTGAACTAAACACGGTCCTGCAAAGAAGAATGTGTAAATCAAAGCACCATAGAATAAAAATGATTTTGACATGATTGAAATCCATGTCATTGGAAAAGATTTGCATTGCTTTTATAGTAACAATGAGTCAAAACTGTTAATCTGATGATTTTCGTCGGAAATTTCTATCTCGCGATAGAATTTTATGAGATCAAATCAAACTTTGGTTTCTTTTTTCCCTCGTAAATCATTTTTTTTATTATTTCCACACGTCAATGACAATACTAATTAAATATTTGTTCTTTTTTTCTCACATGAACCTAACAGAATCCTTTTTTTGTCACATTTGGAAAATTTTCTCGATTATGTCTCGTCGTTGTGCGATCGATACTTGTCAACAATCTTCACGTGTTTTGTGTTATTGTTGCAATGAAAATCTTTGTCTCGAACATTTATCTACGCATAAAAATTCGAAATCGTTTCTCGAACAAATCAAATCTTTCAATGAAGAAGTACAAAAGTTTGACGCGGAGAAATTCATCGAACGCGACCGGAAGAAATTAAATAAATGGCGTGAAGAAAGTTTAAAGAAAATTCAGCGTTATTACGAAAACAAATGCGAAGAACTCGATCAGTTTTACGAGCGAAAAATTCACGAACAGAGAAAAGAAGTTGACGCTTTACAACGACGAGTGATTTATTATAATCAATATGAATATTCAACAACGATTGCTGAACTCAAACAGAAGTTTTCATCGATTCAACAAAATGGAATTCCCATTCATTTTCGTTCATTAACCATTGATCCAAATTGTATCGCAATTGGCGAATTTAAACGAGAAGATTTTGATTTGAACGAACTTTCATTACCCTATGAAAGATTAAATATACCAAAAACAGCAACTTTTTCAATGACGAGTAGTGAAAAATATTTCCTAATTGATCAAAACTCGGATTTAGTCTTAGTCGATCAAGATTCACGAATTGTTAAACAAATTCCATGGCAATTCGGAAGTATTCGTGATATGTGTTGGTCATTTGCTTTAACAAGTTTTATTTTAATCACAGAAATTAATAAAACATATTTACTCAAAGAAAAAACTCTTTCAATTACTTGTCTCGAATCAATGGCCAATCAATTGTGGATTTTATGCACATGTTCCAATTCGTTATTATATTTAGTTTCATTAAATCACGCCATTGTGGAGTTTTGTCTTTTACCAAGGTTAATTTCTAATCGTCGATGGGATCAACCAGATACGTGTCAAAAATTTGAAACAATTAAAGATATTTCATCAAGTGATGATTTATTGGCATTGATTATTACATCGGAGAAAACTCAAATGGTTCATTTAATTCTTCGTTCATTGGCGACATTTGATCAAATATTTTCAATTCAATTGGATATTGTCAATCATCGATCGTATCGACTATCGATGCGTTGTTGTTTATTCAAAAAGAATCAATGGTTGATTTGTGATGCAAATACTTCACGACTTTTTCATATTGGAAAAGATGGTAAAGTGAAAGGAACATTCAAATATGAACAAGAACCTTTTCATCTTGCTGTTTTCGATTCAAAAATCTTGGCAATTCGAACGGAGAACACCGTTGATTTTCATCATTTATAAATTCTTTTTAAAAATACAATTCATTTATTTCTTGATCATAAATTCATTTTTTGTCTCTATATGTGATCAGTGTCTAAAGAGATGACCCCATCATATTCATAAAATACATTGAACTTTTTTTTCTGTCGATGAACTTCGTGTGAGATTGGTTGAGGAGAAATATGGTGATCAAGAAACATAGGGCATAGAATGGTCACGAGTTATTTTTCATTCGGTCAAACAGATCACGTCGCTTTTTTCTTCCTTTCCTTACTTTTCTTCTCAGACACGATGTCCTTATTGACCAACCCTGGACAAGAAGTCGATGAAGAATATTTCTTCTCTTATCATGACCGTTCGAAAGAAAAGAGAACGGTCACTACTATTTTACTACAACTATTTGTAGATTTCTCTCGTTTTTCTTCTTCATTCACATTCTTCCTCACCACTATCGATACCCAGTTAGACCCGTCGATTTCTTCCTTCTCAATAGCATCATCATCATCGTCATCATCATCAATATGCCTACAAAAGCAGGCAAAAAATCTCAAGGAGCAACTCTCTATAAAAGATTCGTTGATGCTTATATGAAAGCTCGACCCGAAGAAAAACGTGCAGTAAGTGGAATTTTATTCAAATCGAGATGATTTCATCATAAATGAATATAGGTTAAACATCACGATGCTCAAGTCGAATGGAATTCGATAAAACATAACGAAGAACTAGTTCAAGAAAAAATCGAAGAATATTTAGAAATTTATAACAAATTGGGCGCACCAGAAAATGCGGGTCTTGCACGTCCACCGTCGCCAGAAGTCGTCGAGCGACGAGAAACGCGTGGTCGACCGAAAAAAGATGCAAAAGCGAATCCTACAACAACAGCAGACAAAGAAAATAGTGGTGAGAATAAGAAGAAAGACGAAGACTGGAATGAAGTAGACGATCTTGATGATCTCGATGATGACGAAGAAGAAGAAGAAGAAGAAATAGTTGAAAAGAAGAAGAAAAAGAAAAAAAGTTATTATGTGAAAAAGCGCAAACCAGCGGATGAAGATATTATTCTCGATCCAACTTTAGCCGCGCAAACAACTGGTGGACCGCTCGAGCCTTTACCGAAAAAAATCCGTCAACCAGCACAAGAAAAAGCTTATAAAGAACTGAGTGCCATTAACGAACGGATTGCTTCGTTAGTTCAAGTTAGACAAATGGGTTTGGCAACAGCGGAAAATAAGAAACAATTGAAACAGTTGATTATCGATCGAAAGAAGAAAGCATACGAGCTGAAACGACTTCAATCCAAACAACGGGCATCGAATAAATATCGAAATAAACAAAAGAAAATTGTACGAAGACAAAAGCTCCTTTTTTCTTCGTAATCTCCATCTTCTGTTTCTTGTAGGTCGATAATCTTTTAGAATCGAAACCGGAATTGCAACCGCAATTAAACAAATTGTATCGGCGTGGTGTTGGTCGACCACGTGTCGAAGAACAATGTCCAGATTTACTACAAATTATCGAAGAAATTGCAAAAGTTGGCGGTGCAAGTGACGATCGTCGTCGATCGGAAACCATTCGTCCTTGTTTAACATTAGATGATTTACGTGAAAAGATCAAACAACGTGGTTATGATATTAAACGAACAACACTTTATTATCGTCTTTTACCACATCGTGCATCATCTATCGAAGGTCGCCGACACAATCAAACAGTTCCTGTTCGTCTCCGTCGTGCACAAAATGACGAACATGGTAAACATGAAGATGGACATTTCGCTACGGCAACAATTCGTTATATGAAAGATTTAGCATCGATCTTTGGCAATGATTGTGTATTCTATTTATCACAAGATGATAAATGTAAAGTTCCACTTGGTTTACCAGCTGCTCGTGTTCAAGCACCAATGTTAATGCATTTGGATTATCGAATTCGTTTACCAGATCACGATTGGACAGTTGCACCACGTCATCAATTGACGCCTAGTGTTTATGCTGCATGTCTTTTATCCGAAGATGGTGATTTGGGTTATTCTGGTCCAACATATGTCGCGATTCGATCAGCTAAACACGATCAATCGAATGCGGAATCTCACGCAGTGGATTTCGATCGACTTGTTAATTTAAAAGAATTCGAAAAAGTCGCACGAGATGAAACAGGACAAGTAAAACCGATTGTCATCGTCACGGTCGATGGTGGTCCTGATGAAAACCCACGTTTTCCAAAGACACTCGTTGCTTGCATTAGAAAATTTAAAAAATATAATTTAGACGCACTTTTCTGTCTTACACATGCGTAAGTTTTTATCTTTGTACTTCATTCGAAATGATCCTTTAAAACTTTTAGTCCGGGTCAATCCGCTTATAACATTGTCGAACGTCGTATGGCGCCATTGTCTCATGATCTTGCTGGTCTTATTCTTCCACACGATCATTTTGGTTCACATTTAAACGATTCCGGAACAACAATTAATGTTGATTTAGAAAAATTGAATTTCCGAAAAGCTGGTCAGATCTTAGCAGAGACATGGAACCAAACAGTTATCGATGATTATCCCGTTTTCGCAGAATATATCAACCCACCAGTAACATCCGAAGACGAACGACGACAAGTCGATGTAAAATTCGTCATGGACGAACTTTTACGACAGTAAGTTGATCAACAATTCTCATAACTTCAATTTAATTTTCTTTCTTAATAGAGTTTGCGCTGAAGAAGAAGCTGAAGAAGGTTATGAACATCGTGTTTCAGCTCGAGATGAATATTATCAAGAGAATGCTCGTCCAGCACGGGATAAATTTGGTGAACAACCCAAATATGATATCGATGAATATTGGTGTGCAATGCATGTTTTACAAACACAATATACATTACAAATTGTTCGCTGTAATTCAGTTGAATGTTGTGGTCCATGGCGTTCGAATTATATCGAAGTATTTCCTCATCGATTTTTACCATCACCTGTTCCATTTGAACGAACACCGTATGGCGTTCGTATGGCAGAAAAAGATTATCAAAAAGGACAATTTTACGGTTCGTTATTTCAACGAATTCAATTCCACGGAGTTGTCATCGAACATACACAAGTAAGAAAAAAAAGAGCTTTGTTTTGTTTGGAATTCATTTGGTTTTTGTAGAATGAAATGTTACCATTCGATCATTGCTGTTCATCAGTGAAAAAAGAACTTCGAAAACGAACATGTCGAATTTGTAATCAATATATTCCTTCGGCTTATCGAATGAAAAATCATTATAAAATTCATGCTCAACATTATGAAGATTTTGATCATGAACAAGATGATACTTTACCTTTGACAAATGGAAATGATTCTATGAATGAAACTCAACCGATAACAACAGCACCGCCAGTGTTTAAAACAGAAATGTTGGATTGGCTTCGGTCAGATTTCGATGAAATTGATTTGGGTCCAGCACCAACTAAACTTGCAAGTGATCGAGTAACACGTAGTATGAAGAAATTATGTGTAGAAGAAAAGAAAGAAGATGATGATAATGAAGATTGGGTACATGTTGAATAAAAACTATTCAGTTAGTTTGGAATTTTTCTTTTAAATATCAGTTTAGCAATCTTTCTTTGTTTTGTAATTTATGTTTTCTTTTTCTCTCGTTTTTGTAGTCTTGGATTTTGAATTTGTAGTCTTTTTCCTTTTTTGTTGTCATGTTTTGCACAAAGAAAATTTTTTCAACTTGTTTAAAATAAAATTTATATGACGAAGCATTTTCATTATTGAAATTGATCTTTTAAACGATTCCTATTGCATCTTTTATCTCAACATTGATTCCCATTTTCTAAAATAACGTTGTCGATTAGGTGTGAAATGGTTTAAATACCCATTATGAATGAAAAGTTGCCGAAGACAAATGAAGACAAGGGTGAAAGTGATGAATTGTCTTATATAGATTCAGTATCTTCGAGAAGAATTTCATCAACAGAATCTTCTTTTATCGAAGAAGAAAAACGAAATGCGAAAGTTTTAATTTTAGCTTTCATAAAGACTTTTTTTTCGAATATTTAGTAATAATTCATTTGTAAATATGTTTCAATTAATATTTTAACTTCATTTTTTATTTTCTTTGACTGACGGAGATAAATATTTTTCACATAAATCGAAAAAGATTGGAATTTTCAAAAGCGATTTTGTTCATTATGATTATAAGATCGTCTCCTTTTCCATTTCCACCAACCACTATCAATAATTAATAAATATTGCACATCGTCTTCACATTTTCAAGCTCATTCTCTAACATCACCTTTACTCTCAACAACAATGTTGAAACCATTCTTTGTCGCCTTCGTCCTTCTTCTCTTATCGATGACGAGTGATGCTCGTTGTGTTTCTGGTTGTTATTGTACAGATGATAGTTTTTGTAATTATTATTGTCAAAATAATGTGTGTCAAAATTCGATATCAATAGGAGAAAGATGTTCTGGTTATTATGTTCATCCTCGAGAATGTGGAAGTGTTGCATTTTGTGATCCAAATTCTGGTTGGACATGTCAATTTCAAAAGAGTTCTGATACACCATGTACATATGATTATTCATGTTTATCTGGTAATTGTGATTATAAAACGAAGACTTGTCAATTGAAATCCAGTCCAGTAAATGTGTTATATCCAATTGTGATTCCAAGTGTGATCGTATTTTTCATTGTGATCATCATTATCGTTTCGGTTAGTGTTCGTCAACAAAGAATGCGTGCATTGGCATTGTATCGAAATCCTCGTGTTGTGATTCCAGTCGGTGTTTCATATTCATGTCAAAATGCATTCGACTTTGATGTTCTAATTTTCTCTTATAGTTGATCTCCTATTCATAAACTTGTCATCTGTTTTCAATGCTAAAGTCTTTTTATTTTTGTACCGCATGTTTTACCATCAAAGTACAACTATTATTAGATGAATATTTTTTATTCTTAGAGAAATTAACATATTGAGGGGAAGATTATCTTGTTTTCCATTTTCATAATCGTTCGGTGCTTATTTATCACATGAGCAATCTTATTTTCTACAATGAGATTAGTTCCAGATATAAATAAAAAAAACAATAAAATTGAAAATATCTTGTGATTGGCCAATTCTTTCCAAATAACTTCCATCGATAGACTTTTGATCCATTTTGTTAAATAGTTATATGATTATCTTTGACAATTTGAGTTCGACGTGATGAATCAATTGATCCTGGACTAATTGAATTGAGACGAATATTAAACGCACTTAAATCAAATACAAGATTTCGTGTTAATTGAAGAATCGCTCCTTCTGTCGCCGAATAAAGAGTAGAATTTAGAATTGCAATTGATCCAAAAATAATCGCAATATTTTACAATTGAATCATAACGTTGCTTTTTTTCAGAATCGAAGCGATACGTTTCGCCATTAGGACATAATCACGAACATTGACATCAAATGTATGTGAACAACCTTTTGTTGAGATTTCTTCAATTTCGTCCATCGTCACTATTACTGCTCTAAAACAAAACAAATATTTTTACGAGAGAAATATTCATTTTCGAAGAATTTTTACTCATTAAGAAGAACATCGATAGTTTTCCATTTGTCAATCGTTGTTTGAACTACTTGTTCGATACTTTTCTCATCGGTAACGTCGAATTTCACCAGAAGTATCGGATCATGAGTAAACTTTTCTTCTCTATTAAAAAATTCTTCTTTCACTTTCTGTAAGACCGTTAAACCAAAATTTTCCATGACCAGAGACACACTATGATGATAACATCTTTTTTAACAATCGATTACGCAATGTGTCTAGAAAAGACAATTTCATTCTGTGTTCGTTTACTCATAAACACTTCGGTAAAATGTGGAAGATAAGACGAATGTGTTAATGAGATTGTGGAGAGTCGAGATGGCGAGAAAATGTTCATTAAGGATTTTTATTTGAAAGATTAAGAAAATCGTAACACAAATTGGTGATCTTTGAAGATTTGATTTGATTTTTAAATAGCTTTGTTATCCTATAAATTTAGAGCTGAACCGATGATATTCACTCGATTGTTGGCATATCCTCCAAATCTGACTTGACCGGAACAAATTTTCTTGACTTGTTGTCGAAAATTCGGTGTTGAGATAAGATATATATAAAAACTCAAAACTGCATTTGAAAAAAATGAAAGTACTGAAATATAATACGCCAGAAGTTTATACGATGTCAATCGCTCGTTGAATTCAGTATAAAATACCGAATAAACATATTGAATCGAATACGGAACTGACGAAATCGAAATTGATAAACACGAAAGCAACAACATTCGAGAAATTTGCTTATCGATATTTATATTCAATTGACGATTTGGATGGAAAAATAATTTCAATTGTTTATACGTCAAAAAACCAAAAAATAAAAGAAAACTCATCGGAAAGATACCATGAAGAAAGATTTGAACAATCCATAGATAATAATAAATATAAATCGGAGAAGATATGATACATTCATTAAAATCCGACACTTTATAATAAATTCCTATTGGAATATTATGAAAACAAAGTAAAACTATACAAATAACGATAATTTGTTTCGTTCGATGTAATGTTGGACTCAATTGACGAAGATAAACTTTTCGTGAAGAAATCAAGTAACGATCTAATGTTGCCATACAAATACACATCAATGAAATCGAATCTAACGTATGTAATGCATAAAAGCGTAATTTACATGTGTAAAATTCATTCATTGATGTTTTTGGATATTGAAAACCATCGAAAATAATTCGAGTTAAAAGAGGATAAAGAATCAGAAGGAAATTCGCACATGATGATGTTAATAAATATAACGAACTGTTACTCACACGAATTGGACTTTGAAATTCATTAATTTGTTTACGAGATCGAGACCAAATTGTAAATACAAATATATTTAAACTATTTCCAATTAAACCAAAGATGTACATTGAAATACCAATTACAATTGTCACCAGATGAGCAATTCGCTCGACTTCGTCACTTTCGTAAATTATCATTCGATGAAATTGTTTGTTTAATACACATTATAATTATATCATTGAAAAAGAATGTGCTGAGAAATAAATGAAATTGACGACTAATTTATTTTCATGAAATTCATTCGAACAAAGAAAATGCTTATTAAGACAGTCTGGCACAGTAAATTAATAAGAAAGACTTAGTGTGAAGTAAAGTAGAAAATTTTTCATTTCAAAGCGGGTATTCAAGTAAAAACCCACTGATGAATGGCGTATGACGCCTTTCTTTTATTATATTAATGACAAAATACTATTTCTAGAAAATTCACTTCTCAGATGACTTGTGAAAAGTACTGATAGATACTCTTTCACATCGTCGTCGATTATTTAACTGATGTGATACAAGATACGATTTTGATAACTAAAGAACTCTTTGTGAGCCTCTCTTTTGCGAGAAACTAGGTGGCAAACTACTCATTTTACAGGTGAGGGAAGGAAAATGAGCGCGGGTTGGGTTATATTTTATTAATCTTTTCAATTAGTTTTTACAAAAATATCAACTGATATTCTCGAAAACAAGACGATAATATAACTCTTTGTCATGCACTATTAGTAATCAGCCTCGTACTCAAATCTGCAATAGATTTTACAAAAAGTCTTAGTGTGTAAAAGTCGTTATTTATGAATAACATTTCATCTAAATATACTCCTACAAGAATTATCTATGAACAATGTCGTTTTTATTTATGAAAAAGCTTTCAAAACCATCGTAGAGACATCAATGACGTATCATCCACTATATGAACACTTTCTATTTTCAACAACAAAGGTCGTAGTTTATTATCCGGCTTTTATTCAAAAAATAATCAAAAAAGTCTCAGCGAGAATCAATGTTATCAGCTTAAACTTAAAAGAAATTCATTCTACTGAAGTTTTGCACTTTAGTATATAAAATAAGGACACAATATTCTTTTTATTCCTACAGGAACAATTGTTTTATAACATATTAGGGAAAAATCTTTTGACGCGTCTTTTCTATGTCCGCGAGTGAAATTTATACTCCATCGTGAGCGTTTATTATAACTTTTATAATGAAAATGTCATGTAAAGTAGAAGTCTTCGTGAAAAAATGTCAAAATAATGAGAAAAAATGTTGATTATCAAATGAATTCACAATACAATTTTTTTTCCATTTGAGGAGCATCAATTTCACACAAAGTGCACAGTGATAGTTTCCCATTTTTTTCAGTACTTCAGTCAGTCGTCTCTCCGACCACGCATTAACGCAGATTATGTCATTTAAAACCTGATATAAAGGCATTCGACAGACTTTTTACTTAAAAAAAAAGATAATTAAGTGTTAAGATCAAAAAGAAATGTTTGTTGTGATTTTCAGTAACATATGTTCTATTTGTGATATGAAAATGAATGTGACATTCAATGAGTACATGATAAAAATACAAATGTTCTAAAGATTATTAGTTAAAACAGAGAAAGTCATTTCAATCATCGAAAATTCATCTGATTTACGTTAAATACACAAGAAATTATTCTTTTCATCCGAGATTAACAAACGATTATACTCATCGACGTTGATTTCATTCGAAATAAAACAAAACATTTCTTTTCACAAGATCAGAATCAAAAGTTTTTTCAAATACAAATAATTCACAAAAACTAATTCTTCTATTGAAATCTTCATAGTTTGATGAACTATTCATCAAATTTTTTTATGTAAAAGTACAATTCGTAAATTAACAAAAAAAAAACATTTTTTCCCATATACAATGTTTCTCATAACAAATCGTAACTTAACCTCCATCATTTACAATAGTTAATGGATATATTCGATTAACTACATGATGATCTTGACACAAAACAATACTTTTGATTTGTCGTCGAAAATTTGGTATAGAAATGAAAAATATATAAAAACTCGTTACTGGATTGATATAAAATAAGATAATTGTTACAATTCGAAATAACAGATCGAATGATGTTGGAGGACCGTTTAATAGATTAATTTTCGAAAAATAAATCTGTTGAATACAATATGGAATATAAGAAAATACCAGAGCAATACATTGAAATAAGATCATTTCAGATAATTGTTTATCACGAATTAAATTTCCGTTGTTGTCCGTTCGTTTGAGTGTTCGCAAATTTTTATACGTCAACGAACCAAATATTGAAAGAAAACAAATCGGAAAGATACCATAGAGAAACACAACTACGAAATATAAATAATAATTTGCGTAAATTAATAAGGAAATTGTACAATCATAGACTCGTGATCTGTTATAGTAGATCGCAGTAGGAATACTGTGTAAATTAGTAAGAATAACAACAAAAAGGATGATTTGCTTTGTTAAGTGTCTTGATGCACTTAAATGTCTTAAGCGAACAGTTCGTGATGTGATTAAATAACGATCAAATGTTGCTAAACATGTACAAATCAAAGAAATCATTACAGATGTTTGAAGAATATAATATCGTATACGACAAAGAAAAATTTCATTGGAATCTGTTACTAAATATCCAAAACCATCGACAATAATACGAACTGCTAATGGATAAATAATAAGAATCAAATTGGCAATTGCTGTTGTTAATAAATATAATGAACTGTTGTTTAGTCGAACTTTTCTATAAGGATCGGTTGGATTTCGAGTGGAAAACGACCATTTTGTAAACACATATATATTTGAAACACATCCAATTAAACCAAATATATACATAATTATACCAATTACAATCATCAAATTGTGACAAAATTGATCCAAATCAAACATTTTTTGGTTCTTCTTTAGATTAAAAGAGAATTTGTTCTTCTTCTTGTTTTTATATGAAAGAAAAATCTTTTACGAGATTGAATACTTCTGATAAAAAGGAATCAAATTAGATATTCTTTCATTTTTTCTTTTTCAACTATGAGACTTTTCTGTACTTCTTATGTAAAAGATCTTTAATCAAAATACGTTTGATGGTTTCACTTTTAATGAATAGCTACTCGTTTATTATCAATAGAAGAATTCAAGAAAAGATCTTTATCAATTGAAATCTTTTTCTATACATTAACATAATTGAACACGTCATGCGTATTTACCATCGGATATTAAAATATGTAAACTTACAAAGATAAATTTGTTATGAAAAACATTGAATACTTGTCGTTATCTTGTTGTTTTTTGAGATGTTTCTTTAAAAAAAAAATTAATTTACATCCAGGGAGAAATCCTTTTTTTTCATACAAAAGATTAGTACAGAGTATTACGGTGGAAAATGATTTTCTTTGTGGAATAATTCTTCCGTTTTTGCAGTTAAACATCCATTAATGATGTTGTTTCATTAAATTTTCGTCTATTCAAAAAGAAGTAATGAATCAACAAAATTGAAATCTACGATAAGAAGAATTCACAAAAATGATATTTATTCAAGCATAAAAAAACACTACAGAACCTTTTTTTATTCGCAAAGAAATATGTTTTGTATTGAAAACTTCTATGGATTGGTTTTCCACATTGATCCATTCGGAAATGAATATTCTTTTCGACTTTCTTCCTTCATTTCCGTACTATAACCTGCTTTACTTGGTGCAACATATCGACCATTCTCAATTCGACATGGATCAACAAAATGTTCATGTAAATGATCAACAAATTCAGTGATTCGATTTTCCCATGTTCCACTTACTACGATAAAGTCAATCATTGATAAATGTTGAACTAATTCACATAGACCAACACCACCAGCATGTGGACAAACAGGAACACCAAACTTGGCAGCTAATAAAAGAACAGCTAATACTTCATTTACACCACCTAAACGACAGGAATCAATCTGACAAAACTGTAAAGCATTTGCTTGTAACATTTGTTTGAATAAAGTTCGATTCATTCCATGTTCACCTGTTGCAACACCTATGTTGTATGATCGAAGTGCTTGAGAGATTTTAGCATGACCAAGAATATCATCAGGTGATGTTGGTTCTTCAATCCAATAAGGTTGAAATTCAACTAGATGTTTCATCCATTCGATAGCTTGATCAACATCCCAAACTTGATTGGCATCAACCATGACACGTCGTTCATAACCAATTTCTTCGCGAATGATTTTGATTCGTCGAATATCATCTTGAAGATCACGACCAACTTTTATTTTGAGATGTGTGAAACCTTCTTGCAATGCTTCACGACATAATCGACGAATTTTGTCATCTGAATAACCGAGCCAACCAGCGGATGTTGTATATGCTGGATAACCTTGTTCTTCCAGTTGTTTAATGCGTTCGGCTTTTGTTGATTCGAGTTTCTTGAGCATTTCCAGTGCTTCTTCAGGTCGAAGTGCATCGGTGATGTATCGAAAGTCAATGCATTGAAGAAACTGTTCAGGTGTGAAATCAGCAATCAGTCTCCACAATGGTTTGCCTTCGCGTTTTGCATACAAATCCCATAGAGCATTGACAATCGCACCTAATGCTAAATGAATGGCACCTTTTTCTGGTCCAATCCATCGAAGCTGTGAATCACTTGTCAAATGTCGCCAAAATACACCTGGATTCGAGATGAATTCTTCAAGTGTTCGACCAACGATGAGATGAGCGTGAGCTTTGATAGCAACACAAATGATTTCTGTGCCTCGGCCAATGGTAAATGAATGACCATGACCTTCAAGTAATGGATTGTCTGTGTGAAGAATCAAGTATGCGGAAGAATAATCTCTATACGAAGAGAAAATGAGATAGAAAAGATTGAAGTGAAATGAGAGAAGAAACACTCACGGATCAGGAGACATGGCATCACTTCCATCGAGCTGTTTAGATGTTGGAAATCGAACATCATCAACTGTAATTGAAGTGATAGTTGTCACTGTGGAAGTAGAAGAAGACATGATTGAAGTTTATTTGAGTAGACAAGTATTGGTTGGAGAACGAAGAAAAGAGAATTTATAGTTGAGAAGATAAGAGGTCGTGTCGTATCTTATCAATGATAATTTCAATTGTTAAAATAAATACGGACGCATGTTTTATATAAAAACCTCTGACCTTCATGTTCTTTTTATTCTTAGCAATGTCGTTTTTCTTCATCTCAATCTCAACAGTTTTAGTCGAACATGAAAGATATCAAAATCTTCTAAATTCGCTTGAAAAAAGTACGATTATGTGCTGATGGTATCTTGTTGTAGTCCATATGAATGAATTTGTTGTAATAGAAGGCGCCACATGAATAGAAATTCTGATCGATTTTGAAAGAAAAGCATGGGACCCATTTATTGGTCGTGTCATTCATGAAAAGAAAGATAAGAAAAAAAGAGAATCGCGTTGTTGAAATCATACGAACATCGTAACTATTGTGTCCTGAAATCTTTGCGTTTTTCTAAAAATTCGTTTTCTTTCAACCACGACACCGTGTCATGTCGATTTGTGGAAGTGTAACAAATGACTGGCGTTTATTACTATGTAATAAAGTAGTTTTCATAACAGGTGGTGCGGGTTGGATTGCTCGTCATATTGCAAAGACATGTTACGAACACGGATCACGTCTTGTCTTAGCTGATACAAAACTAGAGACCATTCTACGAGTTAAAAATGAAATCTTTCCTTCTGAAAACACTGATGAACGAATTCTTCCTATCGAATTGGACGTTCTCAATGAAGAATCAATTCAAACAGCAGTTAAATCAACATTAAACAAATGGAATACCATTGATATTCTTATCAATACGTTTGTTAATTCCGATAGCTTGTGTGAAATGTCATTCTCTCGCATATTTTATTTTCTAGAGCAGCAATATTCACGCTCGGTTTTGTCGAAAATCTTTCACCGGATGACTGGTCAAATATACTCAACGTTAATGTGCGTGGTTATGCTTTGATGGTTAAACACATCGCCCCCGTTCTAAAAACGCAACGCCATGGTTCCATTGTAAATATTTCCAGCTGTGCTGGTATTGTTGCACATTCGACTTTTCTGCCGTATTCAACATCTAAAGGTGCAATTAACCAGTTAACACGAAATCTTGCGCTAGATTTAGGTTTATATAATATTCGAGTTAATTCAATTAGTCCCGGTGCTATTGATTCACCCGTTTTATACGAATCAGCGGCGAAAGGTGGCGTGACCAAAGAAGAATTTGATAAAGAACATGGAGGAAAATGTTTGAAACGATTAGGTCATCCTCAAGAAATTGCCAATATGACGGTTTTTCTCGCTTCTGATTTATCTTCTTTTATCACGGGAACAAATATTGTTGTTGATGGAGGATATACAATTGTTTAACCGTTCATTCCTTTTCAAAGACAGAATAAACCATAAGAAAGATGAAAATGAATTTTTCAAAACGATATATTTGTTATTCTGTACAAAAATTCTCATAAGAAATTAAGTTAAGTCATATCAATTGATGATAATGTTGATAAAATTTGTTCATTTTCTCTCACGTGTCAAATTAAATATAAAAAACTGGAAAAAGAAAAGAAAAGAATGACTATCATCGTTTCTCTTTCATATCACTGGACAGGATTGCTTCTAATGATTTCCATTCGGAAGTTGATTGAAAATTTTCAATTCGTGATTCGTTGAATTTGGTAGTGGGGGAGTTGCGACGACTGGATTGCTAAAAATCAGTTTCGCTCGAGCTTTTTTTGATTGTTGATGATGATGATTGCTTGAAGATTTATGTTGTTGTTCGTCGCGTTCATGAGGATCAGTGATTGAAAACCGATAATGATATGATGCTCGACGTTGATTAGGTGGAGGACGAGTTCGACGTTCAGTTAGAGAACGTGATCCAATAACAAATTTATATTTTGACATGGAAAATGTAAAAAGATTCTCACGACGATGTCGCCGTCGTGGCAAAGAGTTCGTCGTTTTCGTGGATTTTGGATATGTTAATCGTGGATGATGATGAACATTATTTGTACATGCCAAAGTTGGCGATAAGGGATGCGGAGGATTATTAAGACCATTTGAACGAAAATTTCGATATGATGTAGTCGGAGTTGGAATCGTCCAACGACATAATGTTCGTTTAAAACCATTTCGATATCGTTTTGACATAATATTATAAAGAACAGGATTAACAGTAGCTGACAGATAATACAGAATACCTGAAAAGAAAAGAAAACAGTTTATGTAATCTTGGATGGTAGATTTAGATTTGACACTGTATGAATAATTAATCGATCAATGGGTCATGAAAGATTAAATATTGAAGAAGGAATGTGAGAATTGGTTTTGTTTTCTTTCTGTGAGAAAAGTAAATGAAACATTTTCTATTTATACCTGAGGCGAAGAATAGAATTTCTTGAAATCGAGTTACAGCTTCTGATGTGATATTTTTATTTGCTTTATCCAATAAGCGAGTCACAAATGCGGTTATTCTTTGAGTATGAAATGGTGCCCAACAGATGAAAAATGCGATGACGACAGCAACTAATTAATGAACAAAATGAATATTGTTTCTATTCGAAAAATTCTTAATTCTTACCGAGCATTTTTAAAACTGCTCTTCGGGGATTTTTCGTCGGAATTGATTTAATCATTGAAACATTATTATTCTGTCTTGGCCAAACGTGATGTTCGCCATTTTGATTCAATAAAATTTGTTCAGTTTTAACCCCATTAGGTTTATTTCGAGGATCATTCGGCGAACGTCGACTTGCTTTATACAATGTTATACCCATTAATATATAAAGAACAGTTATAACAAAGATTGGAATGACAAAAACGAGAAATGTTGTCACTGCCATGTAGTATAACATTGGTTCCCAATAATCTGGCCGTATAGCGCAGATTCGACTATCAAGAATTTGAACTGTTTGATTACGAATTTCTCCTGTGACGCTAACAAACACTCCTGCAGTGAATGTGTACGGAACAGCGAGAAGGAATGAGAGAAACCAGACGATCATAATCATTTTTAGTGCACGACTAAGACCACCCAGGACTTTTTGAGAGACAATCGGAAAACAAATGGCTAAGTAACGTTCGACTGTGAAGCATAAAACAGTTAAGATCGATGCTGAAGTTACAATTTCGAGAACAACGGTACGAAATACGCAGAAAGCTTCACCGAATATCCTAAGAGAGAACAAACCGATGATTTTTCTTTGTTAAAAACACGGAAATCATGATTTACCATGGCCATGATTCGTAAATATTATACATTTCCACGGAAAGACCTAAAAATAGATAAACTCATCTTTGTTTTCCCTAGTAAAACGCGTTTCATGTTACAGAGATTAACGTTAGGTGCAAGAAAATATCTAAATCTTTTTTTAGAAAGCATTTCAGAGTATTTTTATGTGAAATATAGTTGAGTAAATTCAATTACGTACATCAAAAAGCAAATATCGATCTTCGTCTTTTCCTCTGTTGACGTCAGATTTGTTAGGAAATTAAGATCAATGATCAATTTACATGAAAATATCTCAGATGATAAACTTCATTGCCTTCTGTTTACTGTTATTAATACTCGACGAAACATATCGATAACAAAATGATCTTATCAACAGATTAATCTAGTCAAAGGTCATTTGCACAAAACAACAGAAAAAAACTTGATAGAAACTCATTTGAGTGTGAAGAAGAACACACGAAATTCTTTATGTCCACTTACCGAGACTAATCAAGAGTAAATCAGAAACAGCAAGCGAAAATAGATAGAAATTTGTTGCAGTATGCATGTCACGACTTTTCCAGATGATGAAACACGTACCTAAACAATGCAAAAGAGTAAAACTAAATTTGTCATGTACACTTAGTCAACATACAAAGATTTCCCGTTAAACCAGTTGCAAATATAAATGAATAAAGTGTAATAAGTAAAGGAAAAGCGAATTTATCTCGTCTTCGATGTCCCAAAAAGTTAACAACACTTTTAACAAGTTCATCTTCTTCTTCAAATGTTAAATTAAGGCCCGTAGGCAAAACATCCAATTGACCAAACATAATCACCAAGAAAGAATTGAATAAGAAATCATCTAAATTAAAATAAACAGAGTTCAAGAAGAAAAGTCTTTTTTCGAGTATATACACATGTGTCGGAACAAAGGTTAACTTTGTTGTCCTTAAAAACATATCCGTTCTAACTAAGACAACTTCTCTCGTTTACGCCACTTCAATTCTTTGTGCTTTTCTTTCGCTTCTACATAAAGCTAAGTTATGGCAATGACAGTCTGTTAATGTAAATTATAGTATTCACAATCTTCTTCTTTTTTTTTCTCTTCTCTTATCCTTATATTATTAGATTGGCATGTATAGTTTTCTCATTTATCTCATGTCTTCTCGTATTTCTGAAATGTTTACAAAAAATTTTGCAAGTGTCACAAAAGCAACGATCTATCGATAGACGAAACGGACAATTACTTTTCCCTCTCGAGAGTCAAATCATCATCGAACGTCGATTCATCAGCTAAAATATGTAAATTACCTGAGAAAAGGGTTTAATTCCAAAGCGTAAATCGTTTTTAATTAAAAATTGACGAATAACTTGTCTTACGACGTACGTAGTTATCTAAATAAATAACGAAAAATCATCAACCAACGACTTTGAATGGTCACATGATTAGATAATTATCAATATTAAATAGGCTGTCAAATGAAATGACGTCAGTTCGAGAATAGGTTTTAGTGAAGTCGTACATTTAAGATAAAAATCAGAGAAGAATCGAAAAAATAAGTATGACTAGAATAATAAGAAGTATGTTACTGATCTGAAACTATAGAAAACAAAGAATCAGTTAGACATGTTCTGATAATAACGATTCTGTTTTCTTCGTCTTTTTACGTAGGAGGAGAATTTCTAACAATAACAACAACAGTAGGAACAGTAATAACGAACTAAGAGGCTGAAATTTGATCTTCAATGCTATCAGTTATTCTAACGAAACTAAAAGCGAAGTGATCATTACGCATTTGCTTTGCTGAAAGAAAAACGAAGAAATTGAATCTGAATGTTCCATTAATTGTCGATAGTCAATCACGTACGTATTCCACGGTTTTGCAGACTTATTCAAGCAAAAAATCGATCTACAGTATCGCATTCTTCTTTTCTTTCATCTGTCTAACGATAATGAACTCGAAGTCGAAAAAACAATTCAACAACGACTCGTTACGAAGCTATCGTCTAACTGAATAAAGAGAAAAGGATCCTTCGAAGAGAAGTGGAGATCTTTTCTTCTGAAGTTGTTCTTCAGTCTGTCGTTCAATTTTCCGGAATGAGTATTGATCACAGATGTCTACGATGTAAGCAACTCGAAGAAAAGAAAGAAAATGAATGGAAAAGTTCGATAGACCCTAAAGGCTGACAAACAAACTCTTCAAACGATCATTAGATATAAAGAAAAGAGAGAAAAAAAACAACATGCTTAAAAATTGATGAAGATACTCTTATCATTCATTTTTCTTTCTTATTATCAAATCAATGAACAACAGGAAATATTGGACAAAGATCTTTTTACATGAAGAGAAAAACCTTTACATTATTCTTTACAAATTCCAATCGAATTTTCATTTCAATAGCTTCATTAGATGTTTTCGATTATCTCTTCATAGAATACAAATCATTCGAAAGTTTATATTAGTCATTTGAGAAACATAACTGAACATACCCACAGAGAAATTATGTTGATTTGTTTATTCGTCAAGGACGAATGAAAAAGACACAGTATGTCCTTTGTTTTCTAATATGATCGAATGGGTTTGACAAGTGATGTGTATGTGGGTAGTCACATTATATTCTGAAGAAGAACTACGACATAATTATACAAACAATAGGCGCGAATAACCTTGAATACAAATACGCAAGTCGTTGTCTTTTTACTATCTGTTGTGTATCTGTTTTTTTATTTTTTCCGCAAATTTTCCTTTTTCTTCGACGCAAAAAAGATCGAAATTCAGTAGAAAATCAAAAGCGTAACAAGGAAAAGATTGACTCAATTACAAGCTTCTCTTTTCCAAATGTCATTTCCTTTCCGTGGTGATAATTGGAATAGTCATCTTCTTTTTCTTTACTCAATTAACCATGTTCCGCACGATGAAACGAACTCATGTCCATTTCAATTATGTTCTCGAAGAAAAATTTCAGGTCAATTACACTAAAACAAGTCGAATTCTATAACAACAGACACAATTTGTCCATTCATTTCGTACGAAAACTCATCTTAAACATTCAAATCATTCCAATGTCAAATTCAAGGTTAAAAAAGTCAAGTACGGAAGTGTTTTTTGTTACTAGATAATATAACTAGTCAAAGACATCAATCATTCGATCTTGTTTCTAATAGCTTACAAAGGAATTCATATAATGCATAACAGACTAAAACATATCAACCTTGACAATAGAAAACATGAGATTCAAGAGAATTTGGTGTCGATCGACAAACTGACAACTGTTAATCGCACATATGGATTAGACATAAAATGACACTTGTGTCTGTCAACTTCTGTATCTAGTAGAATAAACATTGAAATCATCGACTATGTGTTAAAATAACATCAACCAGTCGAGACAAAATGAAGAAAAAAGAAACAACCAATTTTGATTAAAGAAAAACCAGACAGACATACCTGATGATTTGTTAATTAAAATTATCGGGAGAAAATTAAAACATTAGTTTTTAAAAAGTCAAATCTAAAACAGTTGAAAAGAAATCTTTCGATGATTGTGTTCGAAAAGACTCGCAACAACAATCCATGATTTTTCTTTTTCTTAAAAGGAAAACAGTGAAATCAATAGATGAATGAATAGTTCAATTGATTAAATCAAAATGGACACATATAGAACACAGCCGACAAGATTTTTCTCTCGACGGAGCCGAATAATTACCAGTCAAGATGGCAACACCAACGCACGTATATATTCATCAAGAGATCGCAAATCAAACTGACAAAGACAAATGACTAAATGAGAAAAAAAAAGAAAAAATTCTTTATTTTATTCATCGAATAACTTTCCCATCTTTTCCTTTTCTCCTTCTTCTTACAAGGTTTTTCTTTCTTTCTTTTGGTACCGTCAGATTTATTTCAATCTTCTGACATATTGACGTCATTACAAAGTAGAACAATGAATCAGGAACATATTGTAGAAATTCTAATCAATATTACTTCGAGTTATTAATTTATGGCGCATTTACAGGTCAATCTTTTGTGTTTTTCTTCAGGAAAAATGGGTTACGAAGTTCATCTAGCTTAAAAATTTCATATCAAAATATGCAAAAGGAATTCTTTAACACTAATTATAACCAATTGTTTGTTGCTGACCAGTTCATGACAATTAAGTACAAGAAGAAAAACAAATGAAAGGTTAGTTTCCTATATTAGAAACACTTAGGACATTTATAATGAAATTTCTTATGAGAAGACGAGCACGGAAGTGTTATTTTAATAATTAAAAGTTACACGCCTACCCGAGATAATCCAAAATTTCAAAGAATGTTGCTATTTTTTGTTGTTAAGCGTAGAAGGAGCTGAAGAAAAGTTTTATGTTATTTTAGATGATTTAATTTCATCAACCTGGAAGGATGAGACTTCTTAAGACGTTTCAAGGCGATCTTTTCAAAACAGATGCCATCATTATTAATTAACAGATAAAAAATTCAATGAATGTTTCTTCATTAGCATCGCACTTGAAGTTCATTTGAATTGCTGAGTATAGTTAAAACATCAGAAAATATAAATGAATAATGTTCAATATGTTTATTAATCTAATTCGTTTGAAACTAAGTGAAATAAAAAAAAAAACAAAATGCTTAGGTAAATAGGATAGAACCGGTTAATAATGAATCGAATCGAATCTACTCTACTCAATGAAAATAGAATGAGATCTGCAAGACTAGGGTAAATAAACGAAAGACGTCGACAGATGATAAAAATCAAAAAAGAAATATTTATGTGATCACAGTGGGTTTGTCGCGTCCGGTGAAATCTTTCAATTGAGCAATTTCTAACGCTAATGAAACCAATGGGCGAAGCATTTCCTGAAAAAAATAAAAGAAAAATTTCGTTTTTGGATCAACTCGAAAGAGAACTATTTACTTGGGCATCTTTGGTATAAGTTGAAGGATCATTTTCATATGAATCAGCATAAAGACGAACAGTTGCACCACGTGCGCCCGTTCCACTCAGACGGAATACAAGTCTCGAGCCATCAGTAAAAACAATTCGTATTCCTTGTTTTTCTGTGTAACTTCCATCAACTGGATCCGTATAATGAAAATCATCCATTAAAGTTACAGTATATTCTTTATTTCCATAAGGTGTGACAAATGTTTTGTTTAATAATTCATTTGCCATACACATGCCTTCCAAACGTTTCAACATTGCGAATGGTCCTGGACCATCGATTTCTTCGTAATCATAACTAAAGATATTGAAAATGAATAGATTTATCTTCATTCAAAAGGAAAATTTTATACCGTGTGAAAAAGTTTCTTCCGAATGTCGTCCAATGTGCATGAAGAATCTTCTCAACCGATCGATCAACATTGGCCAAAACAGATAACCATGAAAGTACAGCCCACATACCATCTTTTTCTCTAAAACAATCAAATATAATGTGAGGTTCTCAAGGAAAATCAATGTACGAACCGAATATGATCGGATCCAGTTCCGAATGATTCTTCACCACAGATTGAAATTAATTTCGAATCCATTAGATTTCCAAAGAATTTCCATCCAGTTGGAACTTCATAGAGTGACTTTTGATTTTTCGCAGCAACACTAAAAATTCATTTTGTTTCAATATAAAATCACTTTTTCTTTCTTTCTTTTCTACGAACCGATCAACAGCACCTGATGTTGGCATACTTCGAGCATATCCATGAACACCATGTTTTTTGAAATATGGAATACAATCCAGATTGGCAGCAAGAACAGCCAAAGAATCGCAAGGCGTAACAAAAAATCCGCTTTTACCCAAAATCATATTACGATCCTAATGAACAAAAGAAACGTGAATAGGAAAGGAAAATTTTTCAAAAGAACTTACTCCATCGCCATCAAAAGCAGCACCAAATTCGAAATCTCCATGTTTCATATCTTCGACTAATTCGTGTGCATAAGTTAAATTTGGATCAGGATGATGTCCACCAAAATCTTCGAGATTTTTACAATTTTTTACTGTCACTGCATCTTTTGCTTTCAATTCCTCATGAAAGATTCGTAAAACATACGGACCCATCACACCAGACAAAGCATTGATCATTATCGGAAATTTTCCTTTATCTCCAACGAGTAAATTATGAATTTTATCAAAGTCGAATATCGATTTCATTAATTGAACATAATCATCGACCGAGTCGATAATTTCAATTTCAAATGGTGTTGAACGACCTTCAATTTCATACGTATGTTTACCAAGTGTTAATAAATCGATATTAACCAATGTTGGACAAAGACGAATATTTGTCAATTGACGTGTTTTATCATAAACACTATTAGTTACTGCTTCCGGGGCAGGACCTAAACAAAATTTTCTACTAAACTTTGTATTTCGATCGAAAAGTCCGAACCTCCGTTTGAAATATTGAATTTTACACCGAAATCATTATCAATTCCACCGGGATTATGACTTGCTGTTAAGACAATTCCACCGTCAGTATTACGTTTTCGAATAACACACGAAACTGATGGTGTTGACATCAATCCATCACGAGCGACGAATAATTTTTTAACCTAAACAAACATCCGTGAAATTTGTCGAAGGAGAACAAAACGTACATTATTCGCTGCAGCCATTTGAATGATAATTCTTGTTCCTTCACGAACGAAATGTCTTCCATCACCACCAACGACTAATGTTGCTTGTTTATCTTTGTTTGTTTCGTTTAAATCATCGAAATAGGCTTGAATGAAGTTTTCGAAATATTGATTTTCTATGAATGTTTTCGTTGGTTTTCTCAAACCACTTGTACCAGGTTTTTGATCGGTAAATGGTTTCGTTGGACGAGTTTCGATCGTGTGTTTAACCTGTTCAGAATTCGACATGATTTATCTAGAAGAAAAAAAGAGCGGAACAATTAACGGATCTTATGTTGTGGTTCGTAACAAAAACGAAACAAAGAAAAAATTAAGTAACACGAAGACTTTGAAGATGTGCCTGAGTCGTATTCAAAGCTTGTTCGTGCAATTGTTTTTGTTCTTCTTGTTTGAAAGCGATCTTCGTTGCTTTCTTTATCACTCGCCGATCCTGAAATTTCACAAACAAATTTGATTGGATGGCGAAAACGAATTTTTAGTCTTACCCTTCTCATTTCTTTTACAGCGTGTTTTCTGGCTCGACGTTCTTCACTTGTTTCGCCTTTCTTTCGTTCGAACAGCATTGTTTTGGTATTATCTTCATCACTTTCTTCTTCATCACTCTTGTCTTGTTCTCTTGTTAGTTCTTTTGTTGAGATTTTATTATTATCCGCTAATGGTAAACCAGTTTTCTTTGATAACCGAATTTTATTTGTTGGAATTTGTGTAATTAGCTTCGGATGATTATAAGCGTTTGAATAAGTTGAAAGAATCGATTCACAGTCCCATTTCTCATCTGCTTTTTCATCATCTTGAAGAACAACCGTTGTCACTCTTTCCGGTTCGTTCATCAGTCGTCGTGCTAATCGTTTAGTCTTTTCCATCGCAATTCGTTCGACTTGTTCGTCTCTAAAAAGTTTTTTAAAGTTATTTCAGTATGAAAAACCGCAATGGAAATCTTACGTTTGCATTTGTTGTTTTTCAAATTGTTGAACGGTTTGTTTGACGACATCATCGTCCATCGAAGCACCCTGCTGGTTAATTTCATGCGTATCCAAAGCTCCGATTTCCCCATCGTCATATTCATCGAAAACTTTATCGAAATGATCATCAATGTTTTGTAAACCTTGATTTCTTCGAATCACTGACGATGTCATCGAATAATTTGTATATTTAGTCTTTGATGTTTGTTTATCGTTATCATCATGTGAATAATTGGATTCCATATCGGCGTCGTGATCATTGTCGTCGTCATCGTCAACGTCGAGGAAACGACGCAATGCGAGAGGAATCGGCTTGTTTGTCTTTGGAACGAATCGAGGTGGAATAGTTGTCGGAAGATTTTCATGAACGATTTCATCTCTATTTGAAAAGGATTTCAGTGAAGAAAGAAATGAGTTTCGAGAGGAGTTTACTCGAATTCATCACATTCATTTGCGTCGAGAGGTTGAGTTCCATTAGCTTTTAACATAAAATCGTCGTCAAGAGCATTTTCATCATCATCATAATCGAATTCATCGTCATCAAGTGCAGCGATGACATCAGGATCCCAATGAATTTTCGGATCGGAATCTGGTGCAGCAAGATTCAACATTCCGATTTCGTTTGTTGTTTTACTTTCGAATACAGTTGACGGAAGATTGAAACGTGACATGAGCTAATCGGAAAAAAACAAATCTTTTCGAAATTATCCTTTCTATTTCTCTTACTTTATCATTATTGTTCATAATTTCATCTTCATCATCATCATCATCTTCATCTTCATATTGATCATCGTCTTCTTCTCCTTCTTCTTCTTCTTCTTCAACTTCATGTTTTTTTCCATTAACATGAACAGAATATTCTTCTGGTGGTGCACATGGATCACGTAAATGTTGTAAATAGTCATAATCATCATCATAATCAATTCCGTATTTACGTTGCTCAACTTTTCTTTGATCATTCTAAAAAGTTTTACTTGAAAATATTCGGTTAAAATCGTTCATAACAAAAAATTACATTCAAAGGGACGAGTACGTGTTCACCGGCAGCATCATCAGCAATTAATGGATCGTGTTGACTGCGATGAACTAATTGAAATGTTATTGCTTTCTTTTTGTTAATAAATTTCCGACGCTGAGGCATTCTATTCGATTATTATTAACGATTATCTAGAAAAGATCAGATCAGGACATATGGGTACATCCATTAGTTTATGTTGCAAAAGTTTTTGGATTCTTTCATGTCTCATACGATTAGTGTACACATCGAATCAATAAATTAGTCTGTCGATAGAGGTCGCTTCTTCTCTCTTAAAATCTTTAATCGGTAATTCTCAAGTTCTTCTGTTGAATAGTAGTTCATAAGATGAAGATAGAATTACAATGACGATAAAACTACTCATGGTTTATATCAGGTTTTGTCAATATTTATAAGCGATAAATTTCGATAAGCTCACCATCAGAACTGATATTTTCCGTGACAAAATCAAAAATACGCGCAATGTTTTTTTCTCATTTGTTTCGTTTTCTTGAAATCGATTTGACAAAATGCTTAATCAATATATTCGACAATCATCGATTCCTTCAGTGAATTCCATCAGTAAAGAATTTGAATCGTTAAAATGCATTCCGATTCAACAAGAAAATCTCTTCAATGGAACTTTTGTTCAATATTATCAATGTTCGAATAATAATAATCGAGTAAATTTGAATGTAAAAGTCGAAGTGTCTCAAGATTTCTCTTCGTTAAATCGACAAATTAGATGATTTGTGTTTTTAATCCATGTTCGAGATGATCACATTGAAATAACAACATTTCGATCAATATTGTTCTTCAGAATTCATAATACTGGCAAATATTTTCTTCCTTTTTCTCAAATGCGAACGTCTAGAAGATTAAATTCCATCTGTTTCTTTTTTTTTCTTGTTGAAAGATTTCAATAACATTCTTCGTGTGAATCTCATGTCTTCGAAGAAAATACTGATAACTAAGTCAAATAAACACTTACAATTCCTCAACTTCCTTTCGTTTTTAAACGAAAAAAAAAGTGTAAAACGATTTAACCTGACTTTAAACCTCTCTCTATGTTTGCTCAAGGAATGATTTCATATTCGTTTTTACTCAGGCATTCTTGTCATTCTGATATTAGGTGGAGTAACAAGCGACTTCACCTTGCATTTTTTTTCTTTATTTCTTTTTATTGCCAAAGAATCTTTCTTTTTTAAACGCGTGAAAAGACTTGTATAGACACGTAAATAGAAAAACGAAATCTTTTTCTCTGATAACGTCTAAGTAGGAACATTTTGCATTTATAATCTTTTCGGGCTACTTACTTTCGTCAAAACAACTTTACGACTTTTGTTTTTTGCGAAACAATAACCAATCAATCGAATATTCAATCGATATTTTTCAGACCTTATTATGAGTTTATTTCGATGGAAAGTCATTCAAATCATCATTTGGGTAAATTCATTAGTTACATTCACATTAATTTCAAATATTTTCAATTGAAATCTTAGGGTTTGGTCACTATAGATATAATTTCATGCAGCAATTCAAGTAAAGTTACTTCTTTCTTTAATCAAAGACATTTATCGTAGCTCCCATTATGTTTTTTCTGATAGCTTCAACAACAACAAGTACTCAGACGACGACAACGACGACGACGACGACCAGCACTACGACAACCACCACATCAACGACGACAACCACTACATCAACGACAACAACCACTACTACAACAACGACCACGACAACGAAACCTCGTAAATCACAGTTTTAATTCGAATAAATTGTTCACTTTATTTTATTTTTAGCTGATCTATGTATGAATGCGACATATAGTTATTTTCATGTGACAAATCGTACATCGAATATGTTCGCAGCATCTATCATATACAATTGTACATTTACAGACATCTATAACTTTACAATAATTTACAATGAGCCAAGATCGAATTGTTCTATAAAAAATGATTATGGAGATTTTACGGGGAATATCAGCGTCGATGTGGAATGTGTTGCGATTGAAAATAAAGCTGGAAGAAATTTCACGTTTAGTCTAAATCGCGAGTCTGTCGAAAATGGAAGTGCTCTCAATGAATCATTTATTGTCACACTTCAACCTTTACCTCTAAATTTGATTAATATCAATGTAACAAACGGCACAATACCAGCATCAATTTATATGAAAGATTGTGAGAAAACTGCGGATATCAAATATCTTGTAGTTCGATGTAATGGATCCAATACATCTGATACACCGTGTCTGAACAATTGCACGTGTGTTTGTAACAATTTAGAACCAGGAAATAAATACAATGTATCGTTAGTTCGATTAGAAATTCCCTTTGTAGATAGTCCTGAAAAGTCCGCAGAAGAAAACATATCTTTAAGTTTTACTACAAGTAAAACAAATGAAAATTCTTCAATACCGATTGGAAGATTGTTTTTAAAATTTTTAGATTTGGATAAAGCAAGGAATATCACAGGTGAACCACGGGATAACGATACGGCTTTGATTAATTTCATATGTCCACGCGGTAGTTTCCAACGAATATTTGTTAATTGTACTTCTTATGAACCAACATGTACACAAGACAATCGTCCTGTGTACACAAATCTTACTAACTGTTCCACTTCTACTTCTCTTCCAATATTTCCAATCACTGGAAATTTGAAATATCAATGTGAACTTTCCACAATAAAAGAAGGTTTTACAAATGCTGTAGCAAATTCAATCGATATTGACACAAGTAACTTGAATTTATTTTTGTCAGACAAACAAAACACAATTTGTCGATTGCTTAGATACTAAAAATATAACATTTGATATTCCCGACGCATCAAACCAAACTGCGACGAATATTACTGTAAACCCTAATCATGATTACGAGACAATCGTTTTAGCATGTGATGTTATTAATAATCCTTCAAACGTTTGTTCACGATACGTACGGCGATATAATAAATGCTCGAACGTTGTAGAATTTCGTGGAGTTCGTGGTTGTGATTATGATTGTTCGTTTACAACTGAAAAAGCGACTTACGCGAATATGACTTCGAACAATTTCAATATTTCAGTTTGTGAGTTGTTTTCTTCATGTTTGTGATGATTCAATCAATTTCGGATTGTTTTAGTTCCTATAAAACCGAAGATAAATGTACAGAACAAAGGATCTCGGTGGATTCTTATCAAATGGGCAGTAGACGAAGAAACAAATATTCGATCCTTTAACGTAATCGTCAATAATAGTACAGAAATATCAGCTGATCAAACAACACTTTCTTATAATTTGACTGAAGGTATTGAACCCTATCGTGGGTAAGTTGGTGTTTCATTCTTATATTTAATCAAATATCAATTTATTCGATTTTAGATACTCAATTTCTGTTGAACTTCTCTCAAATCAAAATATTTCGTCAGAGACTATCAGAATAAATACTTTACAAGAAGGTATAAATTTCTTCAGATTTTGTTTCAGTATCACTTCTTTGTTTTCTCAGCACCACCTACACCGAATCCTACAGTCATTGAAAACAAACTTATTCCCCAAGAAAATCATCCCGAATCAACAGATAAACAATATGTAATTGATTTTGACCCATCACTCTTCTCCGAAGACTACGGTCCAATCAAAAAATATTTAGTTTACGTTCGTCGCAGTATGATTTCCATTGTTTTTCTTTCGTAAAATTCATTTGTAATCAACTAGATGAAAGTATCACTACAACTGAAATATCTTACAATGGAACATACGAGGAAGCAAAACATAACGAGTCAATCGACTATTTAGCCACTGTGTTCATAATGGATTCTTCAACACGAACGAGTCGGTTGAACTTTCTGCGTATAAAACGATAAAAATCTCCTTGTTTTTCATCTGGTTTAGTCCAAAATAATATCAGTGTGTTACTCGGAAATGAAACCGATTGTTCAAAAGAAGTTTGGATGTGCAATGGTCCATTGGAACCGGCTACTCTCTACAAGTATATATTAAAAACTTTTCGTAAACATTATCCTCGTGGATTGATTGTGATTAGAGTGATTATCAGTGCATGTACGGATATTGGTTGTACGAATGTTCTTTCTCGAAAATTTCAAACTCGTAAGTAGTGAATATTAGTCATCTTTTTGGACAATAAGTGAATATTAATTTAGATGAATCGCCGAAATCACCGGGTCCAGTACTATGGCCATTGATGTTTATTGCTTTGGCTTTTGTTCTTGCGATTGTCGCTTTTGGTGTATGGAAACGACAACCGTTAAAGAAATATATTAAAAATATTCGTAATTATAAAAAGTAAAGAAAATTTAACTGAAATCTGTGAAAATTAGTGAACTTCATTTCATTTTAGACCACGGTAAAACAAATCAAAATTTCACCAATAATGTTCTCTTTATTCTTGTAGCACTGCATCACTATCATTAAAAGAAACTTATTCCATTATACCGAAAAGGTGAAGAATCGTTCATAATTACCCGTTCAATCATATGTCTTCTTCTTTTAGACCAAAACCACTTCATAAATATCTCAATATGACGCATGAGGATGAAAGAGCAATTTACAGCGAATATCAAGTTCGTCGAAGAATTCTTTCATTCAAGAACTTCATAATTATTCTTTTGAATAGGAATTAGAAAGTGCGGCTCCTCCCTATCGTCAATCTGATTATGATCTTGAATATGCGCAAAACGATCGATATGCAAATATTCCTGCTCGAGGACCTTGTAAAGCCTTTCGTTAAGTTTCAAAAGGAGAATATCGATGAATTTCTTCGTTTGTTCTCAGGGGATCGTTCAGCTGTTCGGCTTAATGCTGATTATCGTCTTCATGATTATATCAATGCGAATGAAGTGAAAGTAATTGAAAATTTTTGAGAATATTCAATCGATACATGACTCATTTAGGGATTACATAGTAATAAACAATATATTGCGTGTCAAGGACCCAAATCCAACACCTGTCAAGACTTTTGGGATATGATTCTTCAATATAATGTTTTAAAAATTGTCATGTTGACAAGAACTGAAGAACGAAATCCTCATAATCAGTCGCAACTCTTAGTAAAGATCAAGAGGGAAATCATTAAGTTTGATCTCATTGTATTTTTTAGGAGAAATGTCATCCTTATTTTCCCGGAAACAAAGGTGACACATTACAATTTGGTGAAGTTACTGTCCAAACACTCGAAGTCGATATTCGAACAAATGCTGATCTAGAAATTCGTCTTATTCTCATTAAAAGCGTAGATATTCTTTCGATTTGTCAACCATTTCCTTAACTAAAATCTTTTTTTCTTCAGGAGAGAACTGAACGTCGTGTTTGTCATTATTATTTTACTGGTTGGCCCGACTTCGGTGTTGTTAATCAACAAAGATTACTTAATCTTCTCGAAACAATCAACAATCACGAACACAGATCGATTTCCAAAGACAAAGAATATCGTTCACCGATGGTCGTACATTGCAGGTAAACGAAAAGTGAAAAGTAAAAAACGAACCTTGTATTTTCCAATGATTTCAGTGCGGGTGTTGGTCGAACTGGTACATATATCGCAGTTGATATCATCACGGGATTAATTAATCAAGCAGAATCAGGCGGTAAATTATCAACAATGAGCCTCGATGTCATGGGTATCGTCAGCAAATTGAGAGAAGATCGATGCAAAATGGTTCAAACTAAAGTTTGTTTTGTTTATACAATTACATTTGAAAGAAATGAATAATTAAATAGGATCAATACATGTTGGTTAATCGTTGTGTAGAAGAATATCTAAAGCGAATCAATCGATTAAACGATGGTAAATCTTTTCTTCTATCCGTTCTCCTCTTTAATTTGCTTTTTTCAGTTCTACAAGACTCGAACGAATATGAAATTCCTACGTACGGTCCTGTGGTGACAGAAGATAATATTTACCTAAATGAAAGACAGATTTCCAAACAACGTTCTTCATCGTCGGTTTACGCAAAAGAAAGATCTTCTCACGATCGTCTACGGTCGAATGTTGCTCAACGGCAACCCAAATACGATGGTTATTATAACGAAATCAATAACGATCGCACTCCACCTGTTCCCGATCGAAACAATTATGGAAGAGATACAAACAAAATGTAAAGTCCGAATTACTTCCATCGAGTTTTTTAATTTCTTTTTTTTACAAAAATTTGTATTATTTATTTTCTTATTTTAAATAATGATTTATCTAATGAAATAAAAATATTCGAATGTCTTTGAATAAATCATCAAAGGAAGATATTCGAAAACACATTTGTAGAACTTTGCCAATCGACTAGACATTTCCAAAGAAAACAAAACGAAACGAAACAAAAGAGAAGAATTTGCTACTAAGAATCAGCTCCATTTGTTAAACCCTGACGACGAGTAATTAGTGCACGTTGCCATTCGGGTCGTTCAACGTTTGTTGTTGACTGAGAAGCAGCGCTGATGAATTGATGGGTTTTTGAAACTGGAACGATTGGTGAACGCTAAATTTCAGTGATAAAACCAACTTTTTTCTTCTATCAAAACATCTCGTCAGTAACTTACAGTTTCATATCCAGTTCTTCGCCATGATCTCTGTTCTGTAGGCATAATAGGTGCTCCTACCGATTGACTCTGTCGAGATCTTCGGTTAATCGAAGTATCATTTTCATTATTTTCCTCTTCTTTCATTTCATCTTCGGATATCTTACTGTCTCGTCGTACTTTCCGTAGATTATTTCGACCCTTTCTAAAAGAAAAACATGGGATAATCTTAACAGAACCAAGTAATCATTGAAATTAGTCATGCCAAACAATAAACAAATCTTTTCATCTTCTTACTGGATTTCTTCATGAAATGCTTGTGGTGTTAACTTCGACATTCGAAGCCATGGCGCATAAGTTTGCGATGGTAATTTCGCACGTAGCCGCATTCGATTTTGTTCATTCAAAGAATCCATACTATGCATTAAAACATTATTTTCCAGATCATCACGTCGACTGGCATCGTGTTTTTCTACTCGCGCTCGAAGTTCGGAAAGATCAAAACGTGAATTCACTAATTTCTCCGATGAAGTCGACATGTCATTTTGACCGTTTTCCGCAGTCAATTCATTTTCATCGACCTGATTCGCCGCGTCATGCCGCGCAATATTTCGCTTTTTAACAACTAATCGAACGACAGTCGCTTTTTCTAAATGAATTGGTCTACTATTTGAAGAAGAAGATTTTTGTGAAGATAACAATGGATTTTCACGAAGACGAAGATCATGAGCAAGATTTTGAAAACCATATTGTTCAGCTAAATCAATGGCGGTTAATTGAGCATTGTTACGTGTTGTTACAGAACAACCAGCACGTTCGATTAACACAGCACAAACACCTTGATGACCATTTTCAGCTGCCTAGAAACACAAAAAAACCTTGAAATATTTCTTAATTTAAATCATTTTCTTATAACAGGAAAATGAATGTAAAATCCTTGAAAATAAAACACCTGGACACTTTTCTACAAAAGGAATGTGTCTACTAACCACATGTAATGGAGTATTTCCATGACTTGACCTTGTTATTCGAGCCTTTCTATCTAATAAATAAATTAAAATGAGTTCACTTCCACTTGCAGCTGCATAATGCAGTGGAGTGTTGTTCATATAATCAAAATCATCAACATTGGCATTGAGTTTTTCAACCTAAAACATCATCAAGACAAATTTTGGTAATTTTCCTGAAAATTCTGTCATTTACCATCCATTGAACAATGTCAAGATGAGAATATTGACAAGCTACAGATAAAATTTGAAAGTAAATGAAAATCTTCAATGTGATTTACCTGTGTGTAAACAATTTAATCCATTTTCATCTCGTAGTTTATAATTTCCTCCATGTGATGAGAGAATTTTCACGGTTTCCAACGAACCATTTTGACAAGCGAGATGCATTGGTGTTAACAGTGTTGTCGTTTGTTCATTAGTTGTATCAGGAGCTGATGTTAATAATAATTTCACGCAATTTTCATGACCTGACGAAGCTGCATAATGAATCGGCTGAAAACTATTGTACGATCGAGCATGAGCGTCAGCAGATTGATGATCAAGTAAATAATTCAAACTTTTCAAAGAACCGTAAGCAGCGGCTAAAGAAAATTCAATGTTACTTTTTCGAGAAGAAGATTTTTTCATCATACCAAGGTGTAACAAAGTATTTCCATGGGAATCTCGAATTGTCCAGCGAATTTGTTCAGCAAAATGTGTTTGTCGCTTTTGATTATTAAATATATAATAAAGTGTTTCAACTTGGTCACAAACTGCAGCGTCATGTACGCACGTTGCACCGTGTTCTGTACGTAATTGACTCAAATCTAAACGCTTCGTTTCAATTAAATATTCTAGAATGTTTATATGACCATAGCGAGCAGCGAAATGTAGTAATGTTGCACCATGATTATCTCTTATCGACGCAATTTTCGATCCAGATAAAGAATCTAAATGGAATCGTATTGTCTGCAAATCGCCTTGTTCACATGCGGCGAACAGAATTGCATTGTCGTTAGATGACGAATGACCGTTATTTCTTATCGATGCCATTGAAACAAAGTTCACATTTTACCTAAAAAAAGACGCACATCTTCGCATTTTTTTTTTGTCGTTTCTTATCGAATGTAAGTCGGTATTTAAGAAGAAAATAATCAATAGTGATTAGTTTTCTGTCAACGAAAGAGAACAAATGCAAGAATCTTTTTCTTTTTTCATGAAGATATATTAAATAAATAGAGGACTTACTCAAGGTTGAGAATATAAAACAAATTTGTTATCTTTTTCTTTCTACAAGTCGTCTTATCTACCTGTTCTTTACTGTGTTATACTCAAGTATATGGAGAAGAGAAATCTATCGTGATTTCAAAGATAGATTTACTTGTGATAATCTGAGAGATGAGAAGAATTCTATTGAGGTATGCCAAGGACAATCATAAGATGATTCATTTCCGTTGGAAAAACACGCTCAGGTAGTCTTCTTTTTGAGAACATCCATTGAATTCAATAGACGATAGAGGACTCTCAGAGAAATGTTCCAAAAGAAAGGAAAAGGAAAAAAGCTATCTGCCTATGTAATAGACACACATTTGTTTTTATCGAATGAAGAAAGCAATTAAATCTTGACAAAGTTATAAACATTTATTCATTTTATGATTAGAAGTTTCGTCAAGTATTTTATATTTATTATACAATCGTAAACCGAAAGATATCAAACATGGATTTTCTCTTTGAAAACTTTTGTTTTATTTGAAAAAAACACAGATGTTAATTTGCATCAAGAAAGAAACAGTTTTTGACGTCGGTGAATATCAAAGATTAGCACCTCGTCTATTCCCCATTGACGCATAAAAAGATAATCATCTCTACAAACACTTCGTTTTCTCGGAAAGAATGAGCCACTTGAAATTTAATGGTTGATTAAATCTATTTGTGCTTGTCTTATGTAATCAAGGTCATTCACAGGTCATCAGTTGAGAAAGTACATCCTCACTAAGGCTATTCCATTTGTCAGGTCATTGATCGGTCATTTTAGAAGACGAATTTATGTTCAATTCTCTGTATATGTTTATTTTATTTCGAAACAAATCTTCTAAGCTACAGATCGTTTTGCTTATCTCACTCAGCACACACAAATGTATTCTTATACAAGAGACACTCACTCTGTCACACAGACACACACAAGGAAATGTATACGCTCGTTATTTTTTTTCAAATGTTTTCTTTTTTGGATATCTGACAACTACGAAACTACATGAAATGTCTTTTTTAGCGGTTTGTTGTGTTTTCATTTGGCTGCTTTTTTGGGTGAAGCGGCTTTTTTCGCGGCCTTGGGTTTGGCAGCTTTTTTAACAGCTGGTTTCTTTGTTCCGGCTGCTTTGGGTTTCTTTGGTGTAGTTGCTTTTTTAACTTTGGGTTTTGCGGCTTTTTTTGTTGCAGTTTTCTTTGCTCCGGCTGGTTTGGCTGCACCTTCTTTTTTAGCTTTAACTAAACAGAGAGAAAAACAATGAGTAAAAGTCACTGAACAGATTGGTAAAAATATTTACCTTGTTTTGGTTTCTTTGTTGCGCCTGCAGCTTTTGGTTTCGAGCTTGATCGTGGTTTAGTTGCTTTGGCTTTCTTTGGTTTAGCAGCAGCTGGGACAGCGCCAGTTGCTGCGGGTGCAGCAGCTGAATTGTTTGCAGCAGTTGCGACCTTTTTGGCTGGTTTTGTTCCAGCTGATTTCGAACGAGCACGTTTCTTTGTGCCAGATGTAGCGGTTGTTGAACCAGCAGCTTTCTTTGGTTTTGGTGATTTCTTTTTGGCTGGTTTAGCATCAGTGTTTGTTGCTAATTTGAATGAACCACTTGCACCATTTCCTTTGGTTTGTTTGAAAGATTTAGATTTGACACCATTTTTAAGAGCTAATTTAAGATGTTGGTTGGCTGAGCTGGGATCGAGTTGATAGTTGGCCAAGACAAATTTGAGAATTGCAGCTCGTGAACTTCCACTACGATCATTCAAAGCTTTTAATGCTGCTTTGATCATATCAGAATATTTTGGATGTGCTGAACCTTGTGCTGTTTTGGCTTTGGCTGGTTTCTTTGCTGCCTTTTTTGGTGATGCACTTGCATTGGCAACATTTTGAGTTGTTGAAACTGGAGCGGCGGTATTATCTGTCATTTTTGATGAAAAGTTCTATGAAAAACAAAAACATCGATCAATATTGTCAATCAATTAACAATTCGAACAACTCACCTGAAGAGAACTGTTGGGTTAAAAATAGATAATTTGTGTAGTTGAAGATAAAGAGTGAGAGATGAACTCTGAAGAGAAGAACGAATGGAATAAAATAAACAAAAGAAGAAGAAGAAGACGAAAGACTTACCTAACGTTTGCTTGCGCGTTGTTGTTATATGAAATGAACGATAGACGCACATGGATATATATACAGAACGTTTCCATCGACTCTCACTTGGGTCATGTCTTTGTTTCGTTTCTTTTCTCTTTCTTTTCCTTCGTTTCGCAACGAATTATTTTCGAGCAGAAAAGGAAAGAAATTTTTTGTTCTTTTCCAAATTTCATGATTTTATGAGGTTTTCTCAAAAGAACTGATGATGTGTTGGGTATCAGTGAATAGAGAACTATTTTTTCTATGGGATTAGCGAAAAATATTGATGAATTTTTGTTGCTTTTGTGTCGTTTTCAAAGAGAAAAGTGGAAAATACATCAATGAATCGAACAGATTTTGAGAATGTTTTTGGTTTTTTTCCAGGAAAACTTTCTCGAAATGAGGAAAAACTTTGTGGAAATGAAAGAGAAATATTTCTTCTTTCATTTCATATAAAAATTTCTTTGGTTTTATCAGAAAAATTAAGCATTTCAATCGAAAGAAGGGCGACGTCGACGAACAACTTGAAGATTCAACGGAAACTTTTTCAACAAAACTTCACTGAAAAACTTTCTAATTTTCTTCTGATTTTCATATCAATCGATTCAACACATTCCACTTGATCACATTTAACATAAATCTTCAAAAATTCCACGAATAAAACAGATTTTTTCAAGGAAACTTGTCTCTTTGTTATACTTCGAATTGACCTCTTTGACATAAAGTCATCGATGAACATCAAATTTCTCTTTTTCGAACGTGTCTGTCTGAGATTTCTTGATTTCAATTGATGATAAACAAAAAAGATAGTAAAGTCTTTTGTCTTTGTTTATTTTTGGACTTAAAACACTGAAAGTGACATCTGACACAATGATGACGCATAGAAAACGTATTATTATTTAAATCTTTGTTCGCGTTGATTCGTTGGTCCATTGAAGAATTTGTCTTTGTAGAAACGTTCGAATTGGATTTGTAAATTGAAATAAAACAAGAATGACAAAAACCAACGATAAATCAACAAAGAAAAAAGCGATCCGAAAATGATATCTCGGTGGTGGACGTACAAATGATAAAAAATAAAATATTGTATAAGGTAAACCGAGCGTAACAAGAAAGATCACAAGAAAAGCAATTCGTCGCACCAGTTGCAGCTGACGTCGTGCGTGAATTAATCGATTAATAGGTGTAATAATTTCACTCATATTATGAACGTAGCGAACCAATTTAAAATAGATAATCGTTATGATCAAAATCGGATTCAAATAAGCGAGAAAACACGTGTAAAATATCCAAAAATGTCGTTGAAATGGCATATGACAAACTTGATTATCAACATTGTATTCAATTTGATTAGTGAAGAAAAATGGAAAAGGATGAATAATCGACAAAATCCATGTTAAACAAATGAGAATCAATTGAAATCTTTGAGATTGATAAAAGATCTGTGAAGGATAAACAACTTTGATATAACGATAAATACTTTGTAATAAGTACGAATGACTTCGAATTGCCGATGTTGCATAACTAAGATAACCACGAAATGAACAAGAACGATCTTTGTCAATAATTTGTTTAATATCGTTGCGAAAGGTAAAGAAAGTTATACTAAACATGACACTTGCAAAGAGAAATTCCGATAGAAATGAATTACAAAGAAGTAATGTTGACACACTTCGACATGTTTTATCGAGAAAAATTATAAGAAGAAATAGAAAAGTAAATAAACAAACGAAACTTGTCAAGATTAACATGATGAGATCGAGTGGAATAAACCAAAATTCATTTCGAATTGGAGATGTTTCATTCTGGAACATTTTCAAAAAAGAAAATTCTGAAAAAGAAAAAAAATTTCAAACAATGTGTTTTCATTGTTTCCAATTGGCAAATCTTCATATTTTCTGATTATATATAAATTCGTTGTCTGAGATTTGATAATCATTCAACTCACAAGATTCACTTGATCTTACTAAAGTAAAGAAGTGAGAAAAATAAAGGTTTTCTGTTTCAACTGTGTATCCTTCGATTCAACACACTTTTTCTGTTAAGTTAAAAACTATCATCAGTCTGAGAAAGAACGACGAAGTAGCTGTGCATCTAAGATATGAAAAGGATGAACTATTCGACGAACTCGCATGAATGTTTAAGAAAATAATCTGATAGAAATTTTGCTCGTTTACATTATACAAGTAAGAAAAGAGAAAACGACGTAAGAATTATTAAAGTAATCACTATGATGAAATGACTATCATATAGCATCTCAGTGCATCGAAATGTGTACTGCTTTTCTCTATAATACAAATAGATAACTATTTTGAGAATATACTCATTATGTTGGAATTTGCTTTAATATCTTAATCTTCGTCTGATAATTAATAAGATTTTATTGATATGTATTTAGTGGCATCCTTAAAGTCTAAAGATCAATAGAATATCTTTCGCCAACATAGTTATTTTTGCTCAAGTCATTTCTGAAAGATTTCTTTCGATTGATTTGTCAAAGTCTAATAGAATTATTAAATCGATGTTCCTGTGACCTAAGAATGACTTTTGCATCGTTATTAATCGAATCTACCGAGAAAATGAGAATAAATGACTGACTTTGAGCTGATTACTATGTTCATTTATTAGTCCTACTTCTTCTTTGTTCTATTAATAAATCATAAGATTAATTTACTTCTGTTTTGTAGAATTCTCAGTGTCCATGAAGAACTTTAACTAATAGTGAAATAATAAGGAGAAAATGACTCCTACCGATTCGTATGATTATTTCGATTAGTTTTGCTCGGAATGTTTTGTAAGTAGAAAAATGATCTTCTAGAAAAAACAATCCCAGTAAATATGTGAGAACTGTGTCATTGAATGGAAACATCAAAGTCGCTTCGTAAAAATAATTTGCTTATGTTTCTCAAATATCTTTTTACAAGTTAAAGAATTACAAATGGTGTCAAATAAAAACATCCAATAGGAACAATTTCCTTAGTAGAACTTCAACAAATGTATCTCAGCAATAATTTATAGTAATTTCTTTCATTCGAAAGTTCATTTTATCTATTCAATATATAATTAATCATCTTTTTCATGTAAGATTATTACATTTGTGATTGACTTGTTTGACACTGTGTACTTTTCCTTCATCTAATTATTATGAATCGACTAGAAAATCCTTAGATTTCATACAAAAAAAAATAATAACAGATATTTTTCCTTTCGTCATATTATTATTTATGAGTTACCGAACATTATCAATTTTCTATATGCACTACGAAGCGAAGAATATTCGAACAACGATGAAAAACAATAGAAACTTCATATTGAAAGAATGATGTGAACTGATGACAATTTTAGTTACAACTTCACATTCAAAACAAAGGTTCTAGAAATTTGACAGTGAGTAGTTGAATATTTGAAAATCTGGTGTATAGTAATCAACTAGAACTTTGAAATCATCGTCATTTTGAATATTTTCTCTGAAAAGTTGAAATAATTGTGAATTATTCAGTTGAATTTGTTTCGTTTGTTTTTTGTCAAGTTCTTTTGAAGGAAATTCTCGTTGAATTTGTTTGGCATTTTCATTGAATTTTTTTAATAAAATTTTGCCATCATTATGAAAATTTTCAATTTTGCCGAAGAAATCATAATCGATCCAACAAACAGCACATCGCCGCACAATTTGCTCCCAATGACTATTGATTAACCGATGTTTTCGTATCGAATCAACAATATACAAAAGAAATGTTCGTAAATCTAATCGAATGTCATATCTTCGGATTGTTATTAATGTGTAATTTTTATTGATTTCCAATAGAATATCTTCTTCTAATTGTTTCCAACCGAATAAAGTGTCATCCAGATGATTATTCACAAATTTATCGTAATAAACTGAGTAAATGCGTTGAAATGGATGACGAGCAATGAGAAATTTAAAAAGATTTTTGTTGGATTTGTGAAATAATTGATGAAATGTTGTTTTTGTTAAATAAAATTGTTGAAAAAACTTCTCATAATCGATCCAAATCTTTTTTCGATCGAGATTAACATACGATTCTGATTGATTGAGATGTCCAATGAGAAGACGTCGAAGATTTGTTGATGCAGCTTTTGGAACATCACAGAAAAGAACATTTAACGATGGAATATAAACTAAATTGGAATAAAATTCTTCATCAATTCGAAGATTCTTGTTTTGACAATATTTATTCTGTTGGAATTTCCGTTGACTTGGTTTTGAAGTTAAATAACGAATAAATAACACCACGAGGATTAAATATCCAATTAAAACCAATCGACGATAATATCGAAACATTTTTTAAAAAGAGAAAAGCAACTTTTTTTTTCTCTCTCTCGTTCTTTTTTGTTCGAAAGTAAACAAAATATTGAAATTTTGTGCGACATTGAAAATCATCCAGTATGACTCATCATTCGAAGAACAAATGAAATCGTTTAAGAAAGAAATAACTTAGAGAAATCTGTTTATATTTCAAGATTTGAAACACAACAAAGAAACATTCGAATGAATAAGATAATCCCATATAGAAAACTTCAAACATTCACATCAACAACAAAGGAAAAGTCGAACATTGACTGAGAACCGGTTAAAGACATTGTCGTTCAATTCTCTCAAATAGATATAGTTCGTTTAATGTGTCTCAGTTTAAATCAAATATAGATAAAACAATAAAAAGAAAAGAAAATGAATTTGTTTAGTGTTTCAAGATTTCATTCGAAAATTGCAACACAAACCATAATGAGAACACCCATAATCAATGCCAACAATTCCATTAACGATTGTTTAAGTCCTGTGTTAGTTGATAATAATTCAGGAATGACACTAACAGTTGCAATGTAGATAAAGCCACCAGCGGTTATGGGAAGAAATGTTTGAGTTGCCCAAACTTCTGTACCTGCAGAATGAAATAATAAACCAATTAAACAACCAAGTAAAGCACCAAATGCTGTTGTTAATTGTAAAAATATTGCCTAAAAAGTCAATTTTAAATCAATGATCGATGAAATGACTCAATGAACCTTTTTTCGACTACAACCATTTTGAATTAAAATAGCATAATCACCAATTTCATGAGGAATTTCATGAAGGAAGATTGTGAATGTAGTTGTCAAACCTAAATTGAAGAAAATTTCACTGAAAATGACTCCTGTTGATTGAATTTACTTACCAACTGTTCGGCCAAGTAAATAAGTTGAACCAATAGCTAAACCATCAGTAAAATTATGAAGACCATCAGCGATTAAATTCAAATATCCGGAGATTTTCATGTCAGATCTTGGTGTAATTTCTAAATTGAAAAGAAACTTTATCAAAATTCATAGAAAACTCCAATCCAAACCTGTTTTCTTTTCAACTTTCTTCGGTGATTTCTTGTCTTTCTTTTTCTTCTTCTTCTCATCAGGATCATCATCATCATCCGTAACTTCAGTAGCGATTGGTGTATCGACTTCATGAGTGTGACCATGAGAATGCTCATTACCTTGAAATCAATCAAGCGAATAAATAACAAATAGTCTTTTCTTTTCTATTGTTTACCTTTAACATGACGAACTAATTTTTCGACAATAAGAAAAAGAAAGATTCCGAGAAGAATGTATAAACCAACTTGAATATCGGCTGAATGATCATGTGCACCAGAATGTGAATGTGAATGTGAATGGCCATGTTCTTTATGACCACCATGTGCCATCATTGCATGCGGAATCAAATGAAGAAATGCATCACCTAATAAACCACCTGATGCAAAACTCAAAAGAATTTTTAATAACGACTGATGTTTCGGAGTGTTCGTTACATTTATACAGAGTAAAATAATAACTGGTGCTAAACTTATTCCAACTGTTGATAACAATGCCCATGTTATAACAGAAAATGGAGCCACTTTTTCACCATCTTCATCATCACTATCACTATCACTTCCGTCATTATAATGTGGTGGAGCATAAGTTACCGTTTCTTCATGTTGAGAATGTTTTTGCAGAGCTTCATTTGCTTCACGAGAGTATTTGAACGATGGTGGTTCATCATGGAAATGTCCATGTGCATGTTCATGTCCGTGATCATGGGCATGTCCATGTCCATGTCCGTGATCATGAGAATGTCCGTGGCCATGATCGTGTGAATGACCATGACCATGAGAATTGATTTGAGAAACTAAGATAGCTAAAGTGAAAGCGAGGAGAAAAAGAACACGCCGAGTCATGATCTAGAAATATAAATGGAACATTTTTATTGATACTAATCAGACGAAAGATCATGTAAATACATGTGAAAGTGATGGTGATTCTTGGAATGTTGATCGTCTCTTTATTTTTTATCATTTTTGTAAAACAAATTTTACGTGAAATTTCTGCTAAAACTACGAAAAGTATCGAATAAAACAAACAACACAGAATTAATTTTCTTCCTCAATATTTCCCTCGAATGATAAATCTACATATGAAAGAAAGATACTCGTTGTCATCCAATCTGCTAACTATGTAAATATATACAAACACACACGATATGTAAAACTACGACAACACTCTGGACTCTACAAAAATGAGCAAAGAAAAACTTTTGTCGATCATGAATTTTATCACAGAATTTTAAAAACGCAATCTTTGAATATGAAATAAACGAATTATTGTTTATCTGGATCACTCATATGTCGCGCAAGATCTTTCAACATTCCAAATGCTCGGACACGTCTTCGACCTACAAATAAACAAAATTTGATTTGTTTATTTTTTTTCATATCTCATAATCAAATAAATACTACCGAAAATTTTTGATAATGTTTCATCACAATTGATGTATTGTTTATTAACAGGATCCTAAAAATACACAATGAATCTTTATACTGATAAACATAGAAATTCTCACCAATAATTTATGTTCTTTTATGTAAACCCACATACGTTTGACTACTTCCGATCGCGGCATCTGAAATTACAGAAAATTCATTCGAAAGAAATGGTATTCTTTGAAGATTTACCCGATGTCCATTGACAATACAAGCTAATTGATCACTAATGTCCAATTCTTTGTTGTAACAAGTTTTTCGTCGTTCGATTTTCAACGAAGGCGTCGTTTGTCTTTTTCGTGAATTGGAAGTTGTTGAACAATTCTCTTGTTGAGGAGTTTCTACTGTAGTTTGTTGATCTAATGGTTTCTGAGATTGATTATCGACTATTTGACATGAAGTAGATGTGAGTATTGGTGTTATATCACGTGTTGTGATTTCCGACATGAGAATATCATCGATTTCTTTCTTTCGTTCGGTAAAATCGCATTGAAAAATACCTTCAAGCATTTGTCGAACCTTTTTTGATGATAAAGTGTTGAAATCTGCATCTTTGAGAATGATCTGAATTTCATGACGTAGTTTATCAGCACTAACTGAAGCCATTTGTGAGAAAAGTATCTGAATTGATGAATGATGCTGGTTAAACGATCTGCTCGTGAACGAAGTAATAGTTTTTATGACAGTTATTCAAGGTTTCGTACAAATCAGTAGAAGATATGAAAAGAGAACGATCAGGATACATGTAAGTAAGTATGACCTGTTCGTTCGTCGAAAGTCGAAAAAATACCAATGAGATTTCGATATTTGCCCACCGAGTTCTCAGTTTGAAATATTTATTCGTCAAAACTTTTTTTAATTATGAAAATAAGTTTTCAAATGATTAAATTTAATCCTATTTCAATAGATGTCGCTACTCGATATCATGACTCTATTGAAAAAGAATGGGACGCACGTATGTGTATGAGTAAAGATTAATTTGTTTAGAATTCTTGTTTTGAACTATGACTTTATGCAAGTTTTCTAACGAAGAAGAAACCATGATGCGAAACTAATCTCTAATTTACAAAGTATTCTCTTCATGACGCAACTATACCTTACAAATGCTGTGTTCTTTTTTTTCAATAGTCCTCGGAAAAGATTTATTTTTGGAGATTTGATTTTGCACTAAATAACATAACGAAGAAATTGATGATTAGCACGTTGTCTATTGACAAAAGCGTAGGATTCTAAATATAAAACATGTTTTGAGTAATTTCCCTTTTCTTTTCATCACGAATCTTCTTCTTTCAGTTCCTACTGTTATAAGTGAATATCCGGAGTGAGTTTAATTTTGTTGACGAGAAATTCACTAAGGCAAAACCTCTCGTTTGGAATCTATTTCGAATGCTTTTTGTCAATAAATATGTTTTCGTCATTGACATATCCATTTCATTTGCTTTATCTTTGATGAAGTCATTTGAATAAGTGTTTGAAATGTTATTCGACTAACTAAATGAAGATTGCCCATTTCTGCACATTCTCCAATGACTTTCAAATAACGTTCGATCTATTTCTTAAATCTATTGATGTGAAGAGAGAAAAGAAATGATCTTTATTGTAAATGACAAATCAGCTTGCCGTTTTCTTTTTTTCATCATTCATTACACATCAACTCGTTTAGTTTGCCTCTAGTGCATATTACCAGAGAATATATGAGTTCGTCGTCATTCTCTCCAGCCACTTCTAATGATCTGTATCCTGTTCATTGTTATTAAAGAATAGTTTTCTAGCTGAATATAATCAGCAGTTGTTGCTCTCTTCTCTGTATACACTGAGTTGTATTGATACGAAGGCAATTTTGTTTTCTTTTGTAAGTCTGAAGAGATTAATGGAAAAGAAGGATATAGTTCGATTAGGAACTTTTTTCTTCAACCTATTTTTGGTCTTTGAGTTATTTAATTGATTTGTTCGTCTTGCCTTCAGTTCGAGCTTTTTCCTTTGGGCATATATATGACAAGAGATATCATCGCTCTAGGAGATTTCCGAGTACTTTAAGCGATTAACATACATACAGATATATATCCAGATTCGATCGTCTACCTCCAATAAAGAATAAACAAAGCTAACAGAACAGTAAATCAACTTCTTGATGAGTCGTTCTTTGTCAATAACTCATCTTCAGTTCTTCTTAATCAATAATTAACTCGATAATGAGCCGCAAATGAAAGCAATAACAAAAATGTCGTAATCTACAAAAAACGAGAATCTGCAAAATCGATGATCATTGCTCGACATGGATAATCACTGATTACGCGAGATGGAAAGAACTGTCAACGTCTTATCTGTCGATGTCGATGTCTTGAGCTAAAACATATGACAATAAAGAAAAGGACACAAAAAAAGAACAATTAAGTTCGTTTGATCGTGTCTAGGTCGTATCTTGTCACATATACCAACAAAGACAAAACAAAATTTCTCGAGCTGCAAATGATGAAGACGAGAAATAACATCGAACTCAAGAGAAAAAAATCAAGAGACATTCTATACACAGAAAAAGAAATCCAAGAAAATATAATATAAGACGACAAGCCTTAAAAAAACATCTTTTACACACGACGGACAAACATTGAATGAAATGGATATATTGAGTTTTAGATTTTAAGAAGTAGAAATGAACAAAAATATATTAAATTTCTTCTTTGATTGATTGAATTCAATTGAGAAGGTGCAAATAACTCAATTATAACTCTATATCTACCAATCCAGGAGAGAACGCATTCTTTTCATTGTCATCATTCCAGTCCTAAGCGGCCCACGGCGGCTTGGTTATGTCAATCCTATCATAATAATCATAATCATAATCATCATCATCATCGACAACAACGAAGGCGATAAGAAGAAAAACGATGAAGGAATATCAACAGAAAAATGACTCTTTAAGTAACAGATCTTATCACCTGTCGCTGATCAGACCAATAAAAGACATATCGAACTCAATGGTGCACTTCGTATCCTTTGAAAAGCAATATTGAATTATTCATATCTATAGACAATATAGTACTCTCGAACACATATATCTGTCTATAAACGTATCTCTAAAGAAAAAGAAATGCGTCAGCAAAGGAGAAAAGAAATCGATTTCGTTTTTCTTGTCTTTCTCTCTTTCTTTTTCTTCTTCTCCTCTCCTCCCTCGCCTCCTTCATCGTTTCTTCTTTCTCTTCTTTTTACCCATAATTGCTACAATTGGCAACTGTGAAAACACACATACACATAACGCCCATATATACAGAACACCACACTCATCTATACAGACATTGTCGTTACGACGATTACTCGTGTGCATATTGTTAAACGACGTCAATTATAATAATAATGATAATCTTTTGTTTTCTTTAACGTTCAGTAATTCTCATTCGATATTTATTTCAATCAAATATTTATTATCAACATCGATATTCTCACTCAAATTTCGTTTGCTTATTTTCTTCTTTCGATCACTCTCTCATGTGGGACTAAACTTTCATGTTTTATTCAACAATTATCTTCTTTGTCTTCACGATTTTCACCAAGAAAATCATTGCCCAAACATGTGTCCACTCGTCGGATCCATTAGTACGATGTACAAGTCATGGTTTAGTACGTGGAATACGAAATGATTTCTACATCAATTCATCAAATATCACATCGACAACAATCGAATCGAAAAGTGCCTATGCATTCTATGGAATTCCATATGGCGAGGCACCCAACGGAGAAAAACGGTTTCGCAAGCCAATTCCAAAACAACCATGGCCACGTGGTACAATATACAATGCCACGACATTACCAAATTCATGTTATCAAATGATTATCGAATTTTTTAACATATCGGGTGAAGCGATTTGGGCACCAGTTACACCATTAAGTGAAGATTGTCTTTATTTAAATATTTGGACACCGATAACAGCGCAACAACAACAACCATTAGCTGTTATGGTTTGGATCTATGGAGGTGGATTTACATCCGGATCCGTAAGTTGAATCATAAACGGAAATATGAAAAGATGAAAAATCTTCTCTTGTTATTTTTAGAGCACATTAAATCTTTATGATGGATCGATCTTGGCAGCAACACAAAATGTTATTGTAGCTTCAATGGAGTATCGTGTTGATTCGCTTGGTTTTCTCTATTTGGGTACATCAGATGCGCCGGGTAATCAAGGTTTATATGATCAATTATTAGCAATGGAATGGATTCATAAGAATATACGAAATTTCGGTGGCGATCCCAATCGTATAACTTTATTTGGTGAATCAGCCGGTGCAGTTTCTGTTGGTTTACATCTTCTAGCGCCTAAATCACGTCCGTTTTTCACGAATGCTATCTTAGAAAGTGCTGGTGCCAGTGCCAAATGGTCTGTGTTAAGTCCTCAAATCGCCAAATATCGTTCCGAAGAATTTCTCAATGCATTTGCGAGTTATATTACCGATCGATATGAATCAGGTCCAAGTGATCCCGAATATGCGTATATTCCACGTGAATGTCAAAAACGTATGACGACCATCGCGGACAAATTTCAATGTGTGAAAAATTATCCGATTTTGAGTCAAAATCATTTTCGTTCATCATGGGCATTGAAATCTTACAATGGTGGACCTGTTGGTTATACATTTGTTCCTACTGTTGATGGTGATTTTATTCCATATGATCCCGAACAAATGTTAATTAAAGGTGATTTTAAAAAATGTCCTCTTCTCTTAGGTGTAAATAAAGACGAAGGATCATATTTTACTGTTTATGTTCCATATGGTGATATGAGTTTCAATTCAACTGCACATGTTGATTATAAAACATTTAAAAATGCAATAAATGGTTATTTTGAATATATGCCAACGTATCCAACGAAACGAGCGCCAATGTTACTGGAAAGTATTTTACAAACGTATACAAAATGGAATGATTATAACAATACGGTACTTAACGCTGCTCAACTCAATTCAGCTGTTGGTACGAAAATGAGAGAGAGAGAGAGAGAGAGAGAGAAATAAATATTTACAAGAAGACATTACTTGACATTTTTTCATTTGTTTATTTTTTGAATCTCTAGGAGATTATCATTTCGTATGCCCAACAGTATTTCTAGCTGATGTTTATGCTCAAGAGAATCTTCCCATATATTTTTACCATTTTNTACGGTACTTAACGCTGCTCAACTCAATTCAGCTGTTGGTACGAAAATGAGAGAGAGAGAGAGAGAGAGAGAGAAATAAATATTTACAAGAAGACATTACTTGACATTTTTTCATTTGTTTATTTTTTGAATCTCTAGGAGATTATCATTTCGTATGCCCAACAGTATTTCTAGCTGATGTTTATGCTCAAGAGAATCTTCCCATATATTTTTACCATTTTACTCTTCGTTCTTCGATTAATCCTTGGCATGATTGGCTGGGTGTACTTCATGGTAATCGAAAACTCATCTTCACAAGACGTTTTGCTCAAGATTTTCTGTTCTAGGTGATGAAATCATGTTCGTTTTCGGTGAACCATTAAATATCACTGATTCTCTTCATTATACACATGAAGAAATCATTGTCAGTCAAAAACTTATGGCTTATTGGACGAATTTCGCCAAATACAGGTAATTGAAACGATTGGATAGACGAATGAATAGAGATTGATTGATTCTTCTCACAAAAAAACACATCGATAAGATCAATAATCGTCTGTACGATCCTTATGCTTATAAAAGTTAATGATGACAAATGAGTTCGACAAACAAACATATTTTTCTCGAATGTTTTCCTAGGTGTAAATCATTGTAATTCATCAAATGACCTGTCAGTCATATATTTATCTAAGAAGAAGAAATATTTCCTCATGTGACGATATTTTGTATAATTAATATCATTTAAAAAAACTTTATTTAGTAATCCCAATCAACGACATGACGCACATTGGGCAAATGAATGGCGACAATACAAATGGCCAAGTCGAGAACATATTGTCTTAAATAAGAATTTAGCGAAGAATCTCTTTCCTGATCACGGAGCAGCACTTCGCGCGGAATTTTGTTCATTTTGGCTGGATTACATACCGAAATTAAGCAGTGCGACTTGTAGGTTTTGTATTGAAATTTTCGAACAGAAGAAGAGAAAAGAATTTTTGTTGTTTTTCTTTCAGCAAATATTAGTGAAGAAGAAGGTCGATGGAAACAAGAATTTCGTCAATATCAAGATCGTATTCAACAATGGGATTATTATTATACAAAATATTTAGAATTACTTGATAAAAACAATGACAAACTTGTCAAATGTATTGGATAAATGAATTGAAAATTGTCTTCTGTTCGTTTTTTTTTAATCTTTCCGTCCATTTGTTTTGTTATCTTCTCAACCTCATTCTCTCTTATTTCCCTTTAGATTTTCTTATCAATGTACGAGTTATATTCGAGAATAATCTTCATATTCATTTCCTCTTCTCTTCTATGTTGTATATACAAACAAACAAACAAAAAAAAAGGCAAATAGCAAATCTTTCTCTCGTCTTTTCGATTACATATTGTCATTGTGTTGTATTTGTCTGTCTGTCGGGTGTTTTTATTTTGATATAATAGTGATTTACATTAATTTAATAATAGAAAAGTCCAAATACAGTGACAGCACAAAAGATCTTTTCATTAGAATAAACATATGAAACATAATTATCTTGTTGAATATCCCATAAACAACGACATGTCATCATCAAATTCTCATTNCTTTCTCTCGTCTTTTCGATTACATATTGTCATTGTGTTGTATTTGTCTGTCTGTCGGGTGTTTTTATTTTGATATAATAGTGATTTACATTAATTTAATAATAGAAAAGTCCAAATACAGTGACAGCACAAAAGATCTTTTCATTAGAATAAACATATGAAACATAATTATCTTGTTGAATATCCCATAAACAACGACATGTCATCATCAAATTCTCATTGTGACATTGACCGAGAACAACTTGAATGACGTATTTATATCGATCATAGTTTAACAATTTCATTGCATCTTTGATAATTTGAGAAAGATCTTTAGATAATTGAATACATTTCAGAGAATCATAATCTGTTTGTCGATTGATTGCTGGACAAACGATTTGTTCGAGAATCTGTTTGACTTCATGAGAATTGAATGGATGAGATGAACGATTAACAATGAAATTGTTCATAGATAAATAATTTAAAAGAAGAAGAAAAAACAACAAACGAAGACGAATTTATTTCTTTGGCGCATTAACAATGAGAAATACAAGAGACCGAGAAATTGAATTGATATGTCAACTTCGTTTATTCTTCTTGATTGAAAACAAACCCTTCTAAATAAGATATTCGCAGTTGTTCCTACGACTGGATTCTAATGCCAATAAATATTGAAGAGTTCTGGTTAATCTTCTTTACAGATACTTTCCAAATATCATAAACTTTCATTCGTTAATATGAAAGAAGAAATGTTTTTTTTCTATTTATAGTTTCTAATCAGTTTAGATTCCAGAGATATTTTATGATAAAACAAAGGTCAAATGACTGTTCTTGATACAGATGATAAAGCGGAACAAACATCAGATAAATAGGATTATTCGTAGGTTTTGTCTAAGTGTTAACAAGAATATTTTCATGTATTTCGAGGCAAACCAGAACGATATGGAAAACTGATAGAAACAGTGACGATACACTTCATTGATAATCATCATTGCATTTCTCTTCTACTCTAACGGATTTTCAACGTCTGTCAAATGATAAGAAAAGATTCCGAGGATCGATTTTCATCTTTCCTTATCTTTTTCTTTCGTTCCGTCAAATGTAATTAGTTACACTAGAAACACACACAAACACATAGATATATATTGAAGAATTTGTCTGAAAATTGTCTACTGATCGTTTATTATCTCTAAGAATTTTGAAGATTTCAAACAAGATATTGAATAACAAATATTTCTTGTTAATAAATGAATAGATGATATAATACAGGGGGAAAAAAAAGAAGATAAAAATGCATATAACTAAAAAGTTTCTTGAAAATGTTTTCGTCTGCTTGACTAGTTGGATGGACGGATATTGTGTTTCTTTTGAAATTTAGTCTAAGAAAACGAAAAAGAAATTTGATTGAAATTATCTTAATGTTGGAAGAAGTGAACTTTTGCCATTACAATCCGTAATAAATGAATGTGGAGATTGTTGTTTACTATCATCTAACAATGATGGATTGATTAATGATGATGATTTTGTTGTAATTGATCTTTGTCGATTTCTTTTCTTTTGTTTTCGACAACAAATCAAAAACAAAAGACTGAAAATGCCAATGAAGATCACAATTGTTGATAAACTAAATGTTAAAAACACAATGATTGTCTCCTGTCGTTTTCGTTTATTATTTGCTAATTTCTGTGTCATTAATCGATGATGTTGAGATGTTTCCACTTGTCTTTCGTAATCATTGACAAGTCGATCGCGATCAAGTGTTGTATCACCGATTAAAATGATCAATTTATCTTGTTTTATACATGGTTCGGGTACAAATGAATCTGTTAATGTGTAATCAAGTTCGATAATCGAAGGATTGTCTTGAAGATTTTCTTCGAGAGTTAAGAAACCATTGGAATTTAAATGGAATTTTGATGAATATCTCGATGGAAGCAATGTGAATGTGATATTATTTTGATCGGAAATGTCTTTATCGAATGCGTATAAACGATAAGAGAATTTTTCTACTGAAGATTTTTTTAAATATCGCTGACGAGATATGAAAATGTAAGGTTCAGAAGAAAAATTCACTAAATGTGGACAATATTCATTCAAATCATTGACTTTAATCGTCAATTTCGCATCACTGGACAACGGTGGTGTTCCTAAAGCAAAAGAAAAAATAACTTCTCGGTGCGTTTCGATCTTCAAAGTATTTTCGTTACCGTGATCTTTAACAGTGATGATAAATTGATGAATATATTGTTGTTCAGCATCGGGAATTCTCGTAACTAAAACTTGTCCTGTGTGACTCGCATGAAAAAAGAATTCGGAGTATGGAGTGACGGATCGAAGTGAATAAGTCAATTCTCCACGTCGTGTTCCTGGAGAATCTTTATCTTTGCCGATAACTTGTCCAACGATGGTTCGAATTGGAATATTTTCATCAATTTGAAAATAATATTCAGTTCGATCGAATTCCGGTCGATGATTAAGACCTTCGATAGAAATTGTCACATGTGTTTGACCAGTAAATTGACCATCGGAAACAGTAACATTGAATGTTAACGTTTGATCGGTCATATTTGGTGATAGAGGAGAAATCAAACTGATTTGACCTGTTTGCGGATCAATATGAAACAAATTGGAATTCAATGAATATATCAGAGAATCCGTTGAAGAATCTGGATCTGTTGCGTGAACTTGTCCGACAAGAATCGAATTGAATGTTGTTGTCGACGATTGAATATTTGTAATAAAATGATAAAATTCATGTTCGAAATGAGGTTTCATGTCATTTAGATCATCGATGATGATATTGACAATAAAACGCGTATGTTCACCTCCACCGTCAATTGCATCGAGGAATAACGCTAATGATGGTTCGATTTCATGATCTAATGGACTAATTAATTCGATCTGAAACGAAATTGAAAGAGTTATGAGAAGATTTTCGAAAAGAAAACTTTACTTTGTAATGTTTCATTGATGTTGGTTTGAGTTGAAATGCTTTTTGATGCTTTTTATTCGATGTTTGAATCATTAATGTTAATTGAACTTGTCCGTAGATTCCCTGATCAATATCTTCGACGGTGACCATTGCTAAAAGACCAATCGAATTCTCCGTAATATGAATTTGTGAATTATTTTTGATAATATCAATTGAAGAAATGATTTGTCGAACTTGAATCATTGGTTTATGATCATTTACATCTTCAATGATCAATTCAACAGGATGATAAACAGGTAATGTGGAACTCATACGTGAACCACAATCCTGTGCACGAATTGTCAATAATAAATGATTATTTAATTGTAAAAATGGTATTAAATCAATCGAAGTTAATAATAATGGTTGAATTACCGTTATACATCCAGTTTCATTGTTTAAATTGAGAAATTCGTTTAATTTTTCATCGAAATGATCAAATGAATATATGACACGACCATTGTTTCCTTCATCAGGATCATATGCTCGTACACAAACTAATTCACCTAAACAAATGAAAATATCTCAATGATGATATTCCGAAACGAAAATTGAAATTTGTAGATCGAAAAAGTGAACCAGTAGAAGAAATCTTGACCTTGATAGATAACTTCTGGCATCAACGAATCAATTGAATGTCAATGATGAAAAAGTGTGAAAACCTTGAAATGATTTGAAAATTCGCCTGAAGTTTCGTACCTGTAAACGTTTCATTGAATTGAACTTTTGTTAAATTTGTCGTAAAAGTCGGTGAATTATCATTAATGTCCAAAACTTGAATAATGACTTTCATTTTCGTTTGTTGTTGATCTCTATCGGTTGCAATAAGCCACAATTGATCATATCGATCTTGTTCTTCACGATCCAAAGGTTGATGACGAATTCTCAAACATAAATCATTTCCAATAGTTTGTTCAATTTCAAATTTGTCACTTCCATTGCCGATTATTTCATAAACAATCTGATTTGTCTCAGGTAAATCTTTATCTTCAACTGTTGGAATTCGATAACATTGTCGATGATGAATATTTGTGTTTTCTGGTATTCGAATTTGAATTTCATTCAGACGAAATGTATGTCGATTATCATTAAGATCATTGATCGTTAAATTAACAAAGATGATTTGATGTTGAGGTTGAGAAAGAATTTTCAATTGAATTGAACACGATGTAACGCAGGAACACAGCTGTTCAGCACAGAAATATTCCCGATCGAGTGGTTGAAGTGCATAGAGATGTGTTTGATTTTCAATGGAAAAGTATTTATATAATTGAGAATTACTTGAAACTAATTGATAAGATTTGATCGAATTTGGTAAATTGAATGATGATAATAAACGAGGAGAAGATTCGTTTTCATTGATGGAGAGATGATGAAAACGGGAATTTAACCGACATGAACAAAATGAATTGAGAAAAACGATTGAAAAGTAAAGAAGAAGAAGCGAAAACATAATCTAAAATGAAAACGTTTAAAGAGATTTGTTCGAATCTTCCGCACGACGGACGAAAAGAGAGGATTGGAATTGAGCACGTCGATCGATCGTTTGGAAAGGAAAATGAGAACGACGGATTATTCTAAATTATCCTCACAATTTTCTCGCTCGTTCTAAAGAGGAAAACAATCTGTCATCATCATCATTTCTCATTTCATCCAACAGTAATACTTCTCTCTGTCGGCGTTCAAAAAAAAAGCAAATGACCCATCTCATTTTTTTTCTCCCTTTGCCATACATAGTCTTCTATTGATTTCATATTAATTCGAACTGCTCATATACTCGAGGTCGTTTACATAAAAACTTCCGTCTACTTGACATTCACATACAGGACGGATGTAAAGACAGAAGAAGATGAATTGTTAGAAATCCTAGAAGGCAAAAAGACGATTATTACTTTATGAATTTTGATTACTAACTTAAACTAATGACGCGACACTACTTAACAAATCAATCTTCTTTGACTTTATTCTTTTTAAAGAAAAGATTTGACTTAAAAATGAAATCTATTGATTGAATCGAACATGAAATAAAATCCATCTATTCTTTCCTTTCAACACAAACCTCATCCGAAAAGAAAAAAAAAGATTTATTGTGTTTAGTGACTTGGAAAAAAACTATTTCTTTTCTTCTCATCACTTTCAAATAGTGAAAAAAAAACCGGGGAATGTCTTACAAAATGTTGACATATTATTGATGAGAAAATCAAGAATTTCTTTTCTTTTCTTCAGTTAATTACTTGCCCTTTTATCAAACGAATGTAGACATCCTCCCTTTCTCTCGTCTTTTTCATGGCTTCTGTCTTGAACAAATGAACACAAGGATTCTTATTATATAAAGACTTGCATATTTTCCTAAGGCACAAGCTCGAGATTATTCGTTGAAGAGAAAGAAGAAAGAAAAACGTTTTTTTCTTCTCCACCCCTCATTCTATGTTCAATACACAATTCCTACCGTGTTTCGAAAAGGACAAGACAACAAGAAGATAAATCGCCAGTGGAGATAAACATACTCTGGTGATATCTGTTCAATGAAAATGACTGATCGATGAATGTTTATGGAATTTCTCTTGAAAACGTTTCCCCGGGTAGAAAGCTCAATGACCTTTCCTCATTTTTNTATTCTATTGTAAGGAGAAATGTTTACAGAAATAATTCACCCAAATTAGAATAAGATTTATCGTTTTCTTGGTGATCGTTGTACTTGTGTTGGAGGATGTGCTGGTAGTGGAGGTCGTGCGGCAGCAGATGCAGATGAATTCGACGCCGATGTTGCTCCCGCTCCTGCTGTTGTTGTTGTTGCTGCTGATCCTGGTGGCATCGAGCTTGTCTTCTATCTATCAAACGTACGCTGCACTAGTTGACGAATTTACCTTCTCGAGAGATTCTACATAATAAAGAAAGCGAGAAAATCATCATCTTCAAATGTCTGTTGTTTCGGGTTCATTGAATGCGAAATCTTTTCTTGTATTATATTACATAAAAATGGTACAGGAAAGTGAGAATGGCAACGAAATCAAGACATGAACCGGAAGGAAAATGGTGATGACAACGACTAAAATCAGTTTGGAGGAAAGATTAGAGAAAACGAGAGTTGAATTTAATGATTATAGCGTGCAGATACACTGAGCACGCCTTGTTGCGTTCAAGTGGAATGAAGAATAAAAGAGGATTTTCATGTGAACAAGATGGTTGAACACGCTCAACAAAATGCACACATTATCGATAATTGTCAGATTTCAATAATCAAATTCTCATACTTAACAAAACACTTTATCATCGATTATTATTGATCAAACAAAAAACTTCTTCCTCTACGAACTACTTATATGCTGAAGTGATAAACAATTATTTCTCTACTTACTTGCTCACACATCGTCCTACTCGATTATACGCATCAAATCAAATCGGCTTGTTTCACTCTTCTTACTTTGCATTGATGCAAATACAATCAATATCTTTTTCTTTTTCTCATTTGCAACTGTGCAACAACAGCAGGAGCAAGACGAACAAGCGAGAGAAGAAAAAATGTTCTTTTATGTTCATTTATCGTTCTTTTGCCTGTAATGTTCTATGCGTGTGTATGTTCATCACAATCGTTCAATTGCATGCATGCAATCGACAATGACGATGTTGACTACTATACAACCACATATAGATCAATCAGTCATGACTTTTTACACGTCATATGTGTCGATGTCAGCAGCTCAGTCGAGACAAATTAGACTTTAACACACATACAGAGGAGAATATTGTTTAAAAGTCTTCGCACAGTATGAACTAAAGCGAATAAGAAGCTAACATTTACATCGAAAGGCAAAATAAACAGATTGCTACTGTGCACTCATGTGTTAATCATTTCGATCTTCGATTACTTTCCAATCAAGTTCTGTTTTTTCTTCTTCTTCTTCGTTGAAAGATGAAAAATAAAATGATTTTGTAATGATATTCGATCAATTAGTGTAAACATTGAACAGATTAACTGTATTTAAGATGTGAAATCGAATAAGTCTTATTCGTCTTTATTGACTTTACATTAATCTTAGGTTTCGTGTCAATTAGACAGGAGAACATTTAGTTTTCAATTGAAAATATTCACTATTACATGAACATTTTCATTTATCTGATTGAGTTATTGGTAAAAGTATCTCGCGTCAGTTGTTCATCTGAGAAACAAAAAGAAAAGAGCGTCGAAGATAAGTCTGTGTATGTATTAATCATGATGATGCGAAGAATTGAAGGACAATAACATCGATTGGAAAGACTAGGCGACATACACCAGACACACATACAATATGTATATCCTCTTCAATTCTCAATGACAAGTAGATGACTGGCAACAACTGTTTAATTCTATATGCTTGTCAATATCATTTCTTTCAATCGGTAATTAACAGAAACAGGAAAAGAATGTCAGGGTCTTCATAATTCTATTTCTCATCGAGATATATAGATATATATGTGTGTGTGTGTGTGTGTTTTATGTCAATGATTGAAATATATTAACAACTGTTCATTGTGAACAGAAAGTTCTTCTAATCTTTGCTTTACACTTCTTTTTCGTAAGAGAAGAAAAAGATTAAAGTATAAGACTCAATTATTTCAAGCTTTAACATTCTCTAAGTTAATTCTTTTATTTAACACACCCGAATGTAACCTTTCGTCATATTTTCTCTCATTTGAACATCACATTCTTCGGTAATCGAATTTGAGTAAACCTTGAAATTTTTATTGAGAAAAGAAAATGTTGATGAGGTTGAATGATGAACAACGAAAGTCAAATAAGACAAAAGACTTGACACACGATGTGTTGTTTGACATTACAAAAACGATCACTAAACGAACTTTTTTATGTGCCACGTCCATCATTTCTTATTCCAATTTTTCGAGCGCCGACAACTACATCGACAACAACATTAGCAACAACAATTAAATCTTCATTTGTAACAACTGACATTGCAGCGAAGAGGATTTTTTCGACATTTTTCTATAAACAAGAACAGAAACAAAGTGATTTAACGAGTACTGTATCAACGAATATGATCAGTCAACGTATCTTTGAGAATCTCGTTCTAACAAATACAATTGTCGCTGCATTTTGTATCGTTCTCATGGTTACAATAACGGGATTTCTTGTTTTTCTTCTTGTACCATCAATTCGACGTCGATGGCTTAATGAAAAATCAGAAAATGAACGCAAACTTGAAGAGTTACCAACATTAAGTCGACAACCATCATTTCATCATTTTACTTTAGGTCCATCTCGATATAATCCTATATTTGAACCAACAGCAGGTACCACAACGACAACAACACAATTCGGTCTATTTCAACCTCATACAACAACAGCAACACTTCTTCATCCAACTATTTGGGCACCAATATCACCAACATCTGTTATACCAACACCCATTCCAACTCAACAACCTCAAATAGCGTCAACACCGCCTGCATCTCTACGAACAAGATCGATGCCACCAGGATCAGCAGCAACAGCAACAACAACAGCAGGAGCAGGAGCAACATCGGCGTCGAATTCATCTGCACCTGCTGCCGCACGACCTCCATTACCAGCACATCCTCCAACACAAGTACAACGATCACCAAGAAAACGATAAATCTTATTCTGATTTGGATGAATTATTTCTGTAAACATTTCTCCTTATAATAGAATAGATTTCTATTTATCTTCAACTTATCAATCAAGAAAAACAGAATGAAAAACACTTTTTATAAGCACTTTTCCATCAGGAAAGTTAATCTACTTGATACAACTAATTAAATCTCAGCAAATGTATGAAGATGATGCCAAGATTGAGTAAAACCAAATAGTTATTGGTAATTTTAACGAGTTCGCCGAATTTTGTTGTCAGTTCTTATGTAAAAGAAACACAATTTTAATATCCAATAATTAAAAGAGAATTTTTTATTTGAAAATCATCAAAATTTTCTTTGTGTAGATAATAGAATGAACAAAATGCAAATAAAAAGTGTTGATCGCTTTTCGATTACGATGTAGTTGACGGAGTAGTCGTTGGATTAAGAATATCGCCGACTTGTTTTGCTTTTTGATTTCATTTCCAATCGAAATTGTTGAATAAATTCTGCTTAATCGATGTCCCAACTAATTCAGAGTCAGTAACAAGTATTTCTACGATTTCTTATATGGACATTTTAAAACTCTTTAGTAGTTTTGAACAAATATAGAAGAAATTAATCTAACATCGGATCTATATGTTCAATGAGAAATATATGACGCTATTTGTGCAAATCCATTGCAAAGTTGCACAAATATTCTTCTGTAGGTTTGTTTTCGTCGTACAGATTACAGCACATGAAAGAGAGGTGCGAGTGCCGCAGAGAGTGACTTTGAGGAAATAGGATTAAACTGTATGTACTAGATGGACGAACAAAATTTGATTGATGAACTTTCAAAACTCGACGAATGTAGAGATATGTGCATCTGACGCAAAAGAAAAGAAAATGATTGAAAAGACCACGTGAACAAGTGTTTGGATACCGAACAGAATTTTTCTTACTAAGGTTTCAGTTTTTTTCTCGACAAATCGCCGATCATAGCTTCGACAGTATTGCCAACGTTCCGAATGTACATGCATATGGGAAACATGTGAAAAAAACATCGAATTTGATCATATTCACTATTATGTGTGATTGTTTATCATTTCTTTTTCAGCACGAGTAATCATCGTCGCATCGAATATGACAAAAAAATTCTAGGGAAATTCTGCTCACATTTCTATCGATTTAGATTCGCAATCGATCTTTTTTACATTTTCAAGAAAATACATTTAATCTTCATAGAGTAATGAATATCATTTCGAAATAATTTCTTAACATTTGTTTATTGGAAAAACTTCATTCCTATCTGAATACAGTTCATTAGTATTGTGCGATAAGTCAGTTCATTCTATTGATATTGATGGTCCGTATTTGAAAGTTTTAATCGACAAAGCTCATTTGTATTCGCTTTTTCCGTCATATTTTTCAATTCCTTTGACAAAATTTAAACTTCAAATGCATTTCTGTGCAATTCGAAGAAGATTTCTCTTACATTGTACTTTGTGCCAGTGCGAGTACTGTTGATGGAATCGATTCTCATCATTATCTTATAGAAGACAAAGCATTGTTGACATTTATGGTCTTGACCGGATGAGAAAAATGCGTCCGAATCAAACTCAAAATGCAAAATAGCAGTTCATTTGTGTCACACTCTTTTATATTTGACCAAAAATATCTGTTGAAGATGAAATGTATTGAAAACTGATTTGTGACGAACTCAATTGAATCGTCATTTTTGTTCTTCTGTTCTCTTTTTCATTTCGATTAATATTCTCTCTTGTTGTTTATTCAGTAAATAAATTTTTTCGTTTTAATGCACATGTGTCGTCAAGTATCGTAGTTTCAATCAAATGAATGTCTGAGAGAGATTTTTTTATTGGAATGAAATGTAACGTTTCTTGTGCAATGACAAGGAGAAAGAATAATATTATTATTTGAAGCTTCTTAATCGAGAGAACATCAATACATGTTGTACTTAACAAGAGTTTTATCACATATCGAACATGATAAAGTATTTCTTTTTGATTTTTGAAAGAAAAAGGAAATACTTTTTGTTTTTTTTTCTCTTCTGTTTGGTTACCTTGGAGAGCCCAATGTGTATTTTGAATTGTTTAAAAATATGTTTTCTTCCGACAGAATCTACATTAGTTTTCCCGTCACAGTTCTATTGCTCCACTGATTGAGAAAGTTTTTTCTTGTATTTTAATTTGTTTCAAGGCGCGTATGTCATTTTTTATTTAATATTTGTTTTTTTTCTTCTCTTCAAGCAATTTTCTTCTAATGACAGGAAGTCCTCGAACATCGACTGGCACTTTCGATGGTGGTGGAAATTCCATAGTCGAACAAACGACGGATATTTTGACACGTTTCCGCAACAGTCTTGTTCGAAGTCGAAAAGAACGTTTACTCGATGAAGATGTTCAAGCGACAGAAAATCTTGTCAATCATATTCATTTAACGGAACTAATGGCCAAAGAAACCTTAGGAAAATTAATCTCACAAGGTGATTCGATGCAACGATCGTACAATTTGATAAATCAATTAGAAAGAGAAATTAAAGATATTGCCGAAGATTTAAATGAAGTTAACGGCGGAAAATGTTGGGGTGCGTGTGCGAATGGAACATTTTTCGGTTTTACGTGTTTGGGATGTTTGAAGAAAAAACCCAGGAAAAGATCGAAGAAGAAAAAACTGAAAATCATCGAACCGAATCCTCATTCACTCAATCAGATTCGTTGGGTAAAATTTTTCCAGTTAAAGATCGTCAACTTGATCGAAATTTCGTTTAGAGTTCGACCAGTGAACGTGATGAAATGATTGCTCGTACTCGAGAACTGGCACGTAATCGTCGTCAACATCAAGATTTCCTTCAAACCATCACTCGAATCAATCAAACCAAACAAAATCAAGACGAAACAAACGCAAAACAACTCAGTCAATTTCGCGATTATCTTTTACAGCATCATTCCTTATCCTACGGTTATATCGATCAACCCGAACGTTTATTCAATGAAGTTAACATGGCCATTCATTTTACACAGTTAAATACACATTTAGATCATTTATTTCAAATAACAGAATCAATGAGCAATGAAGTTAATAAACATAATGTTGTTATCACAAAAATTGAAGCGCAGGCAATGCAAAGTGGTGATCTTTTAACAGATTATACTTTACTTGGTCATCAAATCTTAGGATCGCCAGTATTAAATTCACAAACGTCAACAAATCCTTTACCGATCTCTGCAGGACAAAAAGTCCTTCTTAATGCTGTTGTTTAAAATTAGTCAATGAATCATTTTCTAAGCAAATTTTATGAACTGTTTTAGATAGAAAAATGTCTTCGGAATCTTATTTTTATGATCAATCTTCTCCTGCATCGCGCCTTGGCGGAATTTATCGATCGAAACGCAATCTTGATGATTTAAATCAAGCTTTATGTCAAGCAAAAACTGCTGTAACATTCGAAGAACAAAAACAAAGTCATTCCGTTGATAAAACACCTGGAAACTTACAAATTGCCTATTTGTCCGATATTATTCTCAAAGAATTAGATTCAGCTCTACCAACATTTGATGTTCAACAAGATGAAGATCAATCGAAAGTATCTCTGCCAAGTTCTCTCATCCTTCAATTACATTCATCATGGAATGACTTAATAAAAAACACTGAATACAAACAAAAGGTATTGGATTTCTGTATGGATCTTTGTCATATTGTCTTTGTAGATTTGGAGAACAAAAGCAGGTGAAGATGCTTGGCGACATTATCTTCAACGCCGCCGTTTTGAACAAAACAAACTCGACAAACGGCAAAGTATCCTTGACATAAAAGTACGACAACGCCGAAAAAGTTCTCGAATGAGCGTCTCATCAGCAACACATCGACCGATCTCACGCGGATTGCTTATGATACCTACGATTGTCAAAGAAGAACCTCATCGAGTTGTTAAACCAATGATGGACAACAGTACAGAATCAACGAAAAACGGTGTTCATGTCGAGTTTAAATTTTCAACACAAATTTTAAAAAGTGTACAGAAAATCCCCGTCGTAGAGCCAAAATGTAAGTTTTCATCTAGGATAATTTATTTTTAATTGAGTATTTTAGTTATCCAATTCGATGTACAAAAATCAGAAATCGATTTTAATCAAGAAGTTATTCTTTCAATACAAAAAAAATGCAAACGATTATTAGCAGAAACAAAACAAAAAATGTAGAAAAGTTTCTCCTTATTTTCATGTCTTAACATCGTTTCTTCTTTGACAGACTCTCAACAACAGATGATTTCAATGGAAAACATTCGAAGACATGTCAAGTTTGGTTTTATGATGATAATCCATATATGCGAAACAAAAATAATTTATTATTATTAAACGAATCATCTCGTTTGTTTCGTCTTCGTTGATTTTCACAGTCGAACAACTTTCTTTTCTAGGTCAAAAACGAGCAAAATTTATTCTTTCAATTGTACGACGTGAAATTCCAGAAAAATACAATATTAACATTGAAATTCCCGAAACAAAAAGGAAATGCTTTGTTGAATTACCCGATGGTTCCAGTCAAATCTAGTAAAGTCATTTTTAACTTCATTTATTCCATCAAAATTCTCTTTCCTACAGTTATCCATCGGGTCGGTTAGCTGTTCTACGTCTTCGATCATCAATATCGACGACACTCTTCTTTGATGATACTTCAATTCTAACAAAACAATTTCTTGGTTTGATAACTTCTTCAGGAAATGTTCTCGTAGTACAACCAGCATTTCACACACGTTTTGTCACGAATAATCATTATGAATATGCGTATCTATGTAATGGGAAAACAGGCATCATTGAAAATCAACTTCAATGGTCATTAAAATCTCAGTTTCCTCGTCAATCAACTCCAGTTGATGAGGATACAGAACAAATCCCAATCATTGAAAATACAGTTCAATTTCAGTTGAATTCTTTGATGCAACTCGAATATAATAATCCAACGAATATTCGCTTTGCTTTTATATGTCTTAATGAACAATTTAAATATCAATTAGGAAATTCTGCGTTGACAGTTCAATCTCCGTTAATCATGGATTCAACAACAACAGCGAAAAGAAATTCCAGGAAAAGAATTAGTTCGATTAATGTACAAGACTTTCTCAATCAAAAATCAGCTGAAGAACAAGTTGATTTGTACCAATTATCAATTATGAAAGAACTAATTCAAATGAGAAAACGAATTAAAATACTTTGTGATTCATGGCTCAAAGAATATCGAACAGTTTTAGGTAAAATTTTCGTAAAATCAGTAAAGAAGATAATTCCATTCTTATAGGTATTATGGATATCGATGATTATTGTTTCGCTGATCTACCTTCGTCATCGACAATCAAAGAAAATGAACCTATGTCGAATTTACCTAGACGAGCTTCATTGTCTATTCAAGCGAATAACACAGCACAGTTTCTCAGACGATCAGCAACGAGATTCGATCGTATGAAATTTAAGTTTTTTCATCTGACACAATGAAGTCGATTGTTTCTTTTCTTTAAAGAAAATGTCATCACACAATCAATTGAACAATTTATTCCTCATTCGGACATTGGCCAAGCAATGAAACAACGGATTTCTTCCGGAAAAAGACTTTTGGCCAACACTTTACCAATTATTAAATGAATTCGAACACTTTTCACTTTCTCACATCTACTCTTCTTATAAATACATCTGTCACGTTTCTTCATTCCATTAGTTTTCCGATCTATCGCCAAAATCAGAACACATCAATGAACTACTTGTAAGTACTCACACTTTTCATTGATATTTTGTATTTCAAATGTAAACAAAGAGACGAAATCCAACTGGAAGTGAACGATGAAATTGATCGATCGATTCATGATGAGATATGCGGAAAAACACATCAATACTTCGTTGTGCGACATCCACGTGCCATCTTCGACTAACTACTCAATTATCACGTCGAATCTGAAAAAAACATAAATCACATGAACGAAACAAATCAACTTTTGTTTATGTTCCAATTAGTTCAATGAAAAACACAAATGCTTTTTTAAACACATCTCGACCTACTGGAAAATGTCAATTTGTTGATATGAATATCGATGATAAAGATGCATTATCGAAACAATCTTCTCCTCCTCCTTCTTCTTCTTCTTGCAACTAATCGAATAGTTAAGGTCGAGTGAGAGGGCATTGAAAAACAAGAATTTACCAAGGCTATTGTCTTCACTATAATCGAGAGACGGAAGAACGAAGAAGATGATGAGAAATAATCCAATGAAAAAGAAGAGAACAGAACCAATAAGGAAAGATCTTTTTTTCATATCCTTGATGATAACATGAACAATACGTCACAGCGACACACTATGAATTCGACATGTAGAACGCCTGGTAAGTTTTTACTTAGAAAACTTCTTTCGATTAAAATTGTGAACATTTTGTTTTTTGAGCGAACACATGTTTGATATATTAGTTTGATGATGTTTATTATTTTTATTTTATATTAAAGAAAAAGGAATATCAGCTTTGCTCAGAGCGAGAAAACACACTAATCCATTATCTATCAGAAAGTGATTACGAGAATGAAAGATGACAAGACAATGATAAAGTCGACGTGAAAAGAAAAGATGCATTTGCTTCCGGTTAATATACACATCGACATTATGATGAAACACGAATCGAATGAAAACTAAGAATTCTTTTCTTCTCTTTTTTTTTCTCTGTGTCAATTTGAATGGAAAGAAAGCATGCGTCAAGTAATGTTTCATTATCAAAATCAACTTAGCATTTGTATCGTAAGCAGTAGGAAAAGTCGAACGGAATGATAAAAATATATTGTTTATCAGATTTAATTCTCAGATGACACAAATAGGAAAGAGACAAAAGTTTGTTGAACTTATTATTCTATTGAAAACAGTTTTGCTTTAGTTTTGACTATGACTAAAATATATTCTCTATAATTAATTATTTTCAGTGGAAATTTATCACACATCTACTGGAAATGTTCGCTGTTAATTACAACAGCGAGTGAAAATGGCAAAGACAAGAAAATGTTTCCATTTACATCGACAAATTATTTTAACATTGTATTTCCATTTTGATTATTGATAATTGTATTATAAGTTGAGCGAAAGCGGAATCGCAATAAGCGACTAACAAACTACACTACTATCCGCTCATTATTTATAATCATTCTTGTGTAAACTGAAAACGTGTAAGAAGTTGATAAAACATTAGAGTACTGAATTAGCTTCACCGTAGTTGTCATTTCAAAAATAGAAATTCTAATCTAAAAATAAGAATTCAAATGCATGATCGCGTGAGTTTTGTCGTAGTTACAAAACGATGAAAAATATTCCTTCGCCACTTTTTTAATCAGATATTACTTTCGAATATTATAACATAGATATGGAAATCATATACATGTTAGTATCAGATTCATTCGATTCTCTGCGTTTTCAACCATCCATATCTATTGTAATTCTCAGCATTTATTCCGAAAACCACAATTTTTAGTCTTAATACTTCATCTCGAAATATAATCAACCTTTCCTACGCATTTTACTATGTCCGAAACGGCTCTTAACAATCTGATCAATTATTTAAATAGGTCAAATAAATTTTCTTGGTTTCATTAGAATCGTTCTACTTTATGTCTCTCTCCCTCTCTTATTTCGATGTGCCATCTTCGACTAACTACTCAATTATCACGTCGAATCTGAAAAAAACATAAATCACATGAACGAAACAAATCAACTTTTGTTTATGTTCCAATTAGTTCAATGAAAAACACAAATGCTTTTTTAAACACATCTCGACCTACTGGAAAATGTCAATTTGTTGATATGAATATCGATGATAAAGATGCATTATAGAAACAATCTCCTCCTCCTCCTTCTTCCTTCTTCTTGCAACTAATCGAATAGTTAAGGTCGAGTGAGAGGGCATTGAAAAACAAGAATTTACCAAGGTTATTATCTTCACTATAATCGAGAGAAGGAAGGACGAAGAAGATGATGAGAAATAATCCAATGGAAAGGAAGAGAACAGAACCAATAAGGAAAGATCTCTTTTTTTTCATATTCTTGATTGTAACGTGAACAATACGTCACAACGACACACTACAAATCCGAAGTGTAAAACACTTGGTAAGTTTTTATTCAGAAAACTTCTTTCGCTTCAAATTGTGAAAACGTTTTTTTTGAGCAAACACATGTTTGATAAATTAGTTTGATAATGTTTATTATTTTTATTTTATATTAAAGAAGAAAAAGGAATATCAGCTTTGCTCAGAGCGAGAAAACACACTAATCCATTATCTGTCAGAAAGTGATTACGAGAATGAAAGATGACAAGACAATGATAAAGTCGACGTGAAAAGAAAAGATGCATTTGCTTCCGGTTAATATACACATAAACATTACGATGAAACACGAATTAAATGAAAAATAAGAATTCTTTCTTCCTCTCTCTTTGTCAATTTGAATGGAAAGAAAACGTGCGTCAAATAATATTTCACTATCAAAATCAACTTTGCATTCGTATCGTAAACAGTAGTAAAAATCGAAGAATGGAATCATAAAAATATATTGTTTAGAAGATTTAATTCTCAGATGATACAAATAGGGAAAAAAACAAAAGCTTGTTGAACTTATTATTCTGTTGAAAACAGTTTGGTTTAGTTTGGATTATGGGTAAAGTATATTCTCTATAATTAATCATTTTCAGTAGAAATTTATCACATACCTATTGAAAATATTCGCTGTCACTTACAAAAGCGACCGAAAGTGAAATCGCACTAACTCACTAACAAACTATGCTGCTCTCTGCTCATTATTTATAATCATTCTTGTGTAAACTGGAAACATATAACAAGTCGATAAAAAATTAGAGTATTGAAGCAGTTTCATCGTAGTTGTCATTTCAAAAATAGAAATCGTAATCTAAATATAATAATTTAAATGCATCATCGTCTAAGTTTTGCCGTAGTCACAACACGGTGAAAAATATTAGTTTGCTACTTTTTCAATCAAATATTACTCTCGAATTCTATAACATAGATATGGAAATCATACATGTAAGTGTCAGATTCATTCGATTCCCCTGCGTTTTCAATCATCCATATTTATTGTAATTCTCGTCATTTATTCGTGTCGTTATTGCATCTCGAAATACAATCAATCTCTCCTACACATTTTACCATGCCTGAAACTGCTCTTAACAATCTGATCGATTATTTAAATAGGTCAAATAACTGTACTTTCTTTCATTAGAATCGTTCTACTTTATGTATCTCTCTCTCTCTGATTTCGATGTGTCATCCACGTACCATCTTCGACTAACTACTCGATTATCACTTCGAATCTGAAAAAAACACATAAATCACATGAACGAAACAAATCAATTTTTGTTTATGTTCCAATTAGTTCAATGAAAAACACAAATGCTTTTTTAAACACATCTCGACCTACTGGAAAATGTCAATTTGTTGATATGAATATCGATGATAAAGATGCATTATAGAAANATTAAATTAAAAACTCATCTACCATGGGTAAGAAGATCTCATTTTAAATTTTGTCTTCTAATTTCATCTAACTTCTCATTTCAGGTTCCACATGACACAAAATTATCTAAACTTGATACACTTCGTTTAGCAACAAGTTATATTCTTCATTTAACACAAATACTTGATAATGATGAACTTTCTCTTCAAACTGTATCAACTCCGGCAACCACAACAACAACGACGACGACAGCATCTATTTCAATTCAAGCGCCGAATAGTTTTGTTAGTTAAAGATCATCCTTATTGGAAAAGACGAAAAATATGATTTTTGTTTATTAAATAGAGTTGGCCATACTCATCATGTCATCGAGCTTCGTCTTTATGTTCAATGAATGGTCGGTTATCTACGTCATCGTCAACGGCAAACCATTGTTATTCAAATCAAGAATATGATTATCAGATTCAATCAGAACTTCTTAATGAGCATCAAGAAAATATTATGGAAGAAAAACCTCGTGTTTGTTGAACATGAATTATCGTAGAAAACCAATAACTGTGATACTTCTGTATATTGTCCGTTTGATTTGCTGTGCTGTGTATTTATATATTTACTTATTCTCATTTTTTTAAAATGAACTACGAATAAATTATTCTCTTTTACTTTAGAAGAAACTTTACTATCCAGAGCACCAGTACGCTGAAAATCTTGGTGAGAAGTTTTGGAGTGGTTTTGTTTAGCTGACGATATAGTTCAATATCCATTTGTATTTGTCGATGAGGCGGACATAGAGTCATAGCTTCATTTTGTCTGTTTCTTTATGGTAGTGTTGCGATTTCATTGCAATAAAGAACATGAAAACGTATCAGACTATTCATAACCTTTGGAAGACGAAAATAAAAGGAATCATTAGCCAATGTTTGAGAAAAAATAACAATAATTGAGAATATTTCATTGGTGTGTCAATACTTTAACTGTGCGTGTTTAGTTTCAGTATTTTCGTTTTGAAACTATGGAATTATATTCTTTTGGTCAGTATCTACACACGCATAATTTATTCAGAAATATTTTTGCTTTGAGCTGTGTGGCAAATGTTTGATATATAATCTAATTTAAAAAGATAAACAGGCCATCTTTTGATTTACCTGATGCAGTAAATGTCAGTAACGTTCAATTTCTCTCTACAATGCAATACTGTAAAAAGAGAGTGGCGGATAATCTACTCTACAGTAGGATTTATAAAAGTGCTGTGTATAACAAACCCTTCAAGGGTTTGTGGAACTTTCATAAACGCTTAAAGAGTACATAAAAGGGCTCTGTGAAAACTTGATGAAGGGTACATGACAGTAATAAATCCTTTGAATAGAGTAGATTATCTTTCACTCTCCTTCTGCAGTTTGTAAATAGCTCGAATTATCTAAATTTTTCGTGTTGTGTTAGGAACTGACCAATGCATCTTCTGTTTTTCTTCTCTCAAGCCAAAGTCAGTGTATAATTGATTTTCGATCATCTTTAGTTTTGCAAACTGTGTTATTTCTTTTCAAAGTAACGCGCACCTGATAGTGAGAGAAGAAAATGCAAGAACAGTTTTGGAACGAGAGATTTAATTTGTGTGACTCTGTTACTTACGATTACGATATAAAGCCCAAATTTCGTGATTACTTGTCGATTTTCTTGTAAATCTCGCTGCTCATTAATCTCTAAAGTAAAAATTTTAAATTGGTGTACTAATCGATATCTTACACTTATTTTGTAGTATCCGAGCGGCCTTTTTTTCGAAATCATTGGTATTATGTTTGGTTTAGAAATTTGATAGAGTCGTAAATACTTTTCATCAAACTTTCTAGATGGATGTTTAGTTATATGACGATCTTCATACTTATTTTTGATAAAAGTGTATCAGGCTGTATAGATTCTCAAATTATTTCAAAACGTATGCGATTGAGGGAAATGAAAAAAGTCTATTTACACTTTCGATCATAGACAAGCGCGAGAACGTTATTCTATAAGTTTTTGGGAAGTATTGCCAGAAAACTGAGGATTTCTGTGCCCGTTTGTTGGAACTGAGACTGGTTCGCAGCGAGTGTAAGTGACTGCTAAGAAATATTTATGTTGAAAATCTTGTTTATCAAAACGATGAAAAAAAGGCATTACAGTAGGCTCAACATTTCTTTGTTTGTAGTTCGTCTTTCTTCCAGCGTACATAGCATAGAACAGCAATTTAGGTTGTAATTCTCTGCGAACGTCACCGTAGCTTATTTCTTCTATAAAGTTAATTGAAGCTGTTCTCTTCACTACAATTTATTCTTAGCTTCAAACCCTAATGATTTTCCTTGTTTCTGTCTACCTCGGCCACAGTCTTATTTTATTGAACACCACAATGGGAAAGATATTCATCAGATCTTACATCAAATGATACTATTATATCAATCTTCAAAAGTAATAAATGATCTACTCGCATATACCAGCGGATACAAATCTGAATAAATGGACAAAACAATCAGCGCCGCTCTAATATGACGCTAAATATTTAGATAATTTATAGTATATTTAAGACTGAGTAAAAAGATATCAAAATTTATTCTCATTACTTTGTTGCTCTAACCAATGTCAACCAGAGCGTAAAAGGATTTCAAATATGTTAGTCGTTAGAAAATCAGTCTGAAACAACAACTATGAATGATTGTTTGGAGAAAAAGATGCACTTTTGCCTTTCAAATGAATGAGACAGTTGCATAAAAATGTCATTCATGAAGAGCACTCGAGTTTACATTAACTGCAAAATATTAAGGTCAATCTAGAACTAACAGATGCGATTTTCTTGTTGCTTGAAAGAATGTTAAAAGCATTGTGTTTATATGAGAAAAAACAAAAATCGATTAAATGATTGCAGTTGTTGATCGAGAGTAACAAATAAAAAAATATCGTTCATTAAAATATTATTTTTCAAAGATTCATAGCTTTTAACAACAATAATAATCGTATTTACCTGTACAAACTGCATTCAACTTACTGCTCGACATACTCAAAGAAATTACTTATCCAAAAAAGCATTTTGTTTATATTTTTTTCGAAAACATCTTTTGAGATAAATCATGCAGATGCACACGCCTTATTTATTTGGTCATTACAATGAAATAACTAACATTCACTATTGAACTTCATTTCTAGTAACAAAAAATGCACAGAAGTACATGGGATGTACCAGACATTGTAAGATATTCATCTATTTCTATAGCTAAGACTAAACTTCGCTATGCAATAGTCTGATTTGCCATCAACAAGACGAGTGAAATCGAATCTAGGAGAACTTCGAACAATCCGATCACGATCACGATCAAGGTCTATAGAATAGATTCTAATACACACCAGTTCTGACATAGATTTCTTTTGTATTTACATTTAAGATGGTGCACACCAAAGAGACGTCGTATTGCTTTGGGAATGCTTGGCTGTTCTATTTGTGGTGTATTGATTGCTACAGCTCTGATTCTAGCGATTACAATGACTAAAAAATCGGCATCAGTCGATCTCGGTAGGTTTCTCAACTAAATGCCTGAGATTTCCGTTAGAACTTTGAAATCTCATTTCGATCCTAATAGTAGTTCATCGTTGCTCAAGGTACAAATATCATGTAACGCTGTGATTATACATAGCAATGCTTGATAGTTTTCTAAATGATAATATTTTTGTCTAACGGTATAAAGCATTGTAGTGACGACGACTTCTACGTCAACGACGAGCACGAGTTCTACTTCAACGACCAGTACCAGCTCCACATCGACATCAACAAGCAGCACAAGTTCCACCTCAACTTCAACCAGTAGCACTAGCTCGACTTCGACAACCAGTACCAGTTCTACTTCAACCTCGACGAGCACCACGAGTACTACATCTACTTCAACAAGTAGTTCAAGTTCTACATCGACCTCAACCAGTAGCACCAGCACAACATCCACATCGACAAGTACCACCAGCTCAACGTCAACCTCCACCAGCAGCACCAGCTCTACATCCTCTTCAACAAGCAGCACAAGCTCAACTTCGACGAGCAGTACCAGTACTACGTCAACATCAACAAGTACCACCAGCACAACATCTACCTCAACTAGCAGCACAAGTTCTACTTCGACCACAACAAGCAGCACCAGCACAACATCCACATCGACAAGCAGCACCAGCTCTACATCCTCTTCAACAAGCAGCACAAGCTCAACTTCGACGAGCAGTACCAGTACTACGTCAACATCAACAAGTACCACCAGCACAACATCCACCTCAACTAGCAGCACAAGTTCTACTTCGACCACAACATCCACATCGACAAGCAGCACCAGTACTAGTACATCATCCACTTCAACAAGCAGTACCAGCTCCACATCCACTTCCACTAGCAGTACCAGCACAACATCCACGTCAACCAGCAGCACTAGTTCTACTTCGACATCAACGACTTCGACTCGCACAACATCCACTTCGAGTTCAACAAGCAGTACTAGTACGACATCCACTTCGACCAGCAGCACAAGCACAACCTCGACCTCAACCTCAACAACTTCGACTCGCACAACATCTACTTCGACGAGCAGCACTAGCACAACGTCAACATCAACTTCAACAACTTCGACTCGGACAACATCCACATCAACAAGCAGCACCAGTTCTACTTCAACATCAACAACCACGTCTCAAACAAGTATAATACCCGATTTCGTTTCTAGCGTCAACTTGTTTTTTACTGCTTTGTTTTTAGCAACGACATCAGCCGCTCTTCCATCACAGTGCTCCAGTTATACAACAATTTCAGATTCTACTCGATTGGCAACATCAGGATCTCCTAGCATTGTTTGTGATAGCACAGTGTTTACATCGACACCAGTATGGATACGTTTCGTAGGTGCTGGAGGAACAATGATTGTCAATTCTGCTCCGAGTACATATCGCTGTAACACCCATGCGCCAGGGTGGTATACTGGTAGCCTTCCTGGAGCTGGTGGAACTGTCAGTGGCACTGTTTGCTACAACTGGAGTGGTAACACATGTAATTGGTCAAATTCAATTATGGTAACTAATTGTATTAGTTTTTACGTATACCGATTAATAACTCCACCAGTTTGCAACTTGCGATATTGTACCATGTGACATTACTGTACTATTCATAATCTCATGGAGATTCTCAACCAATGGATGCTCTTTTCTTTGTATGGTTTTTATCAAATATTGAATAAATTCGTCTGTTTTTTTTACATAGATTCCTGACTGAAACGCGCAAATGTCAATTCTCTATAGAAGTGTAAAAAAAGTAAAGCAATATGTACACATGCACGATATTTTAATAGATAAACTTTTGAATTAAGCGAAGAAATACGTTTCCAACAACTATTTTGATCAAAATAGGCTTAAAATGCGAACTGAATGCATTTGAAGCATTAGTAAAACATGGTCCACTATTTTTTTGACATTCAAGTTGCGCTGTGCAATATCGTTGTTGATTCCCACATTTTAAATCAAACATTCCTTTTGTTTGTATCCACAAGCCTGTGCAATTTGTATCAAAATCCATGCCAGGTGTCCACTGCATGGAAATGTGTGTTTGTCGTCCATTTTCTACCGGTGTTATTTGTCCATAAGCTGCTAATATATTAGAACGATAATTAATCGTCATATGTCCAGTGGGGGAATGATACATCTGATAAGGAGAAGGTTCTAAGCATCTTAAAACCGTACATGAACAACGGAGGAAATGATATGATCCGGAGAAATCTTGTTGAGCTGCTAGAATGACGTCGATTGCGAGTGAAAGAATAGTAAAAAGAAATCGATTCATGATGTCAGTGTGATAAGTATTTNACATGCGAGAACTGGTGCTACTGCTTTACATGTCGCGTGTGCGAAAGGATATTTAGATGTTATTGATGTTTTATTACGTGCTGGTGCGAATATCAATTCAGTGGATAATGATGGATGGACACCTTTACATGCAGCTGCACATTGGGATAAACAAGATATTATTAAATTTCTTTTAGAAAGAAATGCGGATATTGAAGCGAAAAATTATGCCGTAAGATTTCATGAAGATGATTTCATGAACGAATTTCATTTGATTTGATTTAGGGACAAACACCACTGGATGTTTGTGATGGTGTAACACATGAATTATTGAAAGAATTGAAAGAGAAACGACCGCCAATGAAGTCGTCAACTAATGAAACTCCAGATAATATAACTGCACCATGGAAAAGAAAGTAAGAATCTTTTCTCTTGTTTTTTTTCGAGAAGATGTTTTCAGTGGAAATGAATTGTTTCTTTTCATTTTAGACCTGTTTCAAATCGAACAGGAGATGAACATAAATCAATTCTTCGAACTGAATCACATAATGAGAATAATTTAGGTAGATTTCATCATGGCAATTTCCATCGAATTGTAACATTTTTCTTTTTATACAGAAACAACGAATAAAACTCCTCCAACTCCAACTCCAACTCCAACTACTTCTGCTCCACAGGTAGATCATCAATCCCTTCGTTTGTTTTGTGATTGTCTTGATAAATTGCATGCGTTTAGTCCTCTATCCCTCCATCAGTCAATCCTACATCTGTTGATGAGAATTTACCTACTTGTTCACCTAGTATCAAGGTTTGCTTTTCCCATTATTTCTGCACGAATTCTAATCGATCTTTCTTTTCTTTTTCAGGAGAAATTAAACAGTCTTCAACGTTCATTACATGACTTGAGTAATCGATATTTAAAGAGCAATCAAGATGAGGTAAGACTCAATGAGAAACGATTTGTTTTCGAATGACGCATGAAATGCATTTGATATGCTTGTGCATGTTTTTTATATTCTCATAGCAATCAAATCCTTCGATTTCGACTAATAATTCGTCAAATAATGAATTAACAAAATCAACTCCATTGACATTTGAACAACGAAGCAAACAAATCAATGAAAAATCGACTCTAAATTCGACTCGGCCAGGATTTTTAGTAACAAATAAATATTCTCAACGAACATTCACAAATCCACTTCAGTCATTAACAACAAATAATAATATTAATAATGACTTAACTACTCGCGTAAGCCTTCAAAAGAACAGAGTAATCAATTCGCACGGATCCGCATGTTTAGTGATATTTCCCATCAAAACGAATCTCTTTCGAATTTAAACTAATTCAATTTTTATCTTTCCTTAGGAGCACCCATCATCAACTAACACTCCAACAACAGGGGCAGCATCAACGACGACAACAACTATAAACATTGCTTCATCTCCGACACAAGTATTGGATACAAAAATTAATCGAAGGTATTTTCTTTATTTTCATTTTCATTTGTGACGAAAACAAAAAGAAGCAATTCTTCAGTTAGTTGAATGAGATGAAACACTATTTTATATTCTTCTAGTTCCAATGAGACACAGCCTGAGGTGGCACCGAGAAGGTATTCTTTTTTTCTTCTTTTTTTTCACTCACTTCTTCGTCTCCGAAACACCGAAAAACCTTCGTATATTTATTATCTAACCAAATCATCTCACAATTGATACGCACAACCTTGCAGATATTTTTTCATTTGCACAGAATAGAAACCTTTACTTAACAAAATATAATGAATAACAACATCATATTCATTTTTTGTTCTCGATGCACGTCTCGACCTTTTTTCTGCTTTCTTTTGTCGAACAATATCTTTTACAAGTGTAAATATTCTATTTTCAATCAATTTAGATGGGGAACCACAGATCGAACAGTCGGTGATAATACTTTACCAACACCCACAAACACAGGTCCATACGTACGTCGACGATCAGGTGCAGGTGTCAATGATCAACCAACAACAACAGCGACATCAACTATCGTTAGTGTCACATCATCACTTCCGACAGTGACATCAAGTCCAACAACGAATGTAACAGTAACGTCACCAAGTTTACTTGATGATTCAACGAATGGTAAACGACGCTCGAATCTTCCACCAAGTCGAGATGAGGAAGCGGAAGCCCAACGTAAACATCGTTCAGCACAAGCACGACGAGAACGACGATCAACACAAAGCGTTACTGTTGAAGATATCAAAGCAGCTGAACAACAAATCAAAAGTCAACCAATGAATAATCCAGATAATTCATCGACAATTATCACAATTCCACAACCATTAACAAATACCATTGAGACAACATCAAATGCAACTTTATCAAATAATAAAATCGGTGCACCATCAACACCTTCGCTGGTTAATGAACATGATATAGAAACTGAACGTTTACAACGAATTATCGAAGAAAAGAAAGAAAAAGCCAGAATATTAAGTGGCGGAAATGAGGTAAAGAAATGAAAATATACTTTTTGATCTGCTTAACCTTGATTATTGCTGTGTTTTTTCTTGGCTCTTCCTTCTCTTCTTTGTTTATTTGTATAATCTGTGATGATTACTAATAACCATACGCTTTCGATTAGATGAAAAGAAAAACGAAACTCCAGGGAAACAAAAATGAAAAAAGAAAGGAAAAACTTGATTTCATTGAATGATACATCATTTTGTTTCTCATCGCACTTTGATGACATTCTCTGTGTCTCATTAAATAACGATGTATCCTATTCTCTTTTTTTCGTCACTCTTACTCCGAGACTGTATAAATACATATCCAACATATATGTATACATAGATGTAATAATTCAGTGTGTTCTCTTCTACGCGTACATGTATTTACTCTCGTTCGTTTCTCGTTCTCTTTCCTCAAATATGTATACGTAAATATCTTATTGATAGGATACTGTTGAGACGACTGTTGACGCATCTTCATCTGGTGGATCACGTCGATTACGATCAAGATTTACATCTGCGGATACTGACAGTAAGGAGAAAAACAAGACAAAAAAATAGTCTGTTAATCTTGTCGTATTCCGATAGATATTGTCCCATCAATAACAGCAAACGATTCATTGAATCTTGGTCTCAGTGCTTCGTTAGATTCTCAACAACAACAACCACGACGAAGAACAAATCGTGTACATAATCAGCGGAAAAACACTGGAAGAATCATTTGGAACGACGTATGTCTCTCTGATTGATGCAAAACAAAGCATCGAATTTCTTTCTGTGTTTTTTTTTGCTTGTCTAGGAAACAAAAGAAGTTGAAATTCGCGATGATTCCAACGATTTAGTAGCAAAAACCTCCAATGAAGAATCTCATCGATCCGACGATCAAAAACTCCAAGACAACGCTCAACAACAATCGACAACAAATCCTTCATTACTTGGATCACGTGGTCTGATTTCTCGATTTGAAAATATCCCATCAACATCTTTAATCACAACAAAAGACTCACCAAATAATCTATCTCCAACATCTCCAACACCCACATCAACATCACGAAGTATTCGTTCACAAAGTCAAGATCCATCGCGTAAATCATTAGCATTGGCAACATCTTTACCTTCATCGAATCTCAATACTCTTGTGAATGGAATGGCTGCTTCAACACCTTTTGCGTTGAAAAAAGATTCGAAAGAAAATACAGTTTTACCAACAGGAACAACTAATGATGCATCAGCTATTAAAAGAGTAACATTTTTTGTAGATTTTCTTCTCGAAATGATTATCTTTTTCTTTTTGAAAATAGTTACATGATGATGCAAAACGTAAAATCGATGAATTAACACAGAAAATCGATCGATTAGAACGAGATATCGCCGAACGAGATCAAATGATCGAAAAACTCGTACGTTGCTTCTCTTCAAACCATCGTTATTCTCTGATCATTTGATTTTCTTTTTTTTGTAGAAAACATCACAGTATATCGAATCATCTCTTGATAAACGAGTAAGACAAATCTTTTTTTGCGTAGAAAGTCAAAATTCCAACTAATCTTGACATTTTCTTATCTTATTGTCATGCCTATTTATCATACAAATAGTTCTTCGAGTAGAAAAAAGAATTCTTCGTAGACATTAACATACATGAAAAGTCAATTCAAGGACGATTTTGACAAAACATCCTCGAACAATTAGAGCAAACCTTCTAGATATGAAAGATCATTAATTCTTATCTAAATAAATATAATACAACGGAGAATTTTCCTCGAAACGATACTTAACGATGGATGTCATATCATATTTTATCTTTCTTAGGAAAAACGTGCATATGAAAGAAAAATTTCTGAATTAGAAGAAGAATTGAAAGTAAGTGAAAGACTAAGGAAAATGTACAAATCGGATTGCTCGTTGTTTTCTCTAGAAAATGGATTCAATAAAAGCAGATAACACACGATTGAAAGAAGAAAATGCCGCCTTAATTCGCGTAATCAGTAAATTATCGAAATGAAAACGAAACAAATTTTAAAAAAAATCAACAAGAAAATCGTTTCTTTTTCTGTGTGCGTGTGCTCTAGAGTGCTTCTTTATTCTTCTCGTCTTGTTGTGCAATAGAGCCTTTCGTTTATCTTTCTTTTTTTTGTATTATTCTAATGCTACTATACATACATATACATAAGTTTAGTCACTTGGTGCTACGGATTGAGAGACATGCTGGCAAAACAGTGAGAAAAACTCGAAATCGAAGTTTTGCTTTAAAGTCTCGTTCGATGTGTGAAAACGAAAACAAATGAAGATTTTGTTTCATTTTCGTTTCTTTTTTCTTCTTCTTATTTGAATAATAATAATTAATATATCAGACATGTCTCTTTATTCTTCTACATTTTGAACTTCAGAATGTAATTTCAATCTCTCATCTCTTTTTTTTTCGTCTTTTGTTCTGTTCTTCTCATCGTGGATTTCTTTCTATATCTTCTCTATGCCTTAGACACAAATTCGAGCGTGTGTGTGTTTGTGTGCGTGAATGTCTTTCTCATCATTTTCTCTCTCTCTCTCATGTATTTTATATCTGATTTCTTTCTCTTTTTTGCAATCAAAAATACATCACACGCACGCGCATATTTAATTCGGAAGAAAGGGAAAATCAATTTTCTTCGTTTTTTTTGCAGAATTATGTCCGGTGAAGAAAATCATTCAACTGATGAATCAAATAACAAACCAGTAGGTTGAGAACTGATATGATCACGATTGATTTTTCTTTGTATTTGTCGTAGTTGATTGCTGAAACAAAAATTTGTTCAATTTGTTTATTAAGTGGAAGGTAAAACGGAGAATTGTATTCGAAAAGCAAATCTTCGATTTCTCACTCGTTTAGTACAGATGACAGTGACCCAATTGTTTATTGTGATCGATGTGGAGTTATTGTCCATGAAAGTAAACAGAATATTAGTCAAAGAATTCTTCATTTCATCGATTATTTAGGTTGTTACAATGCAGATACATTAGACGAGAAATCATCGGATTCTTCTTCACCATCTGAGTATTGGTTTTGCACTCCATGTTTAGCTCATATTGATGATCCGGTAGGTGAATGAAGCCAAATATTTGTTTTTTTTTTAATCTTCTCTATTTGAACAGACGTGCGCTTTATGTTCAAATCGAGATCGTTGCAATGCATTTTGGCCAACATTAGAATCCAGTTGGGTTCATGTTATTTGTGCAATTGGTGTTCCTGGAGTGTTATATTACGATGAACTTTATTATACACCTGTGGATTTATCAAATATTCCAGTGCAAAAATTTGGAAATAAGCCATGTCATGTGTGTGAATCGAGATCAGGTGTGACGGTATCATGTGATGCGGGTTTATGTCCAAATGCATTTCATTTATCATGTGCGAATAAGAATGGATTGTTGCAAATTAGAGGAGATGTGGTTTGTTTGATCTATTGTGATGATTTTATTTGTTTATTCTTGAGAAATTCTTTAGTCAAAAATCGAATGTGAATTGTATTGTGTGACGCATCAATCGTCATCCAATACGTATAAAAATGTTCAACGAAATTATACGATTTGTGAAGTTCAACAAAAGCAATTGGATCATCGAAATGATTTAAAAGTTTGTTTGTCTTTTTTTCGAAAGTTATTTTGTATGAAAATGTTTTCTTTTCAGGAAGATGTTTGTCAAACATTGGAAGATTATTGGGTAATTTACAAAAAACGTAGTGAAACATTTCCACGTTTACCCAAACCAACGAAAAGTCATGTCGCACGGTAGGAAAACAGCGAATTTTTCGAAAAGAATCGAAAGATTTCAATTAGATCATTGATGGTTGATCCAATTGCATTGAAAGATTTCTTTGAAAAAGCTCAACGTCTTCGTCCGAATCAATCAACAACATTACCAAATAATTTGGATCTAACATCAACAGATACAAATGCACTTTTAGCATTTACGGCCAATGAAGAAGAACTAATTCAACTTAAACAACGAGTTAACGAAGCAGAGACAAAACTTCAACAATTGGAATCGTCTTCAATTGACAAACAATTGAAAGAAGAACATAAAAAAGTAAATTTCATCAATAAACGAATCTCTTCAGATAAAAATCCATCGATTTTAGTTGGAAACCGAATTGAAAAAAGAATACGAAACATTATCCTCATTAACAGAACGATATAATCAATTTATTGAAATATTCAAACTTTACGATTGTCCATTAAAAGACGAAACAACAAATAATATGAAACTTTTCTCAACAATACCAACAGAAACCGAAAGGTTCCGAATGATTTTCCTTCAAATAATCCGAGAAAACAGTTTTTTCTCTTCTAGTTGTTCCGTTTGTAAACAAAAAGATCAATCGAATCAAATGATCAAATGTTGTCAATGTCACTTGGCATTTCATGGTGATTGTTTAACACCGCCGATGCCTGCGAAGACATTAGCATTGATGTTATCAGCAACAAAGAAATACGAATGGCAATGTGCTTCGTGTGTCAATGCACAACAAGAAGAACTCGATCAACGTAATGTGAATGTTGATGAACCACGTCAGATACGACCGAGACGAACAAATGAACTCGTCCTACGAGAAACAGTGATTAAAGTAAAAGAGATTTTGTGAAGAATTTTCATAAAAATTTTCATGTTTTTTCATTAGTTTGGCTCAAGAAAACGAAAACAAGATTCTGAGAATAGTAATGAACAGATAACAGAGAGTAAAAAAACGAAAACGACAAGTCCAACGATTGATTCGTCCGATTCAAAACAAGATGAAGAAAAATCACCGACTAGTAAAAGTCGAACTGCGGTTATTAAACAATTATTTTCACGCAAAACAACAGATTTTACACCGGAACCATCACCAAAACGAATATCATCATTACCAAAGAAAAGGTAAAAATACATTTTTTCATTTTCTTTTATCAAAAATCATTCTGAATTCAGTTCAACAAATTCTAAATCACCACGAATATCAATCAAAAAACCTTCGGTGTCGAAATCTACCGGTAAAAATAAAATGATCCATTTTGTAAATTTTCTGATGGTTTCCTTCATTAGATTCTTCAATAACACCAGTTCGTTCTCAATCTCTTATCGTTGATCGACGAACACCAACGATCTTTAAACAAAAAGCAGTGTCATTATCAATATCAAAGACTGAAAAGAAAAAACGTAAATCTACAAAAGATCCAATGTCAATTTTTGATTTTGATGATGATGAAGAAAATTCCAATGGCACAATTGAACTTCGTTCGACTGTTCCAAATCCAACTCAGGATGAAAATGAAGTAGATCAAAAGACAAAACCAAAAAAATCCAATCGACGTTCAGCTGTAGCCGTAGAAAATAATGTTCCATCCGATGCACTTTGTAAAGAATGTTCAAACTCAGGAACAAATCAAGATATGACTGAGTAAACTATTTTCTTTTCGTTATTTTTCATGTCAAATTCACTTCTGTTTTCAGTTGTGATAAATGCAAACATTTTTATCATTTCGCATGTTGTGTCCCTCCGTTATCTTCTTTCCCGAAACGACGCAACTATGGATGGACATGTCATCATTGCAATGAAGATAGTGAACATGAGACATCTAATGTAATTGTTCCTATTTCAACTTTGAAGGTTAAATTGAGGAAAACAAGCGATTTTCATTGGGATTGATTTGATTTTTCTTTTTTTTGTAGAATTCGCGACGAGAACGGAAAAGTCAGAATCGAGCAAGTGAAAAAGAGATCTCGGTTGAAGATTAACTGTGCGTGTGTGTTTGTATATGTTATTGAAAATATTGTCATGTGTTGNTATATTTTTCTATTTCTATTTATGTTACACGATATATTAAAGATTCGTAGGCCGATGTGTATAACTTTGATAGATATTAATCATCAAATATTGAATAGCAAGACAAAACCAAATTTATTAATTTTTTGTTTAAAGAAAAAAATTTAATATGTCAGATTCTAACTAGAAATTTTCAGCGATCAAATATGCAAAATAATACATTTGAATATTTGTCTTTCATCCACTTTGATGTTCATTTTCATTCAAAAGTTCTTTCAAACGATTGACATTATCTTCAATAGATCCCAAACAAGATTCGTCCTCTGAACTGCAGCTTTTCTTCATCTTCAAAGCATTTTCTAAATAAAACAAACCTTCCCAATTTTCACCCAGTTTAGTATATGCGGCACCAATATTATTGTAACAAAGCGCTAAATTGAGGGGATTGGAAGATAAATACCGATTAATTCCAACTGCCTTTTGATAGAAGAAAACGGATTGCCAATAATTTTCATTTTTTCCATGTAAGTTAGCAATTCGACAAGAATAAACAAACATTGTCGCATATTCTGAAGGAAAATAGTTTTCAGTAAAATCAAGAGCTTTTTCATAAAATACGATTGCATTTACATAGTCGTTGAGTTTGATGTACATTGTACCAATGTGTTCATAACTATCAAACAACCACATATCATTTGATGGAAGTTGTTGTTGGTGAATCGCAAGTCGTTTTTCATAATAAACGATTCCGTTTGCATAGTCGTTGAGTTTGTTATACATTAAACCAATGTCTCCATAATCATCAGCCAATTTCAAATCATTTGATGGAAGTTGTTGTTGGTGAATCGCAAGTCGTTTTTCATAATAAACGATTGCGTTAGAATATTCGTTCAATAATTGATATATATTCCCAATATTACCGTAAGTAGAATTTAGATCAGGATGATCTGGAGGAAGAACCTTTTCGCCAATTTCAAGTGATTTTTTTACGAAGAAAAGTGCTTGTGAATATTCACCTGTGCATTTATACGTGGTCCCAATATTATTGTATAGGCATGCTAAAAATGGATGATTTGAGGGAAGAATTTTTTCGTAGATATCGATCGATTTTTGATAAAATGAAAGTGCTTGATAATGATCTTCTCTTTTCCTATATAACGAAGCAACAACACTGTATGATCGTGCTATATCAGAATGAGTTGGAGGAAGATATTTCTGTCGGATTTCCAGCATTTTTCTTTGAAACCAAAGTAATGGACATGTCTGTTTTAAGTCATCATCAACTGGATCGACAGAATTGTATATAGTTGTTGAACATAAGTTTCTTTCGAAATCTGCCAATGCTTTCTCATAGAATCGAAATGCATTTGCAGATACTTGTTTTTCTTGAAACTCTTCCATCGGCATCACATCACATTTAAGAACTGCTTCAGAAGCTAATGTACAATCACCGCTGTGAAACATGACGGTTTTATTGTTTTCGCTAAAATTCATGATGGTTGCAATAATTTTATTATTGAAATCAGAATTATTTGAAGATGTTGTTTTTTCGAGCTCTTTGATTTTCATATGATACGACATCGACATTTTTTTATCATCTTGTTGAAATTTGATGGATGCAAGTTGACCATAATAATGTATTAAATCTTTAACATCCGATGTTTGTTCAATTAGTGTATTATAAAATTCTTCGGCTTTTTCAAGTTGACCAATCTTTATCAATAAATTACATAATCGTTTCCATCCTATTTCATCTTCGACATCTTTTGATAACCAATCTGTAAGTATACGAAGATCTTGATCATCATCAGCAGTTAATTGAAGTTCTATTTCATAGACTTGATCATACCTTACATGTTTTTTTATATTACCAATACGAAAGATAGCATGCATAGAGAAAAGAATTTCTTTTTCTTCTGCGGAAAAACTATATTTCTGAATGCATGCAAATGGTGTTGAGGAAATTGAAGGATCAATAGACATAATAAAGAGTACTCCAATTGTATCAGGAGCTGTAGAAGCACTTAATGCAAACATGGATGAAACTCTTTTACTTTCACTAGTTGATAAGAAATTGTTAAAGGATAATAAACCACCTTTTGCTTTAACAACTTTCTCAAAATGTTCTTTNTCGTACCCAAAAATCGAATGCTGGGTCACTCGAATAATTGACTACTCGAATAATTGAATACTTGAATTCAAGTTTCGAGTTTGACACTACTAGGCTGACATAAAGCTCGGGTGAGAGTATTCCTGGGACTATGTACAACAAAATCTATTCCTATCTATTCCTAAACACACATGAGGGTGGGCTTATGCTGAGTTGAACCTATCCCTATCTATTCCTAAAATGGCATGGGTGAATAGGCATAGCTAAATCTATCGCTATCTATTCCTAAGTAGGTGTAGGAGTGTATTAGGAATTTGTCACTTATATTATAAGTCGAATTAGGCAGCTACTCTAATTTTTCCGCCAAATGTGAAATTGTATGTTAAGTCAGAAAATGAACCTAATCTTAGGTATAGTGTAACATCCCGTCTCACGAAATAACTCCCTGTTAATTTAACTTGTGGATATAAAAAAATTTATTGTGTTTTGTCAAAAATTGTAAAAAAATTCTTTATTCTTTGTTTTAACTTTATTTGAAAGATAAAGATTTTCTTTACTTTAAAAATAAAGAAAAAAATAAAGATAAAGATTTTGCCTTTACTTTATCTTTTATTTAAAGAAAAGTAAAGATAAAGTAATACCTCTATTTGTTATCGACGAATCCCAGATTCGGTTGGATTCAAATTCGTTCGTCGAAAACTGAATTTAGAGCCGAGATTCGAATGTTTATTGTACCCATTACGGGGATAGCTTATGGAAAATGAATGTGAACGCGCTGGAGTAATAATGCAGAGAAAAACGGACGATAAAATCATCTTTAAAAAGAAATCACACAGCTGAACAAATAAAACTACTATGTTGTTAAAATCTTGTCCCTGAGAAACATTGTTGCCGAAAGATTGTCCAGTGTTAACCGACAGCATTCTTTCCGACCAATAAAGCTCGACACAGAGAAAGCCGTTTCTGAAGGGACGCTTGTGCCTGGCGTCACCAGATATCGTCGTGCCAACGAAGAGAACAACGGCAAGCCACCACCGTGCATTTACTAGAAATAGCGAGTGGAAGTGTGGTCATCGGTAGAGTCAGTAGTCTTGGATGCGAGCAGTCGATAGCGTCTGAATTCATCGATGAGGGATGAGCGCTTGTCCTTGGTGATGTTCGAGTCGTGGCCAACAGATTGAAGGAATGCACTGACAACGGAGACAGATACCTTCGGCACTGCGACAGAACCTGTGTGCGGAACAGCGATAGAAGATTCGGTGCTTCGATCGACACCGTTGTGCATAATATTTTTCAGTCCTCTTTCTATCATCGTTCGCTCCATAAATTGTCTTTTATATTTCAAACTGAGTTTTGGGGACAAAAGAGGACTCTAATTCAAACAGAAATGAAGGGTATAGGAGGTATTGAGGCTTTGAGTTATTAAAATTATTAATAAGGTTTTTAAAAGTATAGTATTTATCATTTTAAGCGTGAGGCGTAAGTATTAGTAGGGATCTATCTCGATGAGGTTGCGGAGTGGGTGCCAGTAGGATCTGGTTTGATTGCAAAAGCATTCGATACCCCTCAATATCATCTATTTGTACTCTGACACTAAGTCATGGATGATATTATATCTCATTCCTTTTTGTTCTCGTCTATTTGTACATGTTTGCTTAATATTTTTGGTACCATTAATGTAACCATATAGCTATAATAAAGATGCAAAGCAAATATGTATGCATTGTCTAGACTGAATAGACTGGAAGGCAATGACTAGTGATATGAAATTCTATTTATTACTTGATTAACGTTGAGAAATCATAACATGTCAAGCGTTAAGTGTCTCATATTTCCTAGGTCTGTTGACTTAAATAAGTGTTTAGAAGTTGTCCTCATCTAATAGAAGGCATCATTTTCGTACACCCACACCCACACCCTGCTTTTTGGATAAGAGGAAGCTAATTTCTTTTCTAAAATTCAATTTGAAATATAAGAAAAATCATAAGACTCGACTTGAGTGAAATTTCACACACGTAGTTTCGCGTCAGAAAAGCTCATGAAGCATTCCACGGAGCCTCTATGGGTTTTAGAAATCCCAAGAAATGTTTGACGAACCGGTAATAGTGTATGGGGACGGGTGATGTGGGTGAAATCTCACCTCGATGATTTTAAACTGTAAGCAATCACAAAATCCCCTTACTGCTTCGGAAAGCGTAGAGCAACGTGGATAAAATGTTGAGACTAGTTAGGAGTGACTGAGGACGATGCGAATGAACTGCGTGCCACCTGAGTGAATTTCACCCAAACAGTTCTGTAACAAAGAAGGTGCGTAAATTTGCAAGCAGCTTTCCTAGATCTAGGAAAACGAGTTGACGAACCACTGTGGTGTTAGGTTTGGACGACTGGGGTGAAGGTTCTCCAGCTGACTTTGTGATAGAGAACGACACAAAACATTCAGCTACATATATGCTTGCTATAACCTAGGAAGACGACAACACGTGGTGAGGAACTATATGATAAGGATCCGTTCGTGAATCTGCGTGAAATACATCGAGACTACTTGTCTGTCAGTCATAACTCTCTGTAGTGGGTACCGTTATCAAACTTGCCCAGATGAGTTTACATCTGGTGAACGATCAAAATGACTGAATTCTGGGAACCGAATTTTTGGTAAATGATAGACATATCCATCCAATGGTATGCGTTTCGTATGTGAAATTCATCTATCTGATTAAGAATAATAATAGTTCTATTATAAATAAATTATGTTTCAATGAATAAACGGGTAGAATTAGAATCGAAGAACTTTGATTTAAAAATAGAAAGGGTTATTTATATGTTGAAAGTGTCTTGTAATTTGATATCAGCATTGTTGGCCGATGTTGAAATCGAAACAGTGTACTTTCCTGATGCAATCGTCCACTTTTGATTGATAACATTCCAATATGATATATCGCGTTGTGTTAACTGCAAAGTGATTTGTTTCGATCGGCTCGACGAGATGTAAACGCGTTCGAAACCACGTAAAATTTTTGGAGGTTGAGCAGCTTCTTCAGGGAAGCTCAAGTACAGTTGTGCTACTTCAGAACCATCTCTTTCGCCTGTATTTGTAATAGTAAATGTTATATTATAGGCAGGATCGTAGAATTTTAGTAAGTGCTGGTTGGCATATGCTGATAAACGACGTTGTCGATGAAAAGTTTGTCCAATTGAATAATTTTCGTCTCCAGCTTTTGAAATAATTAATTTCGAAAAAGAAAACGTTGTGTACGATAATCCAAATCCAAAATGAAATCTTGGTACAATATTATTCTTATCAAAATGACGATAATCTAGAAAAACACCTTCAGTGTAATTCGAATTGTATGTATTAGAAATATTCGTTCCATAATCTGAATCATTCTTTGCAAGAGTAAAAACTAATTTTCCACCTGGATTATAATCACCGAAAAGAATATCAACAAGAGCTGATCCATATTCGGTACCTGGTAAACCAGACCAGAGAACTCCGGTTACGTTCGGATGTTCAATCCATGGCTCAAGATTAAGCTGTGAGACACTATTGACAATGACAATAGTTGAACTACATAGAGATGCAACTTTTTGAACAAGTTTATCACCATCATGATATGCAGAAAGGTTTTGTCGATCACGTCCTTCGGATGACCAAGCATTGATAAAGACAAGACACTTTCCTCCAAAAAAGCCACGATTATTCAAAGCATTGTTAATCGCACTGTAATCATATTGATCGATAACATATTGGATTTGAAGATGAAATTCACGCGCATATTCAAGAAGTGAAGTCAATGGATCAATGAAATAAGTTGGACGAACATAGCCAGATCCCCCACCTTGATACAATGCTCCATCTAATCCTGGTACACCATGTGGATCGATGCCATCACTATAACGACTTGCTGCTGATCCAAATATAGAATAATACTTATCGATATTTCTGTTGAATGGCAAAGCATTATTGACATTCTTTAACAAAACCATTCCTGCGCGACCAACTGCTTGATTAATGACATAATGATCGCTAATAGCATCACGATTTAAATCGAGAGATGGATAATTTTGATCTTGACCAACTAAAAAATAAGGTGCCATAATACGAACAACCATATCAGTAACTCTTGCTTCTGATAGAGAACCATTTTGTATGAATTGAAGTAACGAATAACCCATTAGATTATCATGACCAGGCATGTTAATATCTAATCCACCCAAAGCTGATTCTAGAGTCACTTTCGTTGCTCCCCAATCTGACATAACATTTCCTTGAAAGGCGAGTTCATCTTTTAAAAGTCCATTTAATGTTTTATCATTTTGACAGGCTTGCGTACCATTGACTTGATTGTATGAACACATAACTGAGCCAGTACCAGCTGCAACACTGTCCATGAATGGCCAAAGGTAAATTTCATGCATAGTTTTGTCATCGAGATTAGCTGAATAACCTTGACTTGGACCCGTCTTAGGATGATAAGTACGATTTGATTCTTGTTCATTACAAATATAATGTTTAGCCGTAGCAACAACACCTTGATCTTGAATTCCTCGTACGTAATAAAAGGAATTTTCGCCTGAAAGATACGGATCTGCGCCAAAACCTTCCCAGTTTCGTCCGTGAAGTGCATTTCGATCAATATTCATCATCGGTCCTAGAGCAAAATGAACGCCTTTGCCTCGAAATTCTTGACCGATTGCTGCAGCACGTTCATACATAAGATCACGATCCCATGTAGCTGCTATTTGAATTCCAGCTGCAAAGGCAGTTGAAAATTGTACACCATCACCAACACCCGATGGAGAATCTTGGAAACAAAGTCCATTGAAATTCAAACGTGGTACAGGTAAAACATAACCAGCACAATGTCCACCAACACCCGCTGTCATATTACATCGTTCTTCCAATGTCATTTGTGAAGCAAAATCTTTTGCTAACCGAATTGCTTCATCCCATGTACGACTAGTCGGATTGATCTTTTCATGAAGCTGTCTTTTGATTAGAGCTGTTTCTGTAGACTCATAATAAGTACTAATGACTAGAAATAGAACAAAATACTTGGACATCTTACTGCAACTAATATTTCTGCCTTTATCAGTAAGAAATGTGTATATATTTATATATAAGTGACAACCGAAGATGTTGGTTATCTCGTTTGGGCTTGTTCTCAGTAAATATATACCTTTGACGAACTGAAAGATAACATTAGTACCATAAATATCTAAAAAGTCAACAATTGATAAAACCAACCGAAGAATATTTTTTTAATCCTATAACTCGTTATAATATTTTATGGGATAATTATTTCTAGGTACATTATATCTTATAGATAGAAGACTACAGAAAGAATAAGGGTGTGAGTATGAATTCTTCTACTATCAACACTCATACCCTCCATACAGTTAATGAAAGCTCCTATTTCATTTACAGTTACCTGAATGTCAGCTAAACATTAGGTGACAGGCACTAACCGTGACAGTGACACGTTGCTGCTGAACATATATTTAAAAAGACAACAATAAGAAGAAATATGAGTAAAACTAAACAAAGCAATGTGATTTTTACAAATAAGTATCGTTTTGTGCGAACAAGGCACTTACCGTTTCGAATCATGGTGTTATGATTGTTTTACTCATGTACAATTCGTCTCTTTTTTCACCTTCTTTGCATGGATTTCTCCGATTATTTTAAGTCAAACTATATTATAATAAGTGTCTAAAAACGGCGTTATTGTATATTATGCATATATTCTTCGAGTGGAATTGTAATGAGTCATACACTTATTATTCTTACTACATCAATTCGTAAATTTGTGCATTTTCTATCGAATACTTAGTAACAAAGAATCCCATCGTTCAATCCATTTTGACGACTAACCTGTAAACTCTATTATCGCTTATTCTTTCAAGGCTTTTATTCTTAGAAGAATCATTTACGGTAGCATATCATGAAAAGCATCAATATTAACAGTTTTTCTCCCAAATACTTACAAATGCGTATTCGAGTCTCCATCCATATGATTTGTTGATGGATGAGTTCCTATAATAACTGCCAAACTCATAACAGGTTTACATCGATTTTCTGTTGTGTAAACACTATAAAATTCTCCTGCAATGTGACATGGAAAATCTTTATTTGCCAATCCGTTTGTAACTTGTACTGCTATATGAATGCATGGTGATCCCAATTCTGAGATACTCTTCGCTACAATCTCTTTTAATCCAAACAATTGTGCCAACCAACCTGTTAAATGTTGCATTGTTATTTTGCCTGGTATTGACGCGTAACTACTGCTCTGTTTGATTTTCTTTCGATTAATATCGCATATTTTTTTCCAAAATTTTCGATTGACATTACCTTTTTAAGTTTCAATAAATTGATCAAAGATCGGTAATATTCCATCGACATGTCCATGAAATCTATCATTACTAAATGCTTTCAACTGTTGTGTCTTATCACGACGAGATATCCAATCATCCGGTGTACCTATTCATCGAATCATTTCCAAAAAAAACTTTCTTTCCATGTTCCTCAGTTATATTCTCACCCATAAAATATACTTGACGAATTCCACACGACTCATATCGAAGATCATAATCAAAATATGAATTGAAAATAAACATAATACATGTCGTGGAAAGAATTGATTCCACTTTGTTCGTTGTTGAAAATTTGCTTTCTAATACTCTACAAATATTATTCGTCGTATTTTTCTTTTCACTTCATTTTTCATCTTATCGAAAAAATTCTCCCATAGATGTTCGTCCCGTGTCTCTTCATGTTTAACCAAAATCGATCGAAGTCGTTCTGCATTGTTGTGAACATATTTTGCAAAAAATAGAAATACCAATAACCACATATCATCCAGTGATAAAAAAACGTCATAATGTCGATAATATGCCCAGAGAAACATATCGAGGATCGCATTCGATGACGGATTGGTATAACATCCATTGATAATTGTGTACATTGAAGTTGTATCATTAAATCCATACCGTTCTTCATCGAAGAAATTGTTTGGTGCAAAATACCACCAACTATTTTCCACTGTTTCATTCGATTGAATGCGTTCGAAAGTTGTTTCAACAGGCTTCAACTTTTTATCAATAATAATTGTATGTAATGTCATTGTTCAAATAGCTTTTTAGTTGGAATCGACTCAGTCTGTATTTATATGTAGTTCATATGAGAAAGTCTTTTTATCTCAATTAAAGCTGTTTATTCACCAGAAAAATATTGACTATTCAGTTAGTGAGCTTTGAAAATAAGTTGAGATTATTATTGTATTGTATACGATTCGTAATCGTTGGAAGAATATTTCTCGCTAATATTGAATTTTATTTCAGTCATCGTAAGAGATCAGTAAATATACTCAGTGCGATTATTGTTGTGTAATGTACTTCTTTCTTATTTTAGCACATTTAATAAGTTCAATGGCAAAATGAGTTTTGTTCATACATTGATGAATACAACGAATATTTCCACATTGACATATTTGAAAGAAGTGCAGAACTGATTGACGATTGATTATTGTAAATCAAATGCAATCTTTCGATATTCAAATTATCTTCATTTTCGTAATTATAATTATAAAATGGATTGTAAAATTCAAACAAAAGCAACGAAAAATGATGGTTCAAAACAGAATAGGTGCACACTTCAACACGTTCAAACAACTAATTTATTTAAAGAAAACAAAACTGAACTGTGAAGAAATAATTCTGTTTCAATTGTTTCTCTTCAATCCGAAAGATCTTTTCTCCTGAACTCTTTTCATTTGGAAGCTTTTTTTAGTCGTTTAGAAGGAATTTATTTCACTCATCAACATTAGATTGTTTTTTTTCTTGAAAACATCAAAATTTGTAATAACATACGTTTAGTTATTTATCAAATGTCTTATCAAACTGTATATCATTGTTTTAAGAAAAAACCCATATTAACTTAGATAAAATGTTTCAAAATGGTAACATCCGATGATAAAAGTTTATCAGATGCATACAACACACTTCACATTGATTGACGATTAATCTGGATCAGAATCCAATTGAAATCAAAGCCAAAGTCACATGCACATGTTTGAACTTTTCCCTTCGCTGATAGATGCTGTCAGTGTACAAATATCTGAAAATTCACGAATTGTCAGTACTCTTTTTAATCCTACAGATTGTCGCATGTAATCTGTGCACTTTTTTTCTATTTCCTCTCTCTCTCTTTTACTCTATTTTTGTCTTCTGATTCGCATTCGACAATATTTGGATGTTTAACTTTTTTATCGTTTATTTTACCCCTTCTCTCTTTTTTTAATGAATCCAAAACGGCACAATAAACTAAATACAAACGAAGAAAAAAAACAAGATTCACAGATATATGCTTTTTCCATTATCGAGTAGTCACTTATATAATTTGTTTGAATTTTTTCATTGTTAGTATTTATCATCATAAACGTCGATTTCTCCATTTGCAATATCAACTGCAACTCTTAAAAAAGAAACGAGAATGGATTATTTCTGCTGTAATTAAGTACAGATCGATGGAATCAAACAATCCTCTCCGAAAACAAAGATCGTCTTGTGAGTGATATCCATCTTTTGATGAATGTGAAAATCAAAATTTCTACCATGGAGCAAACGAATGACTTGCAACAACCCTTCTGTCAACTTGAAACACGCAGGAATGATATTTCCACAGAGTTCTGAATAATAAAAAATCAAAATCTTCAACAACAATATGATCAATCGATGTTCCAAAAGCAACATGTGTAGGAAATACCATTTGAAATTTCGGATCTCGAACAATTAGTTAAATATTTTGAAGAACGTTTCGATGTGATAGAGTCAGACAGACAAAATCTTACAAAAGGAGTATGGATATTTGTCAACAAACCTTTGAATTTGAAAGTCAACTTTCAAGAACATTCAAATAATTTAGAAATATGTGACAAGAGGATAAAAAACACAAATCGAAAGCAAGTGAAAATATTGAAAACCAATTTGTAATTATGAAAAACGAATCGATGAACGTTCTTGAGATGAAATGAGACATTGCAATATGCATTGACTGCTATTCATTTCTCGATTATTCCTTGATCTTATACTGATATAGATTATTTACTCTATTATTAAAGAAAAACTCTAAAACATCGTTTATGTTATCAGGTTATTTATATCTTAATCGTGATTATCATCGAATCAAATTAATCAATACAAATTCATGGAAAATTCAACACGAGACATAACTTAAAATATGGTGATCGTGATGAAATCAATAACATATAGTTATGACGATACTTACTTACCATAATATGTGTCAATTGAAATGAATGTGAAGAATTGATTGATTTGAGAAAACATGATGATCAACTGACATTAATAAAAAGAATTCATATTGAAAATGATTCATTATTATCATTAATTCATCTAATATCATTCAATCAAGATATTTAGTTATTCATCAATAAAAATATCAACAAATTCTGATAATGAAAACATTACACACAGATGATGTTCAAGCAATTAGCAATATTCCTGTTTATTTACAGATCGTTCGTGATCATAAGCATTTATTCGTCGACGTGGTGATTGACAATCTTCTAAGAAAACAAAGTGTATATATTCAACTTTTATAATCTATTTGCGAATGAGTGAATTAATTTTCATCGAAAACAATATTCTTTCTCCATTTATCTTCATAAATATTTTCTTAATATAAAACTTTGAAATAAAATTTCAATTTCTTTATCGAATGAATAGAATTTTGCGAAAAGATCTTATTTATTTGATTAATTATGACATTCGATTAGTTCGAAATGTTAATTTCATTTAAATAATCAATGATTGATCAATATCACGCAGAAAAGCATTCATTGTCCATGAATACAAATCATCTTCATCTAATTTTTCTTCATTATTATATAAAATGTCGATGATATTTTTAACTAATTTATCATAATGTTTAACAGCTTCATAAAAACCACATTGATAAATCATGAATTTCCATAAAATTGTTACATAAATATCTTGAATAAGAATGAATTTTCTTGCGTATACCATTTGTTTGAAATCTTCTTTCTCATCGAAAGTAACAACGGATAAATTAGTTGAAAAATTCAAAAGAAAAATCATCAATTTAATAAATATAACATTTGATTCGAATTGTCGATAGATCGATTTGACTTTGTTGATCCAAGTAGATCCACAAATTTGCACAAGAGCAGCTTGAAGTATTTCATGATCTTCTTTCTTGAATTGATGTGCAACAACAAATCCATGAAACATTGCAATACTTAAACAATTTCGTTTGAATAACATTCGATGAGAAATCACGGATAATAATTGATAATCAGATAAATGTTTGAGGATTAATTGATTATTTCGAAGAAATATTCGAATGATATTGAAAATAATTGTAGATTTGAAACGTAATTTAATTGGTAAAGAGAACTGATATTCAAAATAATTTATCGAATTAACATTATTATCAATAGAAATGAAATTTGAAAAGATAGACCATTGTTCTGTTGTTAATTTCAATTGTTCATTATAAAGAAACGATCGTTGATTAGATGAAGAAATAACATATCGATTGTTATAATTATTTTGTCGAATTAAATCCATATTCATTCCAATTAAAAAACATTTCTTTAGACGACAAGGTGGACATTTCATTCGTGTTATTGATGTTATACGACAATTCCAATTGTTTTGACAATATAAAATGTTCTACAAAATCAACATAATGAAAACGAGTTTTTTTATCAGATGAATTTACTCGTGATAATAAGGAATATTGTCGGAAAAATGATCGACATGAGAAACATGAGATAATAGAACTCTGATTTCGTTTAGCTAAATCACCACAAACTTGGCAAAGTGAAGATAATGATGTCATCGTCGACAAAATAGAAATGTTTTAACGAGAAAAATAATTCGAATTCTTTTATTTGAAGAAAAACAAAGAAAATTTCAAATATTTTTCTATTTATAGTTGAAAAAGAAGATCAATTATTAAAAATTCTTTACTTTTATTCATAAAACTAAATGAAGTGTAAATGTGTCATACCTGATTGGAAATTAAATGTAGTATAAAATCTAAAGAATTAAACTTCTGACTTTCTTTACAAATAAATATTCACAGTTGATGGTTTTCATAAATTATAATGACATTTGAAGGACTTTTTTTTATTCATAAAGATTAATCGTGACTAGAGAACATATTTTATATGAAAAAAGTGTGTCACATTATTTACAGAACATTTGTTTATTTGATGAACCAGCTTTTTGGTAACAAATTAATGGGAATTTTCATGCAGAAAAATGAATTACTAGAATTGCGCTTTGTTTTATCATAAATTCATTTTTAGATTGGAATAATTTGGATAATTGATAATATTTCATTACTGTTTGAAACTATCAATTCATAATTTTTGTTTTCTTTTACGATAATTTCATTTATCATTGTTTATTTATCATCTGAATCTCTATAAATACATTTGTTGAATGGAAAAGAGAAAAACTTTACTTAATTGAATCGAAAGTATTTTTAAATTAACATCATTTTAAATATTTTGTCAGATATTTGTAATCAGTATTACTATGAATAACAAAAGTCTGAATAGACAACGATCCCGTTAATCATCCTCAGTTTCTGTTGTTTTTATAGAGAATTCTGAACATGGAAACGTTTATTTCATCTTTGTAATTAGTAAATGTATAGATCATAGTAGTGTAGAATTCGTTTTATTAAATACAAATATTTGATTTACAAATATATTGTTAACTAATTACATTATAATCGAAAGAATCTCGTAGAAATAATGTTCTGCAGCGCTAATGAGCTTTGCACATTTATTTAATTTATAAAAATGAATCTCTGCTAAATGTTCTTAGATTTCGACTATTCTTCAATGAACTTCTACTTAAAGAATTTCTTTCATATTTACAATCAATCAGTGAATTGAGATTTTATGAAATAATAAGACAGTTGAGTTATATCACAAATTATATTTAATGAATTTCATTCAATAAAATTACGTTTTGTTTTAATATCAATTCTTTTTAAAACCGAATTCTCTCGGATGATTTCACTAATTGATGATGTTTCTGTCACATGTGATACTAACGAAGCACATTTTTCATCATTTTCTTTTAACAATCCACTTATCATTGTCTGTTCGTCATCTGAATCTAAAATGAAAATAAGAATAAAAAAAAAACTTTGAAAATTGTTTTGTTTTTGTTTTTTACTTTGTTGTGTAAGAGAAGAATTATTTCTAAAATAAAAATAAATTAATTAAATGAAACTGAATGAGAAAAGCTTCTACTCAATTGAATTTGAATGTTTTTTCGACAAAAGTTTTCCATTCGTATCGAATAATTCCGGTCGTAATTTTCGTAACATAAAAAGTTTATTTCGATAAACTTCTTTCAAATTAACACCATTTTTCTCAATTCCTAAAGCAAAGGTAAATCATCATTTTTCAATTCTTTGAACAAAATACCTTTTGAACGCGGTGAAATTCCAACAGATTCATCAATAAACGTTTGTTGTTGATTTGCAAAATCATTTTGATCTTGATGAACAATTAATGGTCGAAGTCTATTGAATAATTAAAATCTGCAAGATTAAAACAAAGTGTCTTATCAATGAGAAAAACTGACCTCGCTTGTTTTGCAACTTTCTTTTTCTGTTGTTTTTCTTGTTTATTTTTTTCAATTGTTTGTTCAGTTTCAAGTTGTTGTTTTACTTTTTCATAGCAAAGACTAAAATGATTGATAACTTCAATTGTGGAATTCAATAATTGTTCACTTGGATTGATTAACTCCTAGAAAATTTACATTGTAAACAGTTTGATTCTTTTTTCGACGAAAATCTATACTTTTTTTCTTTCGATCAGATCTTTTGGCTTCGATGCTTGTTTAAATGGTTGAACAACATAAACATTTGGATCAATTTCTTGGTCAATATCAGGCTTTTCTTCGATATTATCATGTTGTTCATCATGTTTGCTTGGAGTATTGATCGGTACTAATCCACCGATGGTTGATGTATGTGCCACTGAACTTTTTCTTGAATGAGGATTTGTTGTCATTTCAATTGAAGAAAGTTACGTTTTCTTTTCTTATGAAAAAAAACAAATCTCAATGATGCAAATGTTTGTTGAGTTGCCAATAGAATTCCTTTGAAAAAAAATCGAAGGAAGCGCAAGGCAATACTATCGATTCTTTTTTATTCATTTTGCAGAGAGTAATGTAAATCAATTTGATTTAGAATTTGTTCTCGAATAATATTCATGCCAAAGATTTTCGCGTTAACAAAGAAATTCTCGGAGATAATCGGTAATAATAGATGCATAATTTTCCTTGGTGTGACAGATGTCACTAGTCAACACCACTCGTTCACATACATTTCATTGTTTCTGATTGGTTTTCGTTAAATTCCAATGTTCGATTTTATTGTAATGATGTTTCTCGCTCTTTTCCTCTTCTGTAAAATCCTTCATAGAAATTTATCTACTGAATTAAACATTTAGCTCTTACTCATATTCACAATGCATGCACATTTTGCTCAACCGATTCAGGTTTGTGTCCAGTTTCATTCTCTCCTCAATCAACTTTTTAACCTTTTCTTCTTCTCATTGCAGGCAGCAGCAGCAGTAAGTTCGCATGTGTTTTGGTAGAAAATGACGTATTTTTTCTCGATAACAGGCCGCTGTAGCAGCAGCAATGGCAGTTTCGAACACTTCGTCAACTTCATCAACATCTGAAGCACATGTTTCGACACCAGTTCATCACACTGCAACGAAAGCTGAATGGATGGAAGCGATTGAACAACAACGTTTAGAACGTTCGACGTTGAATAGACTGATTATCAATTATCTTGTCACAGGTTAAAAAATTTGCAAAGAAATTTTTTCTTCTTTTTTTATTAAAATTTTCATCTTGCAGAAGGATTTAAAGAAGCTGCAGAGAAATTCGCCGAAGAAGCTGGAATTTCATTGAATAACGTTGATTTAACTTCATTGGACGAACGCTTAAGAATTCGCGAAGCAATTGAAAGTGGGAGAATTCAAGATGCAATTAATTTAATCAATACTAAAGCACCCGAGTTGCTCGATCAAAATCGTCAATTAGCNTATCAAATCACCACAAAATATCACCAATTTGTTCGACGTGCAATTGCTCTTGATACAATTCGGAAAAATCTTGAATCAAGTGAATATTCAACAAAAGATCAATTTAAAAGAGATATCTATTTAATGTTATATAATGCAATCAAATATAATCCACGCTATCATCATGTTCATCGATCAGCGAAAACCATCTTTAATCTTACTGTTCCACTTTTTCAAGTAAATTGTGTTTTTAGAGTTCGTCATTGTTTTTTTTGTTCTTTTTAGTTATCTGTTCAAGATATTCATGCGCAAATAGCAACACGACATAATGTATCTCTCTCATCTGATGCTTCATTAGTTAAACGAAAACGGTTAAATGTAAGATTTAGATCATTTTGAATTAAACGATTTATTTGTGGTTTTTCTCATTTAGTGATGAGTGAGTTTCTTTGGAAATCTATTTGTTGGATTGACAAATAAGAAAACAATCTTAGTCGTATACGATAGAATTTATTTTCTATTTCGAATGATATTTCAATAAACTGTCAAACTTCTGTTTTTTTCTATGACTGATTAAGAAAAAACAATTTCATTTCATATAGTTTTGATATAAACATCAAATAAATGTTGTTTGAATAAACGAGATTAACAGTTGGAAATTTCAATACAAACTAAGTATAATGACGTGAATGAAAGTAAGAAAAAAAGTACCATCTTTGAAATCGCTAGAATCAGTCAAAGTTCATCTGAAAAATGGTACTTTTGAATGATTACACGTGTATGAAAGTAAGTGACCATGTAAACCTCAACGTTCCAACTTTTTTCTAGGAAACCTGAAGAATTTCAGTCGTCAACAAGCTTTGGCTGTGTATACATGTAAAACATTCATTTTACTGCTGTGTAGACGCAAATTGTCTTTAATCAGCGTGGTTTTAGTTAAAATTTCTGGTTATTAGGCGTTTCACATCACATTTTGAGTGTTTGTTTGCGGTAACACGCGCTTATTTTCCGAAAATAGTATCGTTCTCACGTCAATATTCTGAACAGTGAAAGAATTTCCACGTTTTTCCCTACCAATCGAGAACCGAAATTGACATCCAAAAACGAGAAGACTTTGTGTAGTGTTTTCACGCGTTTTGGCAGTTCTTGTCTGCTTGGGATGTTCATAAATTGGTTTAGATACTATTATAAACATATGATTTTACCGGTGTTTAGCTAACATTGAAAAAACAGATACGATTCTTTTTATTTGTGTTAAATTGTAATCTGTCTACGACAATATTTTCTTCATAACAGACTTCTTTCCCTTTAAGAGTGGCCGTGGCAATTTTCGTCAACGTCGTTAATATTTGCACAGCGGTGAAAATAGCTTGAACGCAACCGTTTCTTTTCGTTCTCCAGCTGTTATCCGCTGATATAGATGTTGACTTCACTTCAAGATAAAAACAATTGACGAGGACGAGAAAGTTGTGCGTAGATACTATAAAGCAAAAGAAAACCAACAAATCTTCCAACTTGAGTACTCTTTTGGTCTCAGGACCCGGTGCACCTTGAACCATTCTGATCAATGACAACTAGGAAAATAGTCACAACCGCCGAAAAGACGGACACTTGGCAACCTATTGATGTCGAAATGATGCAAAGTGTAGTCGTGACTTGGCTGGACAACCATATCGATAGCAACAGTGAAGATCGCCGATACACAATTAAACAACTTCAACGACTTGTTAATACTGTCGAGATATTTTCAGACAACGACGAATGTGTCGAATTTATATTGAATAGCGATCAAGATAAAGTATACCTAATCATTTCTAGCTCATTAGGACGATCTCTTATGCCTTGTATACATGATATTCCACAACTGGATTGTCTCTTTATCTTTTGTGAAAACAAACTACATCATGAACAATGGACAAAAGATTGGATCAAGATAAAAGGTGTTTTTATCGACGCAGTCTCAGTGTGTAAAGCCATTGAAGACACATTTCGTCGATACGAACAGAATGTCATGCCAATGAGTTTTATAGCATCTGGACGAAGACCCGATCAACTCGATCCACTCTTTATGTATACACAATTCTTCAAAGAGATTCTATTATCTATCGATTTTGGAGACAAACATATCAAAGACTTTATCAAACATCATCCTGGACTGTTAACTGTCGATGATAAGCAGTCTCGTGATATCGATCAATTAGTGCGTGATTATCGTACGAAAGAGCCCATTTGGTGGTATACCAAAGGTACTGTCCTTCATTCTATGCTTAATCGCGCACTCCGAATCTTGGATGCCGATATTCTTGTACGAATGGGATTCTTTATCACAGATCTTCATCGAAGCATTGAGAAACTGCACAAAGAACAATTTCTTGACACACATTATTCTACGACCTTTATAGTCTATCGTGGACAAGGATTGTCCAAAGTAGATTTTGCACAACTAAGGCAAGCGAAAGGTGGACTAGTCTCATTCAACAACTTCCTCTCTACCACCACAGATCGTGGTGTTTCGTTTATCTACGCGGAAAGTAGCGCATACAATCCTGATTTATTGGGTATTCTTTTCAACATAAAAATAAATCCAAGTGAACCAACCACACCATTTGCTCTGATTGAAAAGATTAGTCACTTTTCGCACGAAGTTGAAGTATTATTTTCAATGCACAGTGTATTTCACATTCACGACATCAAATCCATTGGTACTGATCGACCAATCTACGCAGTAGATTTATCACTTACTAGTGATTCCGACAAAGAACTGAGTGTGCTTGCTGACCACTTTCGCCAAACGGGTTCTCTCAGTGTAAAAGGTTGGTTTGGGCTAGGAAACCTGCTAATTGAACTCCGTCACACTGATAAAGCTGAGGAGATCTGCTACAGTTTACAGTGCGATGCATCAGAAAACGATGATTTAAGCCTAATTTATCATCAACTTGGCCGTATCCTACATCTTAAAGGTGCATTTTCAGAAGCCATAAACTATTATGACAGATCAGTGGCCATTCAGGAAAACCTTCCTCCTTTCGATCGTTCCAGTTTAGCAACGTCCCACAACAACAGCATCGGTGGTGTGTATTATGATATGGGTGATTATGCGAAAGCACTTCAATACTATGCGAAAGGTCTTTCAATTAAACAACAATCGCTTCCTGCAAATCATCCTGATTTAGCTACATCCTACAACAACATCGGTCTGGTGTATGATGCTATGGGTGATTATGCGAAAGCACTTCAATACTATGCGAAAGGTCTTTCAATTTCACAACAATCACTTCCCGCAAATCATCCTGATTTAGCTACATCCTACAACAACATCGGTGGTGTGTATGATGCTATGGGTGATTATGCGAAAGCACTTCAATACTATGAGAAAGGTCTTTCAATTAAACAACAATTACTTCCCGTAAATCATCCTGATTTAGCTACATCCTACAACAACATCGGTAGTGCGTATGATCATATGGGTGATTATGCAAAAGCACTTCAATACTATGAGAAAGGTCTTTCAATTAGACAACAATCACTTCCCGCAAATCATCCTGATTTAGCTACATCCTACAACAACATCGGTCTGGTGTATGACCATATGGGTGATTATGCAAAAGCACTTCAATACTATGAAAAAGGCCTTTCGATTGATCAACAATCACTTCCCGCAAATCATCCTAGTTTAGCTACATCCTACAACAACATCGGCCTGGTGTATGACCATATGGGTGATTATGCGAAAGCACTTCAATACTATGAGAAAGGCCTTTCAATTCAACAACAATTACTTCCCTCAAATCATCCTGATTTAGCTAGATCCTACAACAACATCGGTGTTGTGTATGACCATATGGGTGATTATGCGAAAGCACTTCAATACTATGAGAAAGGTCTTTCAATTACACAACAATCACTTCCCGAAAATCATCCTAATTTTGCTACATCCTACAATAACATCGGTAGCGTGTATGACCATATGGGTGATTATGCAAAAGCACTTCAATACTATGAGAAAGGTCTTTCAATTAGACAAGAATCACTTCCCGCAAATCATCCTGATTTAGCTACATCCCACAACAACATCGGTCTGGTGTATGACCATATGGGTGATTATGCGAAAGCACTTCAATACTATGAAAAAGGCCTTTCGATTGATCAACAATCACTTCCCGCAAATCATCCTAGTTTAGCTACATCCTACAACAACATCGGCCTGGTGTATGACCATATGGGTGATTNCATTCTCACACTAAAAAGGTATCAACAAATAATTAATAAATTTAACATTGAATGAAATCATAATTACTTCTCTTTGTTCATTGCAATCAGAAAAAATGTGAACACGTGATTCATTGTTTAATGGTGATTTTTCTAGAAAAAATCTTCATTATGTGTTCGTGTCGTTAATTATAGAGAGAAACTTACCTTGTTCAACAATCAATGCCGGCGTTGCGGGAGAATATTCAGTACTCATAGATACTTCTTAAAACAAAAGAGAAATGGAATTTTTGAAACTCTTCAGAATGTTCTTACTATCAATTATTATTGAAAATTTATTTTCATCATGTGTACATGCGTTCCAAGTATTTAATGATTGATCTAATTGATAATTCTCAAGATCAAAGTTCGGAGAAGTTTCAATGAATGTATTTGGAGTTGAAGAAATTTCATGATGATCAAATAACGTTGACGAAAGATGAGAAGATAAATCAATCGATTGAAAATTCATCTTTTCTTTTGACTTATTAGAATATATTCGTTTTTCTCCTTGAAAATGCTTTGGTATTTCATAAGCACGAATCTTGAACAAGATCATTTAGGTGATTTTCTAAACGTGATCAGATTTACGTACTTGAAAATTTGATTTCATATAATTAAATGTATTTTCAGCTAAATAGAATATTTGAAATTTCTAAAAACTCAACGTCAAAAAATGACTTACAATAAGATGAAGATTTCTGTTTGAATGAAAGATCATTGTGAGGATAAAGAGAAGACTGTTACAATTTGTTGAATTCATTGTATTAGAATTATTAAAATGCCAATTATAATTATATAACTAAAACGAAATCAAATAGATCAAAATGGATTCTGATTGAATTTGTTTTACTCGATTTTGTTCTTCATATTTATCATTTTGTTCTAAAACCATTTTTTGAATATGTGCTATTTTCTCATTGAAAACTGGATGAACTCGATACGAACAACTATTTAATTTATATTCAATCGTTACAACATCCGGCATGGAACGTAACAAAGCCAACAATGAATGAAAACCAAGTTCAACATCTAAATAAAATCAAAAAATGAATCGATGAAATTCTTTTCTCAAATAGACCTACATGGAATTTCTTTTCCACAATTTAATTCTTTATAATCATAATATAATAATGCACCTGTCAAACCTCCATATTTGGTTTTTGGTGAACTAATTAATAACGAACGTATTTCTTGTTTAAGATTTTCGTAAATTTTCGTNTTCATGTCGTTGACGATAATAACGAAAAAGTTCAGCTTGAGTTAAATAACCACGTTTACATGTAGTTAAATATGAATGAAGTTCATTCATTGTTTCACAATAAATACGTGGATCAACTGGGATTAAATGAGGTGGACACATTGTAGAAGAAACTGACATTGAGGAGAGAAATATTTTGGAAAAAACAATTCGATGAATTTAGAATGAACGAAAGAATTATGTGCCAAGATATCATTTGGTACAAAATGGATTTTCACTCAAATTTACCTCTATGAATATTCTTCCAGTTGAAATACAAATAAATTTATTTATGAAGAATATCAAGAAAAATTTTCAAGAAAAATTTACAAATCTATTGAAGAGATGCGAATGTGCGACATCTATTCTTCAGAAATATGAGATAATTTGTCGGTTGTTAGAATCGGACTTTTATCCGGAAAATTTGCTCTGGGATTAATTAACTTCAAATGAATATTTAAATCACGATTTTGAACGATTTCTTTTAATTCTTCTATTAAATCCATCGAATAGTTGTCCAACGATTTTCCTTCACTTTCATAAATCGATATAACAAATTGAATCTTATATGACGAAAGTTTCTTCGAATCGAGATAGTTTTTATAATCGATTGATGAAACAACAGAAGGTCTTGGAGTTACTGGAGGAATTATCGTACTAAAAAGTGTATTTCGTGGTACTTTACTTAATCTTTTATTAATAAATTCTTGTTTTTCATCCTGTTCAGTACTTGATTCATCAATTGCTGATAAAATTTGTTCAGGAAAGAACATTTTTCGATTATAAACACGTTGATAACGATCAACAAGAACTGACACCAACATTCCACTAATTGCCACACCAAAAAAAGCGCACATACATGTCAAAATTCGTCCAGCGACGGTCACCGGATACATATCACCATATCTTAACACAAAACAATTAGAAGAATGGACAGATCTAATCAGAAAACAAGGATTAGTTGATATAAGTAAACTTACCCAACAGTTGTAATCGTGATAATTCCCCAAAAAATAGCTTTTGGAATCGAATCAAAAACTTGTCCATTCTCTTCTTGTTCAACAAAATAAACAGCTGAGCCAAAAAGAAAACCCACGAGCGTTAAAATGACAATCAATATTACAAAATCCACAAAGGATTCTTTCAGTGTTGAACTGAGTACTCTCAATGATTTCAATTGTCTAAATACCAAATAAAATTTAAAAACGCGTAAAAATCTTAAAATTCGAAGTAATCTCAATCCAACCAAACTATTTCCATTTAAATCCGATGTTTTATGAGCAACTGCCAAACCCAAAAACACAAAATAAGGTATAATCGCAGCCAAATCAATCCAATTATAAATCGATAGAACAAATCGATAATACGACGGTGTACTGATTACTCGTAAAAGAAATTCAATTGTAAAATAAAATACACAAACTGTTTGTATTATAAAAAATGGTGAAGAAAATATTGTCGAACATATTGGAATATTATTTTCTGGATATGTGTAATTAGTTTCGTTAGAACATAAATTATTCCATTTGTCATTGTATTCGGGAAGTGTTTCAATTGCTAATTCAAGACACGATAAAACAGTGATGATCATTGAAAAAAAATAAAGAATTTTCGCAAACATCGAATGTTGAGGATATTCCAAATAGAACCAAATATATCGACGCCATAATAAATTTGGTAAATCGATATATTTGACAATTGAAACATTTTCCATTTTATTAATTTGTGATAAAGCATTTGGACCGAGATCGAAAAAGGAAATTTCTTCTAAAAATGTATCCAATGGAACATAATCAGGTCGACGAAGACGTCCATTCGATTGATAATAATAAAGAATTGCTTCAAAACATGCGCGATGACGATCAAAGAAATATTCTTTATTTTCATCGTTCCAATAGTAATGCCGTTTTTGTTTATTACCCAATAAAGTATTCGGATAGTTTTCAAGAGTTGATAAATGAGTTTGATAACGATTTCCACTTACATTGATTGTAATGATATTTTGTTCATTGAAATTTTGATCTTTATTTGATCGTAAATGATGATCGAATGCGGAAACATGAATTAAACTATCGCCATTACGAACAAGAATATTTCTTAAAGAAAAAGACATATAAAGAATTAATTTTGAATGAATAACAGTTGTACTTTAAGATACTACGACGATGATTTATTGGGAGAACTAAATTTCGTCGTCGTCGTTTAGGAAGATTTTGTTTTAAACTGAAATATTCACATTTTTTTTATACAAACAAATCTATTTGAATTGTATTCAAAACAAACCGAATAAGTTTTCGTTGTGTATTGGGCTCTTTTGATTGTGATGATTGAAGCGTGTCATCCCTCATCTTTTTCGTTTAGCTTTTAATGGCCGAGCTTCTCTACATTACTCGTCACAGATATAATCTCTCCACGAGTACGAAAGAAGAAGGCAAAAAAAAGAGATATAAACTTATGGTAATAATCAATCAAATGTACTCAATGATGAAACTATACAACAAATATATAAATCATTTGATTATGTGCTGATCATTGAATTATCACATCGATATAGTTCAGTAGAAGAGTCAGTGGAAGTCTGAATATATAAATGTGTGTTGTTTTTTAATCTTACTCGAAAGGGATAAGTGTGAACAGAAACAAAATGTAAGTAAATTTACTATTTTAAATTCTATGATTCCATTTTGAGAAAAGGAATTTCTACTCAAAAATCATGAAATTCGGTGAAAAATCTTTGAACAATCTGAATGACTAATATGAATACAATAAATTTTATTTCGAACAATATATATTCAATTACGTACAATACTTAAAAAGATATGCAAAGAATGTTAATATGTTCTATAATTCAACTTAAATGTTGAAATTTGTTAAAGGAGTGGAAAGCGCCATACTCGATTGTAATTCATTTCACTGACGAACAAGTTGGTACTGTTTACATTTATTCTGATATCAAGAGATCCTGTTAACATCGTTGAACTATTTCCAATCATTGCTCCATTACCTGCAATAGTTACTCCATTTGTTGCGCCCAAATACCAGAGTTGTACTCGTTGATTACCTGGATCTGCAATATACAACGCATTATTCGTTGTTGATAGACATACTGAATATGGATTATTCAATTGATTATTTGCAGATCCTGCACCATATCCACCTGCAACAGTAGTTCCATTCATCAATCCATCTACTTGAAAACGTTGTACTCTATTATTGCCTGAATCGGCAACATAAACAAATGATTGGACTTCATCAAAATAGATACCATAGGGCGAGTTTAGCTGATTATTCCCAGAACCTGCTACACCATTTCCTCCAATGATTATACCATTTGTAATATTCGGTGAGAATCTCATAACACGATGATAACTTGAATCGCAAATGTAAATAAAACCTTGTTGATCAACAAATATGCCAGCTATGACACCGAAAGAACTAAATGTATTGCCTACAGAGCCAGTACCAGCCACTTTAACACCAGTTGATGCATTCATCTTCCAGAACATTATTCGATAGTTCATACTATCTGCCACGTAGATGTTCGATGATTTATCAACATGAACACCAGTTGGTCCATACAATTGATTAGTACCGCTACCTGAAAATCCTGTACCAGCAACTCTTGAACCCAACAAAGAACCTTCCGGAAATCTCATAACACGATGATTACTATAGTCAGATACATAAAGTGCATTATCGATTCCTAATGATATTCCAGTAGGATGAGAAAGACCAGTTGAATTACTTCCAGATTGACCATTATTATAGCCAGCAACAATAGTTGCGGTTTGTATCGATGCCGCTAAAAAAAAGAACATCGTTTATTATATATTCTTCTCTAGAATTAATATTTGAATACAGAATTCTATTTTATATAACGGATAGATAGAATATACTTACGACCACATTGTTGCCGTGCTAGACATGTGTAATTCAAATCTTGTCGACATTCGCTTGTATTATAACAGGAAGCGCCAAGTAATTTCTGACTTTGGCACATTGATCCATCAAAATACGTGTTTTGTTGACATTGACATGTATTATTCAGACATCGTAGGTATCGACTACCTTGACAAAATGAACATGATTGACCACGATTAATAAATTGTTGTGGAAAAAACTTTATTGATCCAACACGCATTTGAGAAGATGAAGAATTGTCAATAGAGCCCATTGTTGCAATATTACCTTCAAACAAACGACACCATTTTGATTGATCATCATAATCGAGTATACGACAACCACTTGTCGAATGACAAGTTCGAACACATGTGAACAAAGATTTACTTGTAACTTCAGCTAGAATCAAAGCTTGATAGTTAACAGGCAGAAATCGATAACCAACGTTTGATAAATTCGTCGATGATTGCCAATCTAATAAATTATTTTCAACATTTGATGGAATTAATATTAATACAAGAAATAAAAATAAACTAGAGTACGATTCTGATATGATCCCTTTCATTCTGAAATTGAAACTTAGATTAATTCATACGATTAAAGAAAAAGATACTCTATTGTATACATTGATATTTCTCATAGTTTCTTATTTGCTTCTAAATTTTTGCTTCCAGGGAAAATGAAATTTGCCCCTTTTTATCGTTTACTTTTATATATTATTAGATATGTAGTTCAAAAAACTCTTTCAACTATACAAGATGCTCAATAGTTTTTTGTACTGAGAAATAATTGTTGTTCGCAGAAGTGTCATAAATCTTTCTCTGAGCATCTGATGGACCACTTAAAAAAACGAGTTTTCATAGTTTCTCTCAAGATGTTCAAGAGGTTAATTACGGTTGAAAGAAATAATGGTCATTTCGACACTTATTATTACTAGGTACTCTAAAAGATAATGAAAATGAGTAACAGATCAAAGAAATAAATAAAAAAAGAGTTTTCCTGTGAATACTCTTTCGTCCCTACAACTTAAAATTAACAATTTTCTATTTCCTTCTATCTATTCATAACTATTTAAGTCACATACGATTTTATTTCGAAAGCTTCACGCTATGACTCAGCTTGAATAGCTTTACTGATCATCATAGTTGAAACTAAACGAGAATTCGATGTGGATTCTTATAAAACTCCCTTGTACATATATCGAAACTTTCCAAACGCAAAAGCGAATATTTTTGTTTCTCCGTTTCGATTGTTTTACATGTCATAACAAAAAAAATTTATGTTTATCCGTTTTTATTAACTAGTTGTTTAAGGTAAATGCTTTCCGAAGTAACGTTTGATGTGTGTCTAACATTTCCTATCTCTCTCTCTCTCATAAAAAGACTACACGATCAAAGTTTTTTATTTCTTCGAAAAAACTGTTCGACATGTTAATCTACTTTGTTAAAGCAGAAACTTTTCTTTATACTATCAGATGTTCTATATAAACAACGATTTTTAAAGATCGTTCACAAAACGAGTGCGAACAAAAGTAATGAGACATTTGGAAGAAGAAGGTCGATAAAATTAATGAACTGAATACCTCAGAAAACGATGAAAGTGTCAATTAAAGTGAAGATTTAAAATGCACTGAAATTGAAGAGAATGACTGGAAAATGTCTCTTAGTTATTCATTCATAAACATGCTGAGTAAAGAAAAAAAGCTTTTCTTCGAAATAATATCTACACAATACAAAATTCATGATAATTTTTCATAAATAGATCCGATCTTTGATGATAATCATAAACAATGAAAAAGGAAAAAATATTCCTGTTTGATTCTGTACTTTCTCCAGCAAAAGCTTGTAAACGCATTACTTTTAAGTAATAAATCTCGTATATACTTATTAGTTCTGATTGTACGTTCGAAACAATGAGAGAACAATCAGATCTTCGATTAACTATTATTGTTGAAAGGATGTTCATAAATTCTACAAAAGAAATAATTCAACTAAAGAAATATGATTGTTAAATATATCAATGATTTGTACAAAGATTTACAATTTCTAATAGTTCATCTTAACAGTTATTTTTATACGTTGAATAGTAATTCTCAAACTTGAAAGATCTAAAAAATACAAGCTGAAAATCATTATCATGATTTGTTTTTTCTTGTACAAACAAAAATATTTCATCTCAACAATACATTACAATTTTTAGTGAATGATGATTGGTATTCAGACAGTTTAAAAAAGCTCTTAAAATATTTATTTGCTGACAATCGAGTTCAACAAAAGCTTTTTTCAAAAATCCTTAAGAGTTTTTCTTTGCTCAATGTCTATTCTTAATAGTGAAGAAATAAGAAATAAAAGTCATCGATATATGATTTGTACTTTCTACATTTGCACATGTGAAACAACAATATCAATATCAATTAATGACAATTTTACAGACAAAACATTTTATTATAAAAATATTTCTTCACTTAAGACGTTTTGTATTGAAATAAGATATTAATTATTTCCTTTTCAATGATCAATGAAGTGAACTTTGATTGAAAATCGAAAAATAAGTTCAACGACGTAAAAATATCATGGAATGTTACTTAAAGACTTTGAAGTTCGCTTTGCTATTATCTCATTCATAGAGTTTTAAAGAAATCTTCTATTGTATCTCTCCTGAAATCAATCTCATAAGAATAAAGAAAAGTCATATGGATTCCCTAAAATGTCTGTTGGATATTTTATTTCCGAAAGATCTTTTTGAATAATAATTTTCATTAAAATAAAAACATATGGCATTTACGAAAATCATCGCAAAGATTGTTTTCGTTCTTGATTTTTTCATTTCATCACTATTCGAAGTAATTTTTCATATATAAATGAATATAACGTGTGAAAGATTTTCTTTTGCTTATCGATTGAGCAATGGATAAGATCATCGTTTATTTTGAGAGGAAAATTCACGTTTTTCTGCCATATGCTTCAGCACACTGGTTCACGTGCTTCGATATTCTTCCTGCTAAAGTGTTTACTGGCAGTTTATAATAGAACGAAAGAAAGAAAGAAAGAAAGGAAAAAAGTGTATCTGACATGATGACAGTGCATATTTCTTCATCGAGGTATAAATACAAGCGAACAAAGGTTAAGTACAAGGTATTTTTATCAAGTTTAATCAAATATTTTTTGTTAACAAAGTCAACAATGTCCAACGTTCCAAAACATCTCAAATCGGGTATTTTAACTAATTTCTATTTGAATATTTCGCATGTAAATCGTTGATATAGGTTCGGAATGTCCAACATTGAAAGAAGGTCAATTACGATTATACGGAATGCGTTTTTGCCCATACGTTCACCGAGCAAAACTCGTCTTAGCTGCAAAAAATATTCCGTAAGTCGATTAATAAGATTTTAAATACAATTTACATTTTGATTACTTTTGAAAATAGATATGAAGAAATAAATATAAATCTTACTGCAAAACCTGAATGGTATTTGAAAAAAAATCCCCCAGGTCAAGTTCCAAGTTTAGAATGGATTGATAATCAATCGAAAGAAACACGATTTATTCCTGAATCATTGATTGTTAGTGATTATCTCGATGAAGCCTATCCACAAACACGTTTACAACCAACAGATCCATATCTTCGCGCCCAACAACGTGTTCTCATCGAACGATTCAGCAATGTAAATAAAATACTATTCGTTTCAATATAAAATCTTTGTTTTCTTTCAGGTCGTCGGTCCTTTTTACAAAATTTTACGAGGAGATCCAAAAGAAGGTATTGAAAGTATAAATAAAGGCTTAACCACATATGAAGAAACACTTCAAAACACATATTTTGGTGGATCAAAACCAGCAATGGTTGATTATATGTTATGGCCATGGTTTGAAAGACTTCCACTATTAAAAGATGCTGGATTTCAATTCAATGCTGATGGAAATCTACCAAAACTTGCTGAATGGATTCAAAACATGGAAAATAATGAGAGTGTACAAAAAGTCAAAGTTCCTTTTGACATATTGAAAAAATTTATAGATGGATATGTCCAAGGAAAACCAGAATATGATTTCGAATAAATAAATTGCACGACATTTTCATTCGAAGTATTTTTAAACGTTCGTTTTTCAAAATAAAAATCGAAAAAATATTCTCTTGACGAATAATTTGATAAATTCATTAGACAACACAAAGAGATCTTTTTCTCTTCACAATTTAATGAGAAAAAACGAATTGAAAAACAAATAAAAGATGAACATTAGTTAAAATGAGATCGACTTCGTTTCGGAAAGCGAGGAAATCGATTTCCACCTCGAAAACTATTTGAATAAGTGCCACGAGGATTCGTCCAATCAGATGGATAAGACGATATTACTCGCGACTCATCTGAAGATGAAGATGAAAATGTATTGTCAAAGGTTCGTTTATTATTGAACGATGACGAAGGAAATCTTTCACATGGTTCACTTGGAAAAGTAAAACCACTTCCAGGAAAACTAAAAACAAAGAAAATGAAGAAAAAGATCTTATTTGATATGTTTCGTACTCATTTTGTGGTCGATATGATCGTTGTTGAGAATAATTTCCTCGATGACAAGGTCTGTTAAATGATCGATGATTATTTCCATGATGATATCCTCGATTTGATGGAAATAATTCATTTGGTTGAAAATTAATATTCGATTCACTAAAAAAATTTTCAATTTTTAGAAATATTCAATATGAAGATCCAATTTACCTTGAATTTGTACTTTGTTGATTGTTATCATTGATTTTTTCACACAAAACATGTTCAAGTTGCTGATCGGATAAAAGTCGAATTAAATTACATAATTGATCGTTCGCAGATGGACGATTAACAATTTGATTTGGATCTTGAGTACATTGCACAATCAATGCTTCAATTGCTGGTCGAATTGACACGATTTTCGAAGCCAATTTCATATCCATATTCAACAAAATCCTAAATAAATCCAAATTTCACATATCTTCTGTGAAAATTCCAATTCGAACCAATTATCGAGACAGATTAGATTAGGTTCGACAACGTCAATTTGATCCGATGCGAATAATAATAATTGAACAGGAGTTGACATTGACATTTGTTTAGCTGATACAGCACGAGTTTTGATCTAGAAGAAATACAAATATTTGAAAAGTTTCTTCAATCATATTGTTACTTTTTCTGTAAAAACAAAGAATGGTGAAGGAAACACGGGAATTTCACGTCCACAATTCACAGAATTTTTATGTATCAATGCTTCTTTTCCTTCTGTCGTTAATAATTTTCGTTTTGATACATGAAAACAAACATTTGGATAAAGTGCATAACAAAGAAGTGATATGACCTACAAATTCAATTGAAAATCCAATTTGAATTCAAGAAAATCCTACGATATCTAATTTGGAATGTGATTGTTCGACATCGAACCATTGTGATGTGAGACATTCTTCAGGAAAACCTGACATCATCATTATATCGCGAAGTTGGTTCTACAAAGACAAAAAAAAACATGTTGAAAACCGATTCCAAACTAATTAATGATCCGATTTACTCGTGCTTCATATGTCATTCGCATTGTTGATAAATTCAAACATTTTCTTTCACAAAATTCCATTTCACCTCGTTCACCATTTCGATTTCTGCATTACAAATTGATTTTTTCGCACAAAGCAACAGTATGAAATAACAATCTTTACTTTTCTCTTTCAAATTGTTGAAATGCATTAAGTAAAGCCACATGATCCGAGAAACGATTTCCGGCGAGATTTCGATGCATATGACGAAGATGTTTTCCATCATGTAAAAATGGTTCGGGAAAACTCGTCGCCGATGCGATTGTACATGCTGCATCACCCACACTTAAATATTCCAAAGTCAAATCTTCTCAAGGTGAAAATAACTTCACAGACGAATGTTTTCTTTTCTTAATAGAACGTGAAAAAAGAAAAGAAATTTCTCTTCTTTTATTTTGTTTTCATTACAAAAAATAACATCGGAAGGATGCCGAGTTTTCGTCTTTGTTTTCTTTATGGAAATTATTATCCCATAACAATCGATGAACCTGTGATAAGTTTAGAAACTCTACGAAAAGAAATTCAAAGTCGTCTACCAAAATATCGTGAAATCAAAGATTATACATGTACAGTTAGTGGTAAACCACCTCATCGACTCGATTTAAATAATGAAGAAGAATTTAATAAATATCGATTATTAATCACAGATGGATCTTATGTTTGGTTAAAATTTCTTTTTTAAAATTTTTACCTGAAAATACAACCAAGAATGATCATTTTACCCATTTTTGGATCAATTGGTAATCGAGCTAAGATTTTGCCGAGTGGTGTCAATTCATCATTATCATCAATTGCTTGCATTTCTAAATATTCCTCTGTCGTTGTTTGTTTTTCCTTCAATAAAAAGAGAATTTTCTTACGTTTAAGTGTAAATTCGGCTTCGGCAACCGCGTCCATCGGTGGTTGTTCGATAGCTTTAGCGAGAAATGCTTTAATATCTCCTAGTTTCAATAATTTAATTGCTAAAGCCAATTCATGTAAAGGTGTTCGAAAAATCTCCGGTAATAAATAATTATCTAATCGTTGATAACGTGCTTTTGAACACAAATAAAAACAACATCCAGCTCGTGTTCGTCCAGCTCGTCCTCGTCGTTGTGTTAAATTTGTTTTCGATGCCCAAACAGTCACATAATTTGTCATGTTATTTCGTGATGAAAACAATTTCTGTTTGACTTTACAACAATCAATAACATAAACAACATCATCAATTGTTACACTTGATTCAGCGATATTTGTTGAAAGAATTATCTTCTTCACACCTGATGGAACACGTTCGAAAACACGATGTTGTTCATCACGAGGCAATTGAGAATGTAACGGGAGAAATCGAAATGCAGCAGAACCTTAACAAATCGAAGTTTGGTGGGTGAAATCGAAAGAAAATAAACAAATACCGAATCTCGGATGTTGTTGAAAGTATTTGAGTAATGCTTGAATCAAATTCCACCCAGGAAGAAAGACTAAAATTGAACCATCATCACCCAGACTACAAATATATGTAATCAACGCCTGAAAAATAAAAGGAAAGATTTTCTTTCTGATGAATTTTCATTGATTTACTTCGATCAATTCAAATGAAAGAGTCTTTTCACTTAATTGACTCATAGATAAAGCTGTTTCACGAGAATATTGTTGATCACAGATAGAATTACAATTAGTATCCTAAAGAGAAACAGATTTTTGATATTGGAATGTATTTTCATTGTCAGAATACTTCAACATCATCCGTTTGAGAATCTTCATATCCAAAATCGTCATCTTCGTCTTGTATTTGTCGATTTCGATTGTTTTGTTTTCGATAATTTGTCATTGAATTATTTGTTTGAAAATTTAATAATTGAATAATATCTTCAAGAAAATATTCTCGAACATCGAAAACACGTCCTTCGATTTCAATAATTGAACAATTAAAAAAATATTCACGAAATAAAGTCACATCGATCGTCGCTACAAAAAATTCACAAAATTTTGTTCATTTTGCTTTGAAAATTTCTTTTAACATACCAGACATCAGAATTACTTTCATTTCAGGATGAACATTTAGCATATCACGTAATAAAACTAACAGAAAATCTGTATTGATATCTCGTTCATCTAAACACACATCAAATGAGAAAGACAAACATATTGAATTTACTAAACATACGAATTTCATCAACAATAACATGAGAAATTCCTCGAAGACCACTTTCTAATTTCCGTAGAAGAACTCCAACTGTACAAAATAGGATTGAACCATACGGACGTGGAAATACTGATTCAAATCGAACACTATAACCACAAGAACTTCCCAATTCTTCACATCGTTCTGATCAATAAACGAGAAATAAAAAATCTTAGAAAAAAGAAGGTAAATTCTTACCCCAAGCCACACGTTCAGCGATTGAAATTGCACTTATACGTCGAGGTTGTGTCACAACGATATTACAAAAAGCACCTTGACCATGTTCAATCGCATTATCGAGTATATATTGAGGAATCTAAAGAATTTCTTTGTCAAAGTCGAATAAAATTCATTTAGAATTACTTGTGTTGTTTTTCCACAACCCGTGGCACCACGAATGAGAATAACATTATGTTGTTGGATTTGATCGAGTATTTGTTGTCGATAAGAAAAAACGGGTAAATTCTGTCGTTCTTGTGAACGAAATTTGAACTCATTTTCAGTTTTGTATTGTTCTGCTCTTTGTAAATCTTGACTAATTGATTCCATTGTTGCAGTTGATAATGGACCTTCATCGATATTTGATGCTATCCATGGATTCCAATTCGGTATTGGTGGTACCCATTGAATTATCGATGATATTGTACGACGTTCACTTGCAGGAAAACGTTCTAAAACTTGTCGATTTAGTAAAGATTTGTCAGATTGTTCATCAATGATCTGAAGAAGAGATTTTTCGAATGTTTATTCATGTTTTATCGTTTTTTTCGTACGTTAATTGGATGAATGTCGAAGGATTGAATAACACGATCGAGTTCTTCGACGATTTCATTACTGACGTTAACACGAAATGGTGTTGTCTAAAACACAATAAAAGAAATTTTCTTCTGAAATGAAGTATGTTGAGAATACTTTTTCGATTTGTTTTTTCTTTTTTTCACCAGTAAATATNGATTTTTCGAATGTTTATTCATGTTTTATCGTTCTTTTCGTACGTTAATTGGATGAATGTCGAAGGATTGAATAACACGATCGAGTTCTTCGACGATTTCATTACTGACGTTAACACGAAATGGTGTTGTCTAAAACACAATAAAAGAAATTTTCTTCTGAAATCAAGTATGTTGAGAATACTTTTTCGATTTGTTTTTTCTTTTTTTCACCAGTAAATATTTCGATGAGATTTAAATGATACAATTGTCGAACAAGTGCAAGTGCACAACTTTTCGAAGCAATTTGTTTCGTTGATCCATTTTCTCTCGCATAAATTGCTAAAAATATCGATTGTCTCTTTCATTTTCTGTATTTTTCTCAAATTACTTTGATTTCGTTCTCGTATATAAACAGATAATTCAGCAAAAAACGTTCTAGAATATTTACGATCGTTGAAAACATTCTACAAATGAAAATCAAATGATCAATGCCATTCTTCGTTTCGATTGTTGATTAACGATCAATCGATCTTGATCAGATATCAAAGCAAGATCAATTGACCTTTGGTTTCTCAGATTAGAAAGTGTCGAAGTAGTGGTATTGATCATTTTTTTTTCTCAAAAAAACAAACTAACAAACCGAAGGTTATCTGGGCCACTCGCGGTGTATTTGTACTCTTGTGGAAGATTATTCTTTTGTAAATATTGATGTAAACGTCCTTTGGCATTTTCGATTGTCCAATTTCCGTGAATCGATGCGTTTGTATCAGTTTCTTCTTGCTAAAAATACTTTATTCTTTAACATCACCGGAAAAATGAAGTCTACTGACTTCTTCGAGCATTTTTCGACCAGAATGAATCTGTTCAAGATAAGCGCTGGGTGGTCCTGATCGATAGGGAAGAAGAGTAGATTGTGAACTCGTAGTATCTAAATAATCAAAGTGAATGTTACAGTTAAGAAAATTGATTTTCGAAGAAATTCACTTGTTGTCGTATTTTGTTGAAGCATATGTGGAGGTACGAGACCATCTGGTAATGTTCCAAGTGTTTGACTTGTTAGAACAGAAGAATTCTTTGATGGCTAAAATATGTTGAAGAATACGATTGATTTGTCCGGAAAAAGTCATTTACTAAATATGGTTCGAGTTCATTTTGTGTCATTTTTCCTTCGCGAACGAGATATTGACAGAAATCGATTGCGGCATTTGTTTGAGCATCTTTTTTATTTGTTGAATTTCCCACAGCAGTGTATGGATATGTCAATACCGTTAACTAAATCATTAATTGACAAAAAAAAACGTGATTGATTGAAATAGAAACATACTTCACATTTGAATCGAATTCTTTGTTTGGTACCTTGTTGAGTGATTTCATAATTTGGTAACTTATTTTGTTTTCCCAACCATGCATACACAAAACTTTTAATATCACCAAAATTTCCACCGACAGAATTTGATGACGTCATGGTTGATTGAACAAGTTTTCGAATGAAAATATACAAATGTTCATCGGTGATTTCGTATTTCTCTCTTTAATCAACCAAGTGAAACAAGTTACATTAGTCATCCTATTTAAATCGTTGGTCAATCGAGAGACAAATGCTTATGAACTACGGCATGCGTGCTTGCTTTCTTTTGTGGTTTATAACAAATCAGTGACATCTATTCACTTGTTTTCATATGATATCAGTCGTTTATTATCGATGAAAAAAAAAACCTGAATAAAAATTGAAATATAAAATGAAAATGAATAAATAAAGAGAAAATTTCGGTTTTGAAGAAAATTAAGATTTCTTTGCAAAAGCTTTTCTAAGTTTTTGATTATCAATGGCATATTCTTGTTCCCATTGAGATACATATGTTTTATAAATAGTTCCATCATCATCATCAACATCTGTTTGTGCAACCATTTCTAAAACTTTTCTTTGACATGATTTAAATTTGTCGAGATCATTTCGTTGAC